CCGCAAAGATCTGATTTATGGCCAGCAAAGCGAGGGCGCATCAGCAGACAGCGGAAAGGCTATTGGCAGAAGTAAAGTAAAATAAAATATAATAAAAAACTCTAGGATTGTGGTGTTGGTTCGAAACTGGCACTCTCATTTCCAAAATACTTGACGTTCCTTTTCTGTATGTCCCGTTTTATTGTTTGACCTGTAATTATAACCTGTAAACGGACCTCTGCGATCCCAAGCCTTGTCGACTTTGGCACCTTCTCGTCATCCTGGTTCTCCTAGTCCTGTTTGATTGTTCTCGAACTTGAATGTTCAATCGCCGAAGCAAGCATGACCAAGTTAAATTGGAGAAGAAAGATGGCAGTTCAAACCCCGAATGCTTGTGCTTGTCTTGCCGCTTGCTTCAATTAAATGACAGGCCCGACCAATGGTGTGGGTCGAGTGTCAAAGTGAGAGCTTGTCGAGCTTGTCTTTCCAAAGGGCCGGGACCTGCTCGACTGTTTTAAAGCGCATTGTTCCTTTTCCATGTTAAGCTGAAAAAGGGCAACACAACACTGCAATACAACCTACCAAACCTGCTAACCGGCCGTGTCAGCGAATCCAACTGCCGGAACGTGCAGCGTCGCAGCAGGACTCGGTAAAACCGCACATGTAAAAACTACACATTTGGTCCAATTTAAGCCACAAGCCATGCGCCACGAAAGTAAAAACGTTGTGGCGAATGGCGATGGCAGAAGATGCAGGACGCCTCCAAAGGACATGTTAGCTGTTTATTTCGCGCGTGCCTTCACAGAAACCCTGCGGGCTGCTTGCGTATTGTGGCCGGAAAGGGCGTCGACATATCAAGCTTGCTCGTCTGCAATTGGGAGATTTCACTCTGCAACATGCCGTTTTCCACGTATGTGACCTAACTGAATTGTGCACCGTGAGCCCTGGTGGCTGGTCGTGTCTCGCGACTTGACCGACTCTATTCCGGACATGTCGAATGTTCTGGCATTTCTCACGTTGTCGCAACTGGACCCCTGCGCTTGAATATTTCCTAACAAGATCTCAGATACACGAGAGTCAAGCAAACAAAACAAACAACCATACACCCCCCTCCCTTCGGTTTGACCGACCCCCCCCTGCTACGACCCCTACACAGTATTTTCAAAACCCATCCCAAACCCTATCCCTTTCCCCGGTTGACATTCCTTCCCGTACGGGAGTGCAAAAAAGAGAAAAAGGGGGTGGGGGGCTGTTTTGGCGCGGCTCTTCCCGAGAGACGCGCGATGACGTCATTGCACCTTTTTTTAGTATGTGCCCCCTAAATTTTTTCTTCTCACTGGAAAAACGTGCGTCATATGCGGTTGGGGGGGACGTGGTGGGTGTGGGGCAGCGCTTTCATGCACGTTGACGACATGTTGACGATTGTCAACAGACGAAATACGAAAAGTAAACAACGGACGACCCCGACGATGAAACGGAAGAAGAAAGAAGGCAATGGAAAAAGAACAATCGTACGACAATTGGAACCACATGACAGCAGCGGAAACCATTCTTTGAACGGGGACTGTATGCCGCACAAACGTACATCACGACCTGTCTGGGAACGGGGTAAACAGAACTCAGTCACTCGAGCCCTGCTGTCGTTGGGGAGTACAAGGTGGTGTGATGATGGCATTCACGTCGAGATCGTCAAGGGCCAATTGTGCGAGTTCATCGCCCGGTCTACCTGCGCGGACTGAGCACATTCCTACTTATGACAAGACAGTTGTAAATAGGAAAGAAACACAGACAGCAACGATCAAAGCCAAAGACAGCGCTTGTTGAAAATAGAAATTGCGTCTGGCCCTGTCATCTTTTGCTGGAGCTGGAGCAGCATGCAAAGTGAAACCCGCCAGTGGGGTGGCGACGTTGCAGTGACGGACTGACTGTAACACGACAGAAAGCTAGTCGAACGGGATGGTACTGTGAATCATGGTGGAAGAACCTCTTGGGCCCGGGGTGCCTATGTTACATGGCTTGTGCATAGGGTCGTCCTGGCCTCGATGCATGTCAATCGTAAAGAACCAGCAACACTGAGACAAACAAGAGAAGAATAAAGATATAGGAGAAAAGAGTAGAAAAGTGTGCAAGCGGCCGACACATGCACAGTAGCAAATCCAACAAAGAAAGGGTACGGGAGCCAATCGTGTAAATCTAAAAAGCAGGCAAAGAAGCTGCTCTGAGAGACCTCACAGCCTCACATCATCGCGGAGGAGTTGGTAAACGTCAGGGCCTTTCGAGGCAGACCGGAATATCGGTCTTCGGCCGGGTCCCGATACGTAAACACAATGTCGACAGGCGGCTATCATTCTTTCAGGGATGCAGTCGACTTGTGCACCGGCGTTTTCTTTGTTAGAGTCACTGGCCGGGCTAGGTTATCAACCACCTGTGCATCGCCGACTTTCCGCTTGGCCGCCCTTTCCGAACCCTTTGGTTTATTTCATTCTGATGTATATGTGTCGAATTTGATTTTCTCTTCAAGTGCGGCTCCGTGCACGTCACTGTCGTCTTTCCAACGGTAAAGGGGCTACACAGTAGATCCATCCGATAACTGTCCCGAATCCAAACCCCGAGATCCAGATTATTTATGGAGCGCACGCGGCACTTTGAGCATTTCCAGAAGATTAACATGACTTCTAGACTCCGCAATTTGCCTCGTGGACCTGAAGCTTCGTTGAGCGATTGTACATGTATTCGCTTGCTTCTGTCACGGTACTTTCCTGTTGTTGTCTCTCTTCGTGTGTCTACACACTGCTGTTCCATCCGCTGGCCCTGTGGGATGTCTCTACAATGTCGTATGCACTCTGGCCAGTGGGGTCGCCTCGGCGGGAGCCACACAAGCAAAACGAGTAAAAGATTGACGAGGAAGAAGGAGGGTCAAGAACAAGGCTGCAAGGGCAGATGAGACAAAATAACAGAGAGTGGTGGTGTGCCCCACCGCTTCCCGTGGCCCTGGCCCTGCGTTTGGATCGGCAAATGCCCATGCTGCACTCCCCGTGGGGAGCTGGGGAGGTAGATAAATGGTCAGGTACGACATATGTCAAACCGGAGAACGGCGCACGGGTTGGTTGCACGGGCGCGGATCCCAAGTCGATCAGAAGAAAAAGAAGAAAAATAGCCATGGTGAGATGAAGACGCGATATTTCGAATCCCTTTCCAACTCCATACAGCGTGCAAGCTGGGTGCATCCAACTCGAAAACTGGAAAACGACGTGAGAAATCTCACCTGGCGTACTAGCAGTGACTTGCCAACTCATAACGCCAACACGTTTCGACATACCTGCACATCTCCTGTAGCAGCAGTCTCTTTGAAAACGCACATCACGTCTGATTGCCGATTTCCTCATGGTCTGCCCATTCTCACAACCACTTTGATCATGCGACAATGTGCGTTGCAAAAGCTGAACATGGCTCTTTCTCCAGCTTGACGTGATTTGACGTGATTCTGTCGAAAACAGACCGCTGTGCCTTTGATCCATAGTTCCATCAGATTTACCCTGAAATGCCACAAGGTTCTTTTGTATGACGACGCAAGACAGCAATGTTCCGAAACTGACCGATTTGGGCTGTCCGATGGCCAGTGTTTTTTTTCTTTTTCGACGCCGTGACTTTCCATTTTGTGCATTTGGCACTCCATGAAAATATGTCCAGGTCTTTCTTGTTAACGGCTTGGCGGGCTTGTAGGGGGGGGTTTCAGGCTGTCGATACACGACTCCGCAGTCAGAATGCAATTGCAGTGACAATGACGTCACCGGCCTGATCGAGGGCAGGTCATTAAATGTCCTAGTCGATAAGGCTGCCAACACTTCCACGTGTAGTCGCACGTGCACATCCCCCACTCTCTCCGCAAACGACTCCCCGTTAATCCATCTCATATGCTTGTCGCCTTTTGTGTCCTTTTGCTTCCTTTTGTTCATGTGTCGTGTCTTCCGGAGACATGCTCAGCAAGCCGGGACCATATTCAAGTCTCCGTCTCGTTGTCATTCCTTTGTCTGTTCCTTCTCTGATGCGTCTGCACAGAAGCGATTGAATCACTGACGTAGAACAAGATGGAACACCGGTTGTATCCGGTTTGTTGTGCTCCAGACGGAGTCCTGATTCAAAGAACGGGACTGAATCATGCACCCTGTTTTGTTCTGCGTGCAGTTCGTCTCCCTGTAGAGGCCCCGGCATTTACCACCCGCAGTGAGTCTTCTCCACACTACGCCAATACAACATTTCGGATATCGCATTCCGACGCCAAGAATGAGAGGTTCAAATTGAGGGGAAATGCACAGTTTGCGGTGGGAGATTCGCCAAAGAAAAACCTAGACAAAGAAACCAGTCCCTCTGAAAGACGTGACAATCGGCCACAACAATCTGTGGATGGGGAATAGCATCAGACACGTCAATATGTCGCACATGGTAACAAAACACGAGCCGTGGACCAGAACAGATTCCAGACCTGAAGAATGATACATGCAGAGGGCCTTGAGAGACGTGATCCATTGCCATCAGCCTTTATCCCATTGTCGACGAGGCGCAGTACCGAGTTGCATGCTTTTAACTCTAGAAATGAGACGTCGGTTGTCCATCCGGTCCGTCACTCGTAAGGCCCTTTGTCCGCCCCAAGTACACCGGTGTCTCGAACGACGGGACTTGTCTCTCGAACTCCGCCCTGTCTCCAACAAGGGACCGTGCTTGACCCCAGGTCCCGTCTCTGCCGTCGCAAATGCACACCTGGACCCCGAAATGGGCATAATGCCGGCAAGCTAGCCAAGTCGTTTTCCTGGCTGCTCCTCTCGTTTTCCATCGTGCCCTTGATTCTATTTGATTTTGTTTTTATACAGCCAGCCGCCCCGGTCTTGAGCCCCTTTTTTAATTTGTTTTCTTGTCTCGGTATATCGTTGTCTTTCTTCGCCTCGGCGTTCTTCCTCTCCAGCGTTTTGCCTGCAGCTTCTCCTCATTCCAGTTCGCACACATCCCCCCTCGCACACGCACAAATGGCCCGTTTCGCCCCCGATTACTACAAGGCCATTGAGCCCATGATCAAGGCCGCCGAGAGCCAGCCACCCGCACCCCCAAAGAACGTCTGTGAGCTCACCGCCACCCTCGACGCTCTCATGGCAGTCTTATACAAGGATCCGCCTGCACCCGCCCACATCGTGCAGTCCAAGCACCAGATCCCCGTCCCCGGCGGCAGGACCGTCACCGTCACCCGCTACGCCACCGCCGAGCAGCGGGCTGCCAAGGACCAGCCCGCCGTCATCTATCTGCACGCCGGCGGCATGGTCTGCGCCTCGGTCGACCTGCTCGGCAACGTCATTGCCAACGAGTCGGCCTACGTCGGCGCCCAGTACTGGGCCGTCAACTACACCAAGTCGCCCGCGGTTGCGGCCCCCGTCGCCCTCGAGGAGGCCTATGCCGTGCTGACGCACCTCTCGGCCCACGCCGCCCAGCTCGGCATCGACAACAAGCGCATTGCCGTCGGCGGCGCCTCGGCGGGCGGCGGCATGGCCGCCGGCCTTGGCCTGATGGCCCGCGACCGCGGCGTCCGCCCGCCCATTGCCAAGCTGGTGCTGGTCTACCCCATGCTCGACGACCGCACCGTCCAGGCGCACCCGCCCACGGGCGCCCGCCACGCCGGCGCCAACCGCAGCGACGACGACTGGCCCGTCCGCCCGTTCCTGACCTGGAGCTGCGACAACAACGCCCTCGCCTGGAACGCCTACCTGGGCCTCGGCCACCCGGCCACCGACGACCCGCTGACCGCCGCCGCCAACCTGGCCAAGGCCGCGGCCACGGCGCCCATCCTCCCCGGCGCGGCGGCCCACTACGCCATCCCCGCGCGCGCGGCGTCGCTGGCCGGCCTGCCGCCGACGTACATGGACTGCGGCGGCCTGGACCTGTTTTTGGAGGAGTGTGCGCAGTTTGCCGCGCGGCTGGCGCACGACGGCGTCGAGCTTGACTTCCACATCTTCCACGGCGTGCCGCACGGTTTCGAGTCGGCGCAGGCGACCAATGCCGCGCGGACCGCCCTGGAACAGCGCAAGCTCGCCTACAACAGCTTCTAATCGTGCTGGTGGACAAACGAAGGAAAGAAGACACGCACATGCCAATGGACCGCTGTGTTATGACTGTACATGGTAAACGCACAAGTAAAGACCTAATGCACTTATGGGTGCCTTACCACTCTGTAGAATCACGTTGAGACATGTCAGTGTGCAAAGCAGGCTTACCCGATGTAACAGGTGTTGTGTACTTTGTACTTGTACCTGACTAGGCCCACAAGGACCCAACCAATGGCGTGTCTGAACGACGTATTCTCTCGACACAAAAGAGCGACGTAGGCAGACAACAGCTACAGTAACGTGCATCTAGACCCGTCGATTGATTCAAAATGAATGACGATGTCCCTTGAAAACGTGGTTTGCTGCCACTGACACACTGAAGGTGGAGATGTCATGCGGGTCATGCAATCGGACAAAAGTACTTGTCAAGAGGCCCATGACGTTCGTGCCCCTGATTGACATGCGTCGTACGGCGTCAACTACAGAGAACACAAGTAAAGTTGCTGTTGATTGGTGGGCTCGTGGTGGAAGCTCGTGCAAGTCAATTTTCTGACTGTGACTTCCCAGTCTCATGTGCGTGCCTTGTTCTGGTGTTTACTTCTTTTCTCTTTTCTTTCTTCACTTTGTCCTTTTCATTCTTGATTTCTTTCTTTTCTTTTTTTTTTTTTTTTTTTTTTTTTTTTGTAAATACAGGAACTACAGATACAAAATAAAGACAGAGCTACTCTCTATCTCTCTATTTCGACCTTATTGAAAAATTAGCCATTTGAAGAATGATTGATTTAAACAAAAGAAATTATACAAGTCAAACGATGTGACAATACCAGACTATTTATGCTATGGACGCCGTCACATGGACCACTCACTGCTCCCTTGTCTTCTGCCACGCCGCCACGGCCGCGTCGTTGTCCCGCTCCCGCTCCGCCTGCCGCTCGCGCTGGTACCGCTTCCACGCGCGCAGCTTGCGTCCTCGCTCGTACTTGTCGCCGTCGCCGTGCGCCTCGAGCTCCATTTTGCGCTGCGCCTTCATCTCGGCGGCGCGCTTGTCCTTCTCGGCCCGGCGCTCGACCTTCTCGGCCTTTTTGCGCGCGCGTTTCGCGTGGACCTGGAACGGGGCCTCCTTGCGCTTCTTGGCGCGCCGGACCTCGCCGCCATGGGCGTCACCGACAGCCTTGTCCTCGTCCGCATTGTCCGTTCCGTCCGCGTCGTCTGCATCGTCTGCATCATCCGCATCATCTGCATCGTCCACATTTTCGGCACCCTCCACGTTCCCGTTCAGCTCACTAGCCCGTCTTTCAGCCTTGTCCGCCTTGCGCTTTTCCCGTTTCTCCTTCTTCCCTTTTTCGCGCTTCTCCTTCTTCATCGCCTTCTTGGCCTTCTTCTCTTCCTTCTTGGCCTTTTTCGCATCCTTCTTTGCCTTTTTTGCTGAGCCATCAACCACGGCCGCGGCGTCACCCTCTTCCTCTTCCTCCTCCTGCTCCTCCTGCCCCTCGTCGTCTCCGTCAACGTCCATCTTGTCCTCGACCTCCACGGCTTTCCTCTCCACGGCCTTCCTCTCGGCTGGCTTCCCCTCGGCTGGCTTCCCCTCGGCTGGCTTCACCTCGATCGGCTTCCCCTTCTTGTCGCTTCTCTTGTCCGTCTTCGTCTCCGCCTGCCCCCGCACCTTCTCCTGCTGCTCCTTCTCGCGCGCCAGACGCTCCTGCCGCTCCCGCTCCAGCCGCTCCTCCTTGAGCATCGGGGCCACCGATAGCTTCAGGCCCTCGGGCTCGCCCGCCTTGGCAAAGTGCACCCACTCGCTGCGCCGCGTGCGCCACAGGTCGCCCTTCCACGCGCGCCACACGGCACGCCCGCACCAGCTCTGGCGGAGCTCGTCCTCGTGGGCCGCCAGTTGCGCGATGAGCGTGTCCTTGAGATGGAAGGGCAGGGAGAGTGCGGCCGACTCGGCCGTGGACGGGGGGACGACAGCGCCGGCGGCGGCGGCGGCGGCCGGCCCCAACGACGACGACGGGCCCGTCCGCGACGGCGTCTGCACAATGGCCACCAGCACGACGTGCCCCGCCGGCGACGTCGCCAGGGTCATGCAGTGCGGCGCCAGGCGCGCGACCAGCTGCTTGTTGAGCGGGATGCGCGCCGCCGCGCCGCGCAGCGAGGGCGTCGACTGCAGCGCAGCCACAAGGACGCGGGCGCCCGACGGCGCGCCCGTGGCGAGGGCGACCAGCCGGTCGCCGTCCGTGTCCAGCAGCGCGGCCTGGACGGCCGAGGCCGGCCCGCCGGGGATGGCGAGCATGGCGCACAGCAGGTGGCAGACGTGGGCGGCCGCCGCGGCGGCGGCCGTCCGCCGGCCGTGCTTGGGCGGCGGCGGGCGCGTTGGCCGCAGCTCCGGCTCGTCTGCATCCGGCTCGTCGGGCAGGCACAGCTTGACGAGCTGGCCGGGCGCGAGACGGCCGCCGCCCACGGCGGCCTGCAGCGCATTCACCAGATGCTGCACGGTGCGGCTGTCGACGCCGCGGGCGGCGCAGCGCTCAAAGAGGGTGCGCACGACATTGAAGCGGCCGCGGTCGACAAGCTGGCCGACGACGGTGCGGGGCGGCGTGGTGCGGCCACCGTTGGATTCGGGCGGCGGCGCCGGCGTGCCGTCGGCCTGCAATTGCAGGACCTGGTCCTGGACGACGCTCGTCAGGTCGTCACGGCCGAGGCGCTCAAGGACGCGCATGGACGGGTAGCAGGCAATGTCGTTGCGGAGGAAGACAGCCATGGGGCGGAGGGGTTCGTTTGTGTCGGCGTCCTTGGAGGCGGCCGAATAGGCAAACATGCTATTGTAGAGTGCCTTGAACAGCTTGCCGGGGCAGTGGACGACTAGCGTCTCGAGCAGGCGCGAACCAATCGGGTCGTAGATGAGGGTGCGGACGAGGGTCGATGCCTGGCTGCCTTGTTCGGACAGAGAGCCGGGAGCACCGGGGAGCAGACGCTCCAGCAGGGATATGGAGGGAGGTGCTGCCGCCTCGCCAGCCTCGCCCGCCTCGCCCGCCTCGCCCGCCTTGGACATCTTGCCCTTGGTCTCCTTCTTCTCGGCCATGTCGAGCTCCAGCAGCAGCTGCAGCGACGGGTTGCCGGTCGGGTGCGTGGGCAGGACGCTGAGCAGCGGTCCGTCGATGGCCTGGCTGACGTCGCCGAGGATCTTTTGCATGGCGAACGTAAACGACGCGGGCACGATGCGGGCGGTGGCTGTTGGTGCGTCTGCAGGGGCGTCGTCGCCGTTGGTCTGCTGAGGGCCCGCGACGGTCTGCGCATAGGCGCCCACGCGCACGTTCTCCTTGCGCTTGCTGCGCAGCAGCGTCTGTGTGGCCAGGCCGTCGAGCGGCCGCCCGGCCAGGACGACGAGCAGCACGCGCAGCGTGTGCGACGCGAAGCGGTGCACCAGCAGCGCGCCCAGGCTCGCCTCGAGCTCGTCCAAGACAAACAAGAAGCTCTCCTCGAGCGACGGCAGCTCGGCGTCGCCCTCCTCCGCCGCTTCGGCCTCGTCCGCGTCCTCCCCCTCGGCCTCCGCGTCGCCGTCGCGGCCCACCCACGGCGCCGACTGCAGAAACAGCTGCTCGCAGCAGTGGCTCGAGAAGCGGTGCGACACGAGCGTCAGGATGTGGCCCCGGAACGCCGCAAACAGCCGCTTCTTTTGCCGCACCGTCGCCACCTGGATCAGCCGCTCCATGAGCCGCGAGCACGACTGGCTGCTGGCGACCTTGAGCTCTTTGCCGCGCGCCTCGCGGAACACATTGGCAATAAACACGCGGCGCTCCTCGTCGCCGCCGGAAAAGTCGTTGAGCTCGAGCAGCTCGTCGGCGCGGCGGAAGTACTCGTGTTCGCTGTCGGTGAGCAGGCCAAAGAACTCGGTCTCGCCAAGAGCGCCCTCGTCTGTAGCGCCGCCGTTGTACTCGTTGTGGCCGTTGTAGTCGTAGGCAAAGTCGTCATCGCCGCCTGCCTCCCCATCCTCTCTCTTCCGCTTCCTCTCGGCGTCGCCCGGTTCGCCCGCGGGCACGTCCACGGGCTGGTTGCCGTCGACATCGTCAAAGAAGAGAGCGCCATCACCGCGGGCCGCGAGCGGTGTGTTGTTGGCACCAGACGCACTGGCGTGCACCTTGTCTCTGCGGCGCCGCTTAGGTGCGGGCTCGTCGTTTGGGGCCGGGCCGTTCGCCGTGCTGTTGACGCCGCCGTAGTTGTCCGCGACATCGCCGTCGATGATCTCGAGATCACGCTTCTTCTTGCGGCGCTCGTCGCGCTGCAGCTGGCGCTTGGACTTGCGGGGTTTCGCCATTGTGCGGTGTCGGTATGTGTGGTCGTGTTTTGCTGCGTTGTCCACCCTCTTGGCCGTCAAGCGTAGCAAGAGTGAAGAAACTGTCAGTCAATTTGGTGTGCATTTTAGGCCCTGAACCAGGCGTCTGCAAAGGACTCGGCCAACGGGCAGAAAAAGTCGAGAAAAAAAGTTGCTTATCTTATCGCACGGATCCAGCACCCAATTTAGCACACCGCTTTCCAGTTTAGGCACTTGTCCACAAATAGAGCCATTGCTGCTACGGCGACTGCAGCGCTGCTGCCCCCTGTAAATACAGCGCTCTCGTCGACTCCAATGTCCAAAATATCATTAATATATGCTATATGGGGACTGTATGTAGCGTCATCTCTAGATATCGTCTATGCCAAAGTCGTCGTTTGTTTTTCTTGTCGTCTCGTTTCATATCGTCCATTTGCCATCCTTACTCCACCTCCTTGCGCACCAGCTCCAGCGCCCGCACAAGGCCGTGGACGGTGCCTGGCCGCGTCTGCCAGTTGACGACAACGCGGAAGAAGCTGCCATTGTCGCCGGGTGCAAAGTCAATCATGTAGCCGCGGCGGATCAGCAGGGCAACGGCGGCTCGTGTCCGGCGCGAGTTGATAGCCTTGTCGGCATGGGGTGTTCCGGGCGCGCCGTCTGCATAGTAGAAGCAGACCTGGAGGCAGGGCGGCGGGTTGGAAGACACGAGCGCAAACGTATCCGACTTCTTGGACAACGTGTCGGCCAGCAGAGTGGCTATGCGGAAGGCGTGGTCCGTCTGGCGCTCGAAGCCGGCGGCGCCCTCGTAGACCCAGGCCAGCGCGAGCTTCAGGCTGTCGCCGTGGCGGCCGCACTGCAGCGTGAGGTCGGCCAGATCCCACACCTCCGTGTAGTCTTTGTCGTCCTCTTCGTCGTCCTCTGGTGCGGCAGCCACGCCGTTCGCGACCGCACCGTTTGTTGCCGCGCCATTGGTGGCTGCACCGCCGGCCTTGTCCTTGACGTCGGGCGGCGAGTGGAAAAGATAGCCCGCAGGCAGCGTGTTGGCTCTGTGGAACTTGCGCAGGTCTGGGCCGAGCAGAAACGAGCACGTCACCGGTACGTTCATCATCTTGTGCGGGTTGACCGTCAGCGAGTCCGCCAGGTGCGAGCCAGCCAGCTTGTGGCGGTGTGTCGCCGAGAAGATGGCCGGACCGCCCCAGCTTGCGTCAATGTGCAGCCACAGGCCGTGCGCCTTGCAGATCACGGAAATGGCCTCGAACGGGTCGTACGAGCCCATGACCGTCGTGCCGGCCGTCGTGTTGACGTACATGGGTGTCATCCCGGCCGCGGATGCCTCGACAATGCGCGCCTCGAGGGCCGATGGCACCATGCGGCCCTCGGCGTCGACCGGCACCGTCCACACGGCGCCCGAGCCCAGACCTGCTGCCTGTGCAGCCTTCTCCACCGAGTAGTGGCCGTGTGCGCTCGTGAACAAGGCAAACCGGCGGCCCGCGCCGTTGCCGTGCACCTTGGTCTCAGGGAACAGTGTGTTGCGCGCCACGATCACCGATGTGAAGTTGGACGCGCTGCCGCCCGCCACGGTAACACCGCCAGCGCGCGGGCCCGTGAAGCCGAACTGACGGGCCAGTTCGCGCGCCGTTGTCTTCTCGATGGCACTGAGTGCAGGGGACACTTGGAATACGTGCAAGTTGGTGTTGAGCACAGACAGCAGCAGCTCGGCGGCCACGCCAACGGGCGTGGTGCTGGAGTACAGCTTGTCCAAGAAGCCCTGGTCCCACGTGTTGACGCTCAACTCGAGGATCCGCTGGATGAGGGCCAACGCAGCGTCCCGGCCGCCGCCGTTTCCCTGGGGTAGACTGAGATTGAGGCGGGGCACCAGCTCCTGGGGTGAGAGAGACTCCACCAACGCCGTGCGGACCGGCAGGTCCGCAGTGGAGGTACCGGCCGGGCCGCCTTGTGCGCGTTCGGGAAAGGCATCGTCGGCGTCCTTGACGAACGGAACCACCAAGGCTTTGACGGCGTCGATGAGCTAGAGAGCGTTAGTATGGGTCGCGGAGAATACTGCACGTTGTGCACCAGACGGAACCCACCTCGGCCAGCTCTTCGGCCCGGTTCGGAACGGACGGTACAGCCGGCTTCTGTGCGGCTCCGTTTGAAGTAGTCATAATGTGCTGCGTGTAACTGGAGAGTGGGTGGAATGTAAATGTGAGTCAAAACCAGATGTATCAAATGTCAACGGTTTTGTCACATGTAAGGAGCTAAACTGAAAGAGAATGGGTCCCAAAACTCTCGAGCCGACTTTTTTGTGTCTCAGTTGGAACAAAACACGTTGCTGGCGCCGCCGTTTTTTACCCCGGTTATGGAGCAAAATAGTGTCGTGTCAAGGTCAGAGTGGCAGAATTTTTAAATTGTCAGCTCGACCGTGAGACGCCACTCTTTTTAACTTTTATTTTGCCGCTTGTAGCAATACGGTTTGAGAGCGAGTCCGGGTCTCCAATACTCTCAAAACAAAACCCCCCAACCCGCTTCGTTTCCAGGTTGAGGTCATCCAGTTAGTCAACTTAAATGCCGATGGTCTCATCGGGAGCCAATGGCGGGTTGCGTCGAAGACGCGAGGCGACAACGTTGCCCTTTTAAAGCGGTTTAGAACGGTGGGCAAAGCGCCTGAAAACAAGGCTAGTGACGTTGACAGCCTCAGACATCTGGATGACCGCCCAGTTCTGTATCTGTATTTGTATGCATGCAGCCGACACCGGGCACTGTGCGGCGGCGTGCAGGCAGGCGTGGGACAGGCGTGGGACAAGCGTGGGATGGTTCGTTTTTGAAGATTTAATCAAAAACCAAAGAACCAAGGCCCGAAAATTGCGACCGTGCCAATGCCTGGTCCATTTTGGATCGCAAAACTCACTTGTATCCTTTCCCTTGCGGCTTGCTGCCTCTCCCACGGCGGGGACTGACACGCCGCGTTGCAGACCCAAGCTGCGCGCCATTGGGTTGATTGATGAACATTGATCGCCGGTGTTAACGATGGAAGTCGTTGTCAGTTGAAGACCTGTTCCACCATCTTGGCAGTCCTTTCTGGCCAACATGACTTGTTGGAGAAGACGTCCGCGACTGGCCTTGTCTATTCATCCCCACCACAGGGCCGTGCACGCCTGATCCAACCCAGGTCCAACGCATGGCATAGTTCTCCAGAACGACATGCATGCAGGGATTAATAGGGGTCGAAGCACAGGACTTTCGACTCCGAGGCTGTGGTCTTGAAAGGCAAAGTGACCAGGGAATCAAGGGCCCTTTGTTTTCGATCAGGTCTTCTTGTCTAGCTTGGCTCGTTTGTTCGTTTGCAAACAATTCGGACCTACTCTCTTTTATGCCTCCCACTTATCGTCGTCTGTTGGCACCTGCATGTCAACAGGCCTGTTCCACAAGACGATGGAAGGATGAGGGCACGGGCGATCCATGCAATCTGTGATCTGTGGAGGGAAGTCAAGTAGAAGGCTCAAAATGGTAATAAAGGCAACATACCCCTGCATCTGTACATGTACTCTGTTCCCCATCATCATTCGCTCTCTGCAACATCGCGTGGCAGTCGGCACGCCATATGCCCCATGTCCCCGTTTGTCATCAGACACACCGTCGGTCGAGTTTGCTGCTCTGCCACTGTGATCATTCTGTTGCTTTGGCCCCCCATTGGGCTCTTGGCTTTTTGGCTTGTTCTCGGGTGTCAACCATCTCGGTCCTAGGTTTTCCGCAGCAAGCACTGGTGGCTGCGTCCGAGAGCGAACGCGTCTCGACATTCCGCATCGCGCAGATGAGAGTGGTGAAAGAAGAGGTTCCAGGTCAAAAAGAACTGCTTCCAAGTATGCAGCATTGACGACGCCAAGGACAACTGCGTGCCCGCCCATCCAAGGCAAGGTCCTTTCATATGGTCCTTTTCATTCATTTGTCTCAGTCCATCTTTCGATCTTTCCGTCTTCCCACCCACAAATCTCTTCTCAAACAGCCACCGATTTTTTAATGATTACCTTTCTCAGACCAGTTTAGCGTTGGGCATGGACGCGACCACAGCGCCGGCGAGTCGAAAGCAAAAACGACGGTGCTTCAAATGTCGAATAGGGGTTTTTCCGCTCCGCGCTGTGCAGTTTGTCGCAGTGCCATGATAGTTTCGAGATAGGGGTGCGCCAGTGTGGTGCCCATGGAGACGTACGGAAAGGAAGAAAAAAAAGAGGCAAAGCAGGGCACAGAGTGAGGAGACGTAAGGCAACGAGGATGGAAAAGGAAGCTTTTCTTATGTGCTTCTGCACCTTTTTTTCTTTTTCGGCAACTGACTGTCAGGTAAATCTAAAACTCTTAAAGCAGAAAGAGCATACGAATTCGACGGTTGCTCTTGCCGCAGCAGATCGAAAATCTGCAGACACACCAGCCACAGAATCACCTGTGGAAGGAAGGAGCTCTACCAATGCAAGTCGCATGATATGAGCCGTTGGTGCGCATGGTCGTTGCTTCCTTCTGGGTCCTTGCCCCGCTGTGATGGTTTTGCGCGTGGTGGCGCGGTGCTCTTTCCCCTTTTGCAGGAACAACCCCCTTCCCTTCTTGGCTCGTGCTTGCCCTTGCAGCAGTAGCCTCCTTTTCCTCGTCCAGACCCATTCTCTTTTCCTCATCTCAACCCCCTTCTTTGAATCTCTCATCTTTCTTCTTCTTCTTCTTTGCGTTCTCTCTTCTCTCCGTCCGTCTCGTATTACGTCCTATTCTTCGCCGATCCTTTGCTCCATTCTCGTATTCCATCATCTTGTTCGCTAGTCCTCTGCTCTCTTTTCTTGTCGTGGATCCATGTCGCTCGTTCCCTTCCGCGTTTATTTACTTCCTTATCCCCCGCCTCTTCTCTCCTCTCGCTCTCCAATTTAACCTAATTTTGCATCCTCTCTATTTTACCCAGGCGCTCTCAAACCAGAAGCCAGTGTCCTACCAAACTTTGTCCAACCAATCGATCCAACGACAACAACGTTGAACAAGCCGTTGCATAAAAAGCGGTCGTCAGGAACCAGGCACTATCTGAACAAAGGGCAACGAACGGCGCCGCCAGCAGCCCTATCAGAAGCCATTGCCCCTGTCGCGTTTGTTGGCACCGCCGCCCTACTGCACGCGACCGGCTGCTCTTTCGTTCTTCAACTGCACGTGGCCCCTCACGACGATCATTTTCCACCGACGAGCCACTTATTTTTAAGGGTGCTTTCGAGTTTGCCGCGAACCCTTGTTCACCATCGTCATCGCGACCCATCGTCTCGTGCTTCGCGCACGCTTGACGGAAGACGACAGCGAAGCCCAACAGCGCCCCTCCGAAGCAAGCGGCTCCGGCTGCCACGAGCAGTAGGTCTGTAGCCGAGCCCAGATCACAGACTTTGATACGTGCGAGACGCGACCTCCACCTTACTGTCCCGTCCTCTGTCCGCCCTCCAACTCCTACTCCTCCTCACAATGCCACATTCACAAAACGGCTCGCGCGACCAGCCGCCCGTGCCCATCTCCATCACCATCTGTGGCGACGGTGGCTGCGGCAAATCATCCATCACTCTCCGTCTCGTCCGCTCCCAGTGGACGTCCGAGTACGATCCCACCATCGAGGACAGCTACAGCGTCACCCGCCGCATCGATGGCGTCACGTACCACTTGGGCCTCACCGATACGGCCGGCCAGGAAGAGTACCGCGGCATGTGGGCCTCGTCCAATCTCGGCGCCGATGCGTTCTTGATGGTCTACGACATCACGTCGCGCGACTCCCTGGACGCCCTTCAGTACTTCAACGACCTGATTGACATGGAGGCCGAGACCCGTTTGGACAATGCTGCGCGTGCCCGCAAGGCCGGGGTGCCTCTGCGGGACATCACGTCGAGCGGCAGCAGCGGCGCCCGCGCGGTCGCGCCTGTCAAGATCGTCGCCGGCAACAAGTGCGATCTGCAAGAGAGCCGCGTGGTGCCGGCAGCCAAGGGGCTCGACTGGGCGCGGCGGCGCGGGTGCGGGTTCATGGAGACGAGCGCGCGGCTCGAGGTCAACATTGAAGAGACGTTTGCGCTCATTGTGCGGCGCGTGGTGGAGGCACGGCGGCTGGCGGCGCTGGGCGGCGCAGAACACGACCCCAACCAGCGCATGGACCGGCGCGGTATGACGAAGCCGCTGAGTCCACTACCAGCAGGTTCTTCGAGCACAGGGCACGATGCATACAGCGGTGGCGACGCCCGCCAGCATTCTGGCGAGAAAGACGCCCACGGCAACACGATACCTGGGCGGCAGGTGGGCGTGCGGGGTCCACGGATCGACGGGGACCAGGTCGGCCGCGGTGCAAATCCAGGGTTCTGGAAGACGTTGCGGTGTTGGTGAGGTGTTCTCTCAGAGGAGAGCATATGAACAGCCAAGTGATTTGAAGAGCCTGGTTCTTATGTTTTTTTATTCACGCTTTCTGATTTATGTCGTTATATCCCTTGTCCTTTTTCATGGCCAACAACCATTTTCATGGTTTACCTTGATTTTATATACACTTACTTTCTCGCGTCTTTTCTGATTGAGGATTTCTCCCTTTTCTTAATTTCCTCGTATTGGTAGGGTGGAATCATGGCGGCGTTTTGTACCATAGCAAGCGTGTTTCCACGCCTTTTTTACTTTTATGACTTCCTTGACGTGTCTGTGCCATCTGCGGATGTGAAGTGTTTGATTTCATTAATTACACGGTCGAACCGTGAATGCCTACCTGGTCGTTGTCCCGAAAAGACGTGAAAACAAAGATACGAGATGATAGAATGCAGGAAACAGATCGAAACAGATAAAAGCAGCTGAAAGCACCCTAACGCCTCTGACAACTCCGAAGCTCGTCCTTTCTATGCCCTGCCGGTCCCAGCCGGCCTTCAGCCGACCCCAGCTTTGCTCCTGTTGGTCTCGTACAAAACTCCTTTGCGTCTAGACGTCTAGATTCTATTGCGCTACACGACTGTCGCCGCGGCTGCCACGGCCGCCGCCTCTTGCTCGTCCGCCCACGCCCGCCACGCCATGTACTGCTTGTACGTCAGCCGGCGCTTCCGGCCCTGGTACCGCGTCACCCGCAGATTCACCTTGCGCCACTGGTCCCGCCGCCCGTGCCACCCGGCCTTGCGCATCAGGTTGACGAGCGTCTGCTCTTTGGTCCACCCCTGCTCCGCGGCCACGTCCGGCAGATACGTCGACCCGTACTGGAACCCGCCCACCGTAAAGGCAATGCGGATGCCGTGCGTGCCGACCTCCCAGTCCTCGGGCCCGCCGCGCGCAGGCTCAAAGTCGGTCAGCAGCGTGACGGCGACCTCGAGGCGGCGCAGCTCGCGCCGGGCAATGGGGTGAAAGCGGCTGTCGTCGAGGGCGGCCGTCAGGGCGTAGGTCGCGAGCCCCTCCTCGAGAGGGATGGCGTCGAAGCAGCCGATGCAGCCGCGCAAGACGTGCTCGGTGTCGTCCTCGTCCTCGTCGCCGTCGGCAATGTCCTGGGCCGCGTCGTCGATGGTGTTCCAGGTGACAAACAGCGGGGTCTCGGCGGGCGCCGCAGACTTGGTGGCATCACCACCGCCACCACCACTACCACCAGGCGAGGCGGCTGTCGACAGCGACGTGGCGGACGTCGCGGCCGAGGCGGACGACGAGGCGCCGTTGGACAGCGAGGTCGTGCTGGAGGTGCCCGACGAAGACGAGGACGGCGATGCAGACGAGGCAGACGCGTCGACGAGACGCTGCAGAGCGGGCAGCTTGGGCTTGTCGCCCTTCTGCGCCAGGTAGGCGGCGTACGACGCCTCGACTTCCTTGAGAGTGAGCGGTGCACGGTGGTTGAGCGCGGCGTGCAGCGTCTCGAAGCAAAAGACGGCGTGTTCGATCGTGGCCATGGCGGGCGGTTGGGGCGGCACAGTGGGTGGGGGGATGCGTTGGGTGGTGGATGGCGGATGACGGATGACGTATGAAACGAGTGGGTTGGGTATGCGATGCGATGAAGGATTCCGAAGAGACGACAGAGAGAAGGGGGGGAATCCGTCGGGGTCGAGCGGCGGGCGGAAAGGGAAGCAAAGGTCGGTTGCTCCTTCCTGAGTTTGTGTGCGCGTGAAATGGACAAACACAAGGAAGGAGGGTTACGATTGACGAAGGAAGGAAGGAAAGAGCAGAGACGAGAGGAAAGAAAGGAAAGACCAAAAGAGGAAAGAGACGTGAGCTTTCTGCCCCTCCTTCCGCCTTTGTAATACCTCCGTGGGTGAGCAGGTCACGCACAGTACTTCTCTCTTTTGGACGCCTCAGACGCCTCGTCACTTACACAGTACATATCGCTCCCCTCTTCGTCCTCCCTGGCGTTCGAAGGCCCCGCAATTGCAGCAGTGTCCACAGTGGGCCTGGCCGCAAGTTCCGCGTCCCACGCCCGCCGTTTAAATCCACTTGGCGCCGCTAGATGGCAACGGAGTGGGTTTTCTAGCACGCAAGGCTGGCAGCGATGTGAATGGCCACCTGAATAACTTGAACAAATTGTCTGATATTCTTACGCTTTGAAGCCCGACAACCCAATACTGTTACATATTATTTTCTCTCACCCACGTCAAATCCTAGCAAGAGTACACGGCACTGCAGCAGGTTCCATTTCCACAGCAATCGCCTCCCGAGCACCCGTTCTCGTTGCAGCACTTGCGTCGTGTTAGAAGGGACCTGTCCAGCTTGTCACGGGCAAAGGTGCAACGGGGGCAGCAAAGGCTTGCTTACACAGACACGGGCAGTGAGGTCGTCACACGCTGGCTCCGTCGAGCGATCCACCAGAGCGCGAACCGGGTGCGGATTCTGGGCCGACGGGGTCGCTCGGGGCTGCACACGCGCAGCAACCAGTGTGGCCAGGAGAAGTGTGAGGAGAGAGCCGGCAAGCATCGTGATCGAGGTGGCCTGATAACTCGGGTGTTTGTGAAGATTTAAAAAAGTAGGTAAGAGTGATAGCAGATCGGGATCCGTGTAGATCAGTGTAGTTTGGTGACTATGCTTGGTGGCTATGCTTTTGGTGACTATGGCTATGTGATCTATTTCTTGGACAGTCTTTTCTGGTGATTGTAAATCTGCAAACGGCCTCTTATTATACCCAGCCAGCCAAAAGCCAAAGGGCAAAAGGACTTGCTGGGCCTGGGCAAGAGCAGGACAAAATCAACTTTCAACAGCCCATATGTCTGAATTCTATTTAGTGCCATCCAACAATCCGCGGCGCGATACTATGTGTCCTGGCACAGGTGATGCTTGGCTAATAACGCCAAATAGAGGTGCCGTGGTGTATCGTGCTTTGCCCCAGCAACTTTTCGACAGGTTCGCCGGCCGAAAAGGTTGCCCCGGCAGCGGTGAGACATGTTGGTCGCTTCATCCTTGCCCGGCTCCGCAACCACACATTCTCCAGATGGTGTACGAACGGGTGACTTGCTCGGCTATGCTCATGTCGTGTGCCCTCGACCGGCTGTGCCAACCGTCAACCGCCAACATGCATAAGGTCACTATGACGGCAACACGGCCACTTTGCGCTACTGCCGGTTGTTTGCCGGTTAAGCGATCGATACGGCCTCACCATGGCTGAACTTGGCTTTCTCTGTTATTGTTTATTGTTCTCATGTCTTCAATTTAAGGACTATGGTCAGTCCCTGTCGTATCGCAAACTTGGTCGTCGCAGGGGGGACGTTTGCCCGGGGCGGATCCGTGTGTTGTTTCTATTATCGATGTTGCGGATCGGAATCTGCCTCGCGCTTGTTCAACTCGACAAGAAGCGACATTGGATTACGACACGACAATGTCCGGCAATAAATACATTTCAACGACGCTCTCCTCATACGAAGAGGTCAATGCAATGGATGAAAACAATCAGATACGCACGTGATGTAGCATAAAAGAATACGAGTGACAAAGTCGGGTCGTCGTCAACCTTTCCTCAAAAAGGACGACAAGGGCAAACATGGCACAAAACTCAATCTGTCTCAGGTCTTGGCATCCGGTCTCCAAATTTGGGGTTGTTTCTGCCCCCCGTGTGCTGATACACTGTGTACTGCGGCCTATTCGTACAGTCGCTTCACTTCTGCCCCTGTCGGATGGCAGGGCTCTGGAACGCCGGCAACGGATGAGCCGTCGTGATAAAGGAGCTCGAGGAGACGGCCAGGTGGGTGTCCAGAGCCAAGCTTTTGTTTGACAGCGACTCTGCATTTTTTTTTACATCTTGTTTTGTACTCAATTGTCCCTGCTTTGTGGAAATGGTACTATTTCCGCTGCAGTTTTCTTTCTTGTTTGCTGTGTATGATCGACGGCCAGGGGTGGTTGTCGGGGCTTGACCGCAGCCTGCAGCATATTGCAGCTTGCAGCAGCCTGCAACTATTGACCACATTGGCCGTCTCAACTTGACCTCTTCACTATTCAACGCTCACCGCGAAGATTGGAAATGATCTTTGGTTCATGAACATCTCGAAATACGATTGCATTTCTTCTCTAGATCCTTTTGAGAGCATCAAACGCTGTCCTTTGCCATAGACAACGCAAACTTGGAGCGTAAAGCCTTTCTTGTCCTCTCATGTGTTCACTTTCATGGTGTCTTGATTGACTTTCTTTGCCAAGGCAAGTCGTGTATGCACGAGTGAATGTCGTCCAAGATGCCAGTACAAAAGACCTGGCCAGAACCTCCTGGGTCAGCCCGGACCTGGCCGAGACTGGCCTCGTTCTCCAGACCCAGCGGTGATGGGCTTGTGCGAACCCTGCAAATGTGTAAGAGCGCGAGCGTGTAAGAGACTCCGCACTCCAGCCTGTTCCAACCTCCTGCGTCGTTGCAATACAGACCTTGACTCTGAAGCAGGGCATATTCCTGATACAAAATAAAAATCCCAAAGATCCCCTATGTATCCGCGACCGCACAGAGTTATGTGGTTTGCTGAACTCACCGGCCACTGGTCATGGACGCCCGGTGGCCTGCAATGCCATCCCTTGTCCGTCTGGTTGCCTCTGCCACCTCCTTTGCTTCATCCCGAGTTCAAACGTGTTTCCATCTGTGGCGACGGGCGTCTGTTCAAACTCTGTCAGCTACCTGTCCACCTTTGTCCGTGTATGGAAGTGTCGACGTTCTCCACAAATGATTCTCCTGGCGACTCATGCAGTTGGCCTGTCTCTGTGTCTCTCTTGCCTCTCTCCCTTTTACGTCCCTTCCATGTCCCTCTCTCCTGAAACACGGCCGCTTCTCATCGCTGGCGATCACGGCTGGCTTGGCGTTGATGCGGTACAAATACGCTCGGCGCCCACATTGTTCGTCTCGAGTCCTTTTTTTCTTCATTCCTTTCTCTTCCTCTTCCTCTTTATCATTCTCTCTCAACCGACTTTTCTGTATAAAAATTTCCGTTGTTTGCTCGTCGCCGGCCGACTTTCTGTCTCTCTCTCGCCCTCCTTCTCGCCTTTTCAAAATTCCTTCCACCAGCTGAACCAGCAAAAAAAACCCTCCACAACCGTCAAAATGAAGTACTCTCTCTGCATCGCTGCCCTCATCTCCGTCGCCCTTGCCGTGACGCACGAGGAGCACCAAGGTATGTTTTCTGTCCTCTCTTCCCTCATTTGCTTTCTTTTGTCTTCTGTCCTCGCTTCGCTCGTTTGCTTCTTCTGTCCTCCTTCGCTTGTTCGCGTGCTAACATCTGCAGCCTTCATCCGCCGCCAGAGCAACGTCCAAAACTCTGTCAGCGCCAACGTACCGGCCATGACGGACCAGAACGGCAACGTCGTCCCCTTTGACGCGTCCAAGGTCTACATGGCCGGCCAGGCCGCAGGTCTCTAAGTTCCAAGTCGTCGGGTCGTTTTATTCTCACCTCTTGTCGACAACATTAATTTCGAATACCATTTTTCATTTTACGTTTTATTCTTCAACAACATACTTCTATCCATAGAGAAAATCTTGTTTCTTTGCACGATGGAGCGGCAGAAAAAGTCTCACAAGGAAGAGCTCCTTTTTCAGGAATATAGGGTTGAGAGAGAGAACCCGGGTGTTTATTTACTTTTCGAGGGATACGAACAGGAAAGGATGAGAGAAATGAGTGACGCCCCAACTGTGAATCTACCTCCCCGATGTGAGTGCGAGGTAGCTAATTCAAGTGGGCAATTCATTTCCTTGACTGGTTCCCAATTCCTCAAGATAGTAACCGACGATGGTGATCGTTGTGTGGCGTCTTGACTGTCTGCCTGGCGACCTCCAACTCGGAACCAAAAAAAAATCCAAAAAGAAAAACAAAACCAAGCACCGCAACGTGAGAGCAAAACGAAGATGACAATATGTGTGGCAACGTAACAAGTATGGTATAATTAAACTAAAGCGCTCCAAATGTCAAAACTGCTCTGGCAGTAAGGAATGTACGGAAAGTGTAATGCTGCAATACGAATACAATAAAGGTACAGCCAGGTATCCCTCCGCTATTATTATTATACTCTTTTCTTTCTGTTCTTTTCATTCATTTGTTCTTTGTGCGACGTGTCTCTCCCTGCTCCCGCACGCCGTCAAGGAACGGACTCGGAGCAGTCGACCAGGTCGTTGATGTTGTTGACGCCCAGCAGCGACAGGCGGAAGTAGGCATTGGCGTAGGCGCCGTCCCACGCAAACTGGCTGCTCATGTGCTGCCAGGTGCCCGACGTCCCCTGGTACGTGGCCAGGGCCACGTCGCTGGGGAAGCGGTAGACGCCCTTGGGGGCCGTGCGGGCCGCCGTCTCGGCGTAGAACTTGGTGTCCCAGACGCCCGGCGTCGAGTCCTGCGGCGCGCCGGCCTGCGCCGGGTCCACAAAGAACTGCTGGCTCGTCGAGTGGGCGCCCAGCAGCGCGACGAGGTCGGCCGGCGAGAACGTCTTGGCCTGGAACAGGTCAATCAGCGCGGGCGCGGTGCCGTCGACGGAGGGCAGCAGCCCGTCGGGGGCGGCGCGGGCGTCGTCGGGGCGGCCGGCAAAAAACTTGATGCGCGGGCCCAGCGGGCAGGTGACGGTGGCGACAATGGCCGAGAACTGGATCAGATCGGCCATGCCGACGCCGCGGCTGTGCCACGCGTCGTACCACGTCAGCGTCTGCGCGACAATGTCCTGGAGGCCGCGGTTCTCGGCGCGGGCCAGCTCCGACGGGTTGAGCGCGATGGAGCCGTCGGCGCCGCCCCAGGCCGACGTGCGATTCCAGGCGCCGGCGTCGTGGAAGCCGAGACGGATGGCGCCGCGGGCCAGGCGCGAGCAGCCGTTCTTGCCGTCCTGGAATGTCGGCACAATGGCCTTGGCGACCTGCGACCAGACATCGCAGCTGGCAGGGCTCGGGATGGGGCTCGGGCTGGCCGTGGAGTGGGTGGATGAGGACTGGGTGGATGAGGACTCGGAGAGGGCAGACGAAAGGGGCGCCGACGAGACGGGAGCAGACGAGGCGGGAGCAGACGAGGCGGGAGCGGATGAGACGGGGGTGGACGAAGCAGGAGGTGATGAGACCGGCTGAGATGAGACCGGCTGAGATGAGACCGGCTGAGATGAGACCGGCTGAGATGAGACCGGCTGGGATGAGACAGGTGCGGAAGAGACAGGCTCGGACGAAGCAGGGACGTCGGACGAGGACGAAGACGAAGACGAAGCGGGCGCGCTCTCAGACTTGGCTGTCGAGCTCGGCGCCTGGGGATGGCAGGGGTTGTTGGGGTTGTTGCGGCGGACCTGCTTGTGCCCCGGCGCGGACTGGCGCTTGTTGGCCGGCAGGGGCGCGTGCGGCGACATCTTGCCGGCCAGGATCAACTTGATTTCCTTGCCGGACGCGGACAGGCTGTCGTCGGGGAGGTAGACCAGGTCGCCGAGCATTTCGACGCTGCGCTTGTGTTGCTCGTGGTGGTCGTCGCCGTTGTTTGCAGCCACGGTGGCCGCCGTCGCATTGTTCTTCGTCTCGGCATCGGCCGCGGCCCGCTTGATTTCTTTGTACATGTCGCTGTGATGGAAGCGGGCATGGTGGGCATGACCGGCCGCGGCGCCGTGGCCGCCGGAGCCCATGCCGGGCCAGGCGGCGACGGGACCGGCCACCGCAGCGAGGGCGGTCAAGAAGAGGGAGGCGTGCATCGTTGTGGTGGAAGAGATAGAGTACAATGTGGGTTGGTTGTGGAATGTAAACAAGACTTTAAAACTGTAAATTAAAAAAAGAGTTGATCGACACGGCGAAATCGGGACGAAGCGAGCGTGGTGTCTTGAAGTAGACAAATGGCTGCATGTAAAATATAAAAAATAAACAAAAAACGGGGAACAAAAAAGGTAATATCTGAAGAAGAAGCGAAACTAGCGAATGGCTACGGAAGATATTCCGTGGTAACGACAGTGAAGTTACATAAAGAAGAGGAAACGAAAGAACGAATGAACGAATGAATGCAGGAGAGGCGTGAAGCTCCTGGCTGTTGAAGATGGTGAGAAAACAGCAAGCAAACAGAAGGAGGCGGGCGAGGCGGCGATATATACGCAAAAGGGAAAGGTGAACGCGGACAAAAAGAAATAGAAGCCTACCCCCAAAAATGAAACGGAAACGCCATCGAGCATACTTTGTAGAGGACATGGGGCAGTGGGCTCTCCACGGCAAACGTGACGCAACCTTGCAACCTCAGAAAAAGGGGGCGCGATGCTGCGGAGCGAGGAAGCTACCATGAAAGCTAACATGGGCCAGGCGAGGGACCCAGCTGAGCTTTGGCCGTTTCTTATGGTTGCTGCTTCGTGTTAGTTTGTTTTTATGTTGCAGCTGGGGGAAGGACGGTCGAAAGCAAGTGAGGAGATTGGACGGAGTATCTGGTGTGAGCAGCAGCTTCAACGGCGCCAACGGTACACAAAGACTCTTCTTCTCTTGCTCTTGTCTCCTTTGTCGTTGCGATGTGCCACGCTTCTCATGAGCTTCTCACCGGAGCTTACAGCATAACGATGAAGAGTTTCCGGGGCCACAGTGATCGCCACTTGACCACGGCCAGGAGACCTTGTGGCTTTTCGAGTCGCCGATGTCCACGATCCGACGCCGTCGTTTATTCTGTGGAGATTGCACGGCGAGGTGCTGTTGTCGTCTTCTTTTTTTCTTGCAAAGTACGACGTGCTCTGTACGAGTGTTTCCAGAAAAGATCCCCAGAAAAGAAATCCATCGTGAGACAGGACGGCCATCTGCCGGCGCCAACAGACTCCATCGACCGTGTCTCGTGGCCTATCAATGGCAAGCGCCGGCTTTGTCGGCGGTGAGCACCTAATTTTACGGTCCTGAGTCCTCTGGCCATTCGCGATGATCCATCGCCATGGGCACATCATATCGTATCAAAATTGAGAACATGGGCCGACATGATGCTGGCCAACGCTGGCGGACGCTGGAAGACGCTGGCAGACTCTGACTCGGTCAATCGTTACATACGCGACCATACGAAATACTTCATTTTGTTTTGGCTTTCTCTTCTGTTGCCGCGACCTGGTCGTGTGTCCCACCAACTCAGTTCGCCCGTCAGGGGAACCAAAGAATCAAAAACGAGAGGAACCCTGGCCCCTGTTCTCTAGACTGGCCCCACACGAGCTTTATGGAGCATTGCAGGGGTTGGGCGAGAGACGGAGAGGGACAGCCAACCAGAGCGAGACGAAATCAAAGGAAATTATTCGCGAGAAGGACAAGGCCAGGGTCAGGCTGCATGGTCATTTTGTACGATGTATGGAATACGGCGTACGATGGTAGGGGTTGATATAAAAAAGAGGAAATGAGTAGATGAAAGATGAACAAAAGACGAAGAAAAAACAGCGGTTACGATTAAAGGAATCTTTCGATATCGACGTCGTTTGACGTTAAACTCGAAAAGATCGGAAACTAAGCAACATATTGGGGACACAACGACAGAAGACGAAGGAAACACGGTTCATTTTCGTAATGTGACCTTTTCAGATATGACCCTTTACCAAGAGGTGCATTTAAGTAATAATAACTGACTTATTATCGCCTTACCGATAGTGATACCATATTAAGTCATAGTTCGTACTCCGTATACGAGGTGAGGGTCATCCCATCTCGGCACTCCACTCATTTGGCTTTGACCCCTGGCTCTAGTCCCGAAGAAGTAGCTGTCTGGCTACGGTCCAGTCAAGAGACGAGTGTAACGAAGGAAACCAAAATAAGATTGGCATATTTCTTGGGGGCCGGCTTGAAAATTGGTGAGAAAAAAAAGAAGAAGAAAAAGACTTTGGATCCAGTCAACCAGCGTCTGTACTTTTGTTTGCCTTTCTAATGGACGATGCAAGCAATGCCATCTGTTGTCGAGTCGTTAATCGTCACATTGTACATACCCATCAAACGTCTTCCTGAAGCTCTGCATCCACTTCTGGATCTCGGCACAAAACGGTCTGGGATGTGCCTCCTTCCCGCATAATCCTCCGCCCACATTGACTGAGCACGCGATACAATACTTGTGTAATCCTGCGTACATACTCTGATACTGTAATATTCTCAAGAAAACGCCAAAACCTCCCCTGGTCGAACAAGCGCTTGAGTTATTTTTGGAAACCAAACAACTTGGACCAAAACGGCTTGGGACGATGTGTAAATGATGGGAAAGGGTCGACCACGTCTCGATGGCTGTTTCATGTTTCAGAAACACCCTCCGTCTGATTTGACGGCATGTGCTTTGCCCATTTTTGTACTGTGATGTTTCTGTTCCATTCACGAAGCATGACGATACTCTATTTCGTATGTTGTATTTTGTATTTCTGTATTTCTGTATTTTTGTATTTCTGTGTTTCTGTATTTCTGTACTTTTGTAATTGTCTCGCTTGCCTACTTTGGTATGTCCGCACGTCGTAGTATTTCGTCTTCACTCGACTCAGGGCCGTACATTTGGCCTACGTTTTATTTCTCCATTTCCGCACGCACCCATTCCCCATTCTCTCGGTGTTCTGGCCAGTTCTGGTCAAAGTGTCAAAGCAACACTCTCCGTCATCCTCACAAACTACGGCGTAACCCACCACAGTGTAAAGCTGCACTGCACTACGACTTTATTACACAGCCGTGTTAATGCCACATTAGGGCGCTTTGGGACGGTCAGCCATCTCGTGTTTGTTTTCGTCGCTTCTCTTAGTGCACTCGCGCTCCCCTTTGTAATCTCCCGACCCTCCATTGGAAGCACCACCGTGCACACGCCATGTCTGCCCGGATGCCGGCCTTTTTCCTTTTGCTCTGCGCGACGAACCCATTGTGCGTACGACGTCGTCTGTCGTCTGTCGTCTGTCGTCTGTCGTCTGTCGTCTGTCGTCTGTCGTCTGTCGTCTGTCGTCTGTCGTCTGTCGTCTGTCGTCTGTCGTCTGTCGTCTGTCGTCTGTCGTCTGTCGTCTGTCGTCTGTCGTCTGTCGTCTGTCGTCTGTCGTCTGTCGTCTGTCGTCTGTCGTCTGTCGTCTGTCGTCTGTCGTCTGTCGTCTGTCGTCTGTCGTCTGTCGTCTGTCGTCTGTCGTCTGTCGTCTGTCGTCTGTCGTCTGTCGTCTGTCGTTTGTCGCATTTCACTTTGCCGACTATCACATCCGTTCATTTGCGTGTAACCACTCTGAACACGCCCTGAACTGTGACGTTCCAGATGCCATGTGGATGACAACATGGTACGGCGCACGGACAACAAACGATAACATATTGCCGACCATACGGGAGTCGATATCACAAGGAAAGAAAGGACAAAAAACGCTCAATGGCCTGGACCTGGCCCTCACCATCCAAGAGTTGACCTGCTGCCGTCGACATGGCCCGCTCCTCGGACAGGGAAGACAAAAATAACCATTGTGCATACGGAGTAATTATGTACCATGTGTTCAGCCCAGTGTTTCAAAGTCGGGTCGTCTGTGATCTGCGAATGACTTCACTGCGACATACGACGTGCGACATGTTTTGTCCATTTTGTCTGCAAACGTCCTTTTCACGACACTCAACACCACGCTCCGGTTCTCGCCCTTGTCATCGTTTGCCTTTGCTACTTCGTCTGTTCCCCTTCCGTCTTGCGACTTTTGACTTCGTTTGGGTATTTTATGATCTGCATCCATCATAGTGATCACGCTCTTCAGATTGTCCATGTCTCCTATAGTTGTAGATATAAAATTAAATTCTTGTACTATAATGTTATTTTTGTGATTAGTATATTTAGCATCTATTCGCATGTTTGTTCTTTGTAGTTTTATTTACATCTCCACAATGGTTTTTTAAAAAAAAAAATGAAAAAAGAAATAAAAATAATGAGTCGTTTCATTCAAAAACCCCGTGTTAAATTATTCCAAAATGTCGATTGAAAACACATTGATTTAGAAATCTTCGGTCATATATCATCCAGCGCAAGAAAAAAAGTCAAAGGAGGTCTACTCTACCATTACTGGATCACTGGGAGAACAGGAACACAAAGACCCCCGCTGGTTCTGTTCTGACCAACGGCGCGGCCACGATAGCATCGCATCGAGCACCGGCCTTGGATTCATCCGAATTTCTCGGGATCATAAGATTCTGTCACCAGAATGCACGCCCACCATACGACATACTTGCCAAATGCATTCCGTCACGCTGTCGGCTGCAAGTACTGCCTGTCGCTTATCGTGGCGGTGGTGGAGAGTGGAGGATGTCGAAGAAGGAGGAAATGGAAAAATCGCGGGATATATGAGCGATATTTGGTGGTGAGGATGGACAACCACACCAACCCAAGCACTGCCCGGCAAGACATTTTCCACATTCTGAGTGTCCATGCAGGCGTCGGCGAAAAGCTTCTTTGCCTTTGTCCCGATGCCTGCCTTTCTCAGCCGTTGGACATGGCCAGTCCCGTGAAGCCTCTGCACTCGCATGCGAGCAGAGTCGCAACACCGTCTTTCCGCCGCCTTTGCGTCTTTGTGCCTTTGTGCCTTTGTGCCTTTTCTCATTTCCGTTCTAGCTCCATCACACGTAGCGAGTCCAGAGATAAGGACGGCCAGTCGCGCCGTCTGGCTGAATGGACATGGAAACGATCACCACATGGACGCCATAGCGCGCCCTCTTTGCGCCCTCTGTTGGTCTCGTTTCTGCTAGTTCCGATGTACTGGTACAGCTCTGATATCGCTGACGCATCTGATTCGATTGCCGGATTGCTTGACTGACGGATTGCCCCCCGTTGGCGGGATGAGCTGCTTGTCGCGCGTAGAATATATATCATATATCCAGCTGTCCTCGCCATTGTCGACTGCAGATGCATCGCTCGTCCCTACCACATTTTCCACTCTGTCTTGTCACCTTCTGCTATTTGCCCACAGTCCTACAATAACATCCATCGCTCTCTCTCTCTCTCTCTCTCTCTCTCTCTCCCTCTCCCCCCAATGGCGTCTACCGACTCGGGCCCGTCTGGGTCGTCTTTGCCGGACAAGGCTGCCGTCTGGCAGGCGGATTCTGTTGTTATCGACAGGCACGACGACGACGATGCGGCGGCCGAGCTCGGCAAGTTTGACGGCGACCTCGCGCACAGCCGCAAGCAAGTATGACACCCACTCTTTCCATTCTCATGTTCTCATGTCCCCCCCCAAGATAGACTCTGATTCGCCGGGCTGCAGACCTTTTCGGGCTTCGTCCTCCTCTGGCTCGGGTTCCAGTCCTGCGGCGTCATCTACGGCGACATTGGCACGTCGCCGCTCTACGTCTTCTCGTCGACCTTCTCGGCGCAGCCGTCGTGGGACGACCTCGTGGGCGCGCTGTCCATTGTGCTGTGGTCGCTGACGCTGATTGTGTCGGTCAAGTACGTGTGCATTGTGCTGGCGGCCGACGACGACGGCCAGGGCGGCACCTTTGCGCTGTACAGCCTGCTGGCGCGCTACGTGCGCCTGGCCCGGGGAGGCGGGGGCAGCACGCTCACGCCGCACCTGCAGCGCTACCGCACCGGCGACATGCGCCCCGGGGCCCGCGGCCTGCGCCGGCTCCTCGAGGGCTCGGCCGCCTGCCAGCGCCTGCTCCAGCTGGCCGGCGTGCTGGGCGTGTCCATGGTCATGGCCGACGGCGTGCTGACGCCCGCGCAGTCGGTGCTGGGCGCCATCCAGGGCCTCACCGTCGTGCGGCCGGACCTCGGCACGCCGGCGATTGTCGGCATCACCTGTGCCGTTCTGGTCGTGCTGTTTCTGCTGCAGCCGCTGGGCACCGCGCGCCTGGGCTCCGCCTTTGCGCCCATCGTCGTCGTCTGGCTGCTCTTCAACCTGGCGTCGGGCGTCTACAACCTCGCCGTCCACGACCACACCGTGCTCAGGGCCGCCAGCCCGCACTATGCCGTCCTGTACCTCGTCCGCAACGGCACCGACGGCTGGCGCAGCCTCGGCGGCCTGCTGCTGGCCTTTACCGGCGTCGAGGCGCTGTTTGCCGACCTGGCCGCCTTTGGCCGCCGCGCCATCCAGCTGTCGTGGCTGTGCCTGGCCTTTCCGTGCCTCCTGTTTGCCTATGCCGGCCAGGCCGCCTTTATCGCGCAAGACGCCACCGGCACCGCCTTTGTAGGTGTCTGTCCTTTGCACGCCGCGACCGTGCTGCTTTCCTTTGCTGTCGACACCGCTGACCCTCGTCCAGACCAATCCCTTTTACAACACCGTCCCGCCCGGCACATTTTATTTCAGGTACGTCCCTCCACTGCTTCTTTTGTTCTCTTTTTCTTCTCTTTTTCTTCTTCTTCTTCTTCTTTGTCTCACATCTCCACCACCCCCAGCATGGTCATCGCCATCCTCGCTGCCGTCGTCGCGTCCCAGGCCATGGTCACCAGCACGTTCCAGCTGCTCGTCCAGGTCATGCGCCTCTCCTACTTCCCCCACGTCAAGGTCGTCCACACCAGCCGCCGCTTCCACGACCAGGTCTACGTGCCGCTGGCCAACTGGCTGCTGATGGTCGGCACCGTCGTCGTCACCGCCGTCTACAACAACACCACCTCGCTCGGCAACGCCTACGGCGTCTGCGTCGTCTTCGTCACCTTCCTCACCACCTGCATGCTCGCCCTCGTCGCCCTGCTCATCTGGCGCCTGCCCGTCTACGTCGTGCTGCCCGTCTTTTTGCTCTTTGCCCTGCTCGACGGCACCTACCTGTCCGCCGTCCTCACCAAGGTGCCCGCGGGCGCCTGGTTCACGCTGCTGCTGGCCCTTGTGCTGTCGTCTGTGTTTGTCCTCTGGCGCTTTGGCAAAGAGGCCCAGTGGGCCGCCGAGGCGCGCCACCAAGCCGCTCTCGCCGCCCACGACGCTGCGGCGGCGCCCTCGCCCCCGCCACCGCCCACGTCCGTCGTCCCCGGCCTCGGCATCTTCTTCGACAAGCTCGGCGACCCCGCCCGCCCGCCGCCCTGCTTCACCCACTTCGTCCTCAAGTTCGCCGCCCGCCCCGCCGTCATCCTCTTCTTCCACATGCGCCCCCTCGACGTCCCAGTCGTCACCGCCCCCGACGAGCGCTTCGTCGTCGCCCGCCACCGCCACCCCTCTCTCGCCCGGTCGTCGACAAATGCCTACCTCGTCGTCCTCCGCCACGGCTACGCCGAGGAGCCCCTGCACCCGGGCATTGCCCACGACCTCGTCGCCCAGGTCGATGGCTTCCTCGCCCGCAGCCTCGGGCGCACGCCGCCGGAAAACGTGCCGCGCGTCGAGCAGGAACGGGCGGCGCTGCGGGCGGCCAGCGCGACCCAAATCGTCTATCTGCTGGGCAAAGAGGCCATGCGCGTGGGCCGTCGGTCTGCTGACGGTGACAAAGAAAAGGACAAGGACGCGGCCAGAGGGACACGGAAGCCGACGTGGAGGCAGCGTCTCAACGTCTGGCTCCCGTGTCGCCGCCTGCTGCTGGAGCTGTTCCTGTGGATCCGCGAGAACTCGCGCACCAAGCTGGCGGCGTTTGACATGGAAATTGACAAGATGGTCGAGGTTGGCTATCTGACGGAGCTTTGACAGGCGGGGAGGAGGTCCTGTGGGAAGCAAGGGTCAGAAAGGACACATCGAGAATTAAGGCGAAAAGAAAAAAAAGAAAGGTCATAGCACGAAAAGAATGACAGTAAATGACCAAAACTATCGCGTATTTGTCTGTTGTGATGTCTGTCGCTTGCCTCGACGTGATTGATCTCTGAAACAACTCAGCGATACGTAGGGAGTAAATTACGTCGTCCAGTGTTCGCGTTCGTGCTGTATTCCAAATCGGAGAGATACGACGGATACGGATTTTGGCGGTTCGCATTGTCCGGCGACTTTTCGCGACCAGACGACGTACCACCTTGGAACTGCGACGCTTTGGGCCTCCATCGCCTTATGTGTCTGCACGGTCAATCAGTCGACCGCGTCCTCCAGATTAAGTCGCCGCGTGGTCGTGCTTGTCGATGTCCTGTCCTCGCTCGGCTCAACCTTTTTGGTGCTTTGCTTCCGGACCGGGCCAACTTCACCCGTGGCATTCAAGCTTGCGTGCCACGCTAAAAAGCTTATTTGCACGCCCACACGCATCCCGAGACACAGCTTTCGTCTCCGGAGCCACGCGACGAAAAGACTCGCCGTCTCGGGCCGGTTGAGCGACCGCGACGACGTTGCGCCGTCTTTTTCGGGCGATGAGGTGACTCGCGCGCCGAGAGCGTAAATAAAAAGGCGGCGGCATTCCTTTCCGTCGAGAAGAAGAGCGAATCGCCTCTGCACTCATTCATTTGTCGCAGGTCTCCTCGTTTGTTTCGTTTGTCTCGTTTGTCCTCTCGTATATTCCCTCCCATTCTTTCACCTCCGCCCATCCCTCCCTCCAACCTCACCGCTCCAACGCCTCGCCAGTCGCCGACATGGCCATCGCCGACGATCGTCCGCCCCCGGCGGCGAGCACCTCGGACAGCAACGACACCACCATGAAGCCGGGCAACGACATTGAGGCCAAAGACGTGCTGAGCGACGCCACGGACGCCCCGGCCGCGGACGCGCCCGACACGCCCAGGGCGCCGTCGCTCCAGCGCGGCCCCCGCTTCTGGGCCATCATCGCCACCCTCTGCGTCATCGGCCTGCTGTCGTCGCTCGAAAACACCGTCGTCACCACGTCCCTGCCCGCCATCGCCGCCCTGCTGGACCTCGGCGAGAACTACATCTGGGTCACCAACGTCTTCTTTCTGACCTCGGCCGCCGTGCAGCCGCTGTTCGGCCAGCTGGCCAACCTGTTTGGCCGCCGCTGGGTGACGCTGGCCATCATTGCGCTGTTTGCGCTCGGCAGCGGCCTGGCCGGCGGCGCGCGCAACGCGGCGACGCTCATTGCCGGCCGCGCCGTGCAGGGCATGGGCAGCGGCGGCATCAACATGATTTAGTTTTTTTGTTGATGACACCCGTACCCAGTCTCTCTGTGTCTCTCTCTATATCTCTCCATGTCTCTCTTGTGTCTTTGTGTCTTTGTGTCTCTCTGTGTCTTTTGTGAGAGGCCCAAGGCCTCCCTGTAGTCCCTACGTACTAGTTAGCCCTGCCATCGCCACTAGTCTAACCTAAAGGTCCTCCATCCTTCCTACCTACCAATATACCCAGTACTCTCCCACATTTTCTCTCCCTTTTTAATAAACAATTATTACCTTTTTAAACAATTTATCTTTAAAAAAAGATTGTACAACTTCATGTTTATGTTAATGTTCGTTCTTCTTAAAAACAACATTGTACTTGGTGAACGGGTAAAGTTGACATATTTTTCAAGCTTAAGACGTCTCTCTTTACTTGTAACAAGGCAACAATTCGACTCAGTCGAATTGTTGCAATGGCTCGTTCATTTTGCCGTTCCATCTATGTGTGCTCCTTCTTAGCAGCTCGTTCATTTTGTCGCTCCCTTTTACGTTTGGAGTTGCGCTGCGATGTGTCCGCGTTGACGTACTCTTTGTATCGGTAGCTGTCTCTGGATGTGTGATAAATGTTAGTGCCATGAGTCGAGCATAATAAAAGCGTAATAGTCATGAGGTTGAAGCACCGCGGGGATGCCTCCGGCATCCCACAGTCGTTCCCTCTACATTTGCTCCTTATTATTGAAAGCATGGCTCGCCTATTTTTGTTTGTCGCTCCTTTTACGTTTGCTCCTTCTGCATCTGTTTCTGCATCTGTTTCTGCATCTGTTTCTGCATCTGTTTCTGCATCTGTTTCTGCATCTGTTTCTGCATCTGTTTCTGCATCTGTTTCTGCATCTGTTTCTGCATCTGTTTCTGCATCTGTTTCTGCATCTATTTCTGCGTCTGCTTGTGCGCTAGCTCCTTCTGAGCGTATTAGCTCCTTCTGCGTCACTGATAAGAGCTCTACATTTGTTTCTGCATTAGCTGCTTCTGCACCTTCTCTTTTTACGTTAGTCTACTCTGTACTTTCCGCGCCTTCTCTTTGCTAACCTGCCCTTTCCGCGTCTATTCCTTCTACGTCCGCTCCTTTTACATTTGTTTCGCGTCTGTTTCTGCATTAAAGGCTCTTTTTATGTCTGCTCCTGCGTCTGCTCCTGCGTCTGCTCCTGCGTCTGCTCCTGCGTCTGCTCCTGCGTCTGCTCCTTTTGCGTCCGCTCTTTCTACGTCTGCTCTTTCTACGTTTGCTCTTTCTTGCTCCTTACACGATTGCCCCTTCTACGTCTGTTTCTTTTTTACTTGCTTTCTTGCTCTTTCTACGATTCCTCTTTCCGCGGTTGCTCTTTTTTCGTTGCCTCCTTCTGCGTTTATTATTTTTTGTGCATAGAAAATCATGCCATGTAGTGTCCACTCCTTCTATATAGGAGAAAACCATGTCATATGGTGTCTGCTCCTTCTGTCACCTGTACTTCTCGTCTTTTATTTTACATGTGACTGTGACTTTTAGGAAAGCGCAACTGCCGTTCCATCCTCTTCTGTTTGTTTTGATTTTGCCCCGCTCTTTTGCGATTGTTTGGGTTTCCCACTTTTGAGAAAAGCAAAAAAAACAACAACATATTCTCGTCTCTTCAACAACACAATCTTCCTCTTCTCTTCAGCAGCATCGTCCCTTCGACAGTGTCGTCTTCTTTTCCCATCTTCGCTCTTCTCTTTTTGTTTTATCGCTGCCGTACGTCCTTCGCTGTGTCTGTCGGTAAGCTACGTTTTCCTCCTGACAGAGAATCTCTTCTCTCGTTGTCTTTATTGCCCAAGCCCGTTTTCGTATCTTTTTCCCCCACTACTGGCCATCTTACTTTGCCTCCTCATGGTAGTGACCGCACCGCCCTCCCCGCACAGTAAGTTACATTTACCCGTTCCCTATTACCCCCCTACCTGAACTAAATCTAACATGCGTTGTGTGTATAGGACATGGCTGATCGGTCATACGACGCGAAACGGGCCGCAAGGCTCGCTGCGCACCAAGCCAACATAGCAAACGAGGACAAGATCGCGAACAAAGTTTTATCTTTGCCCACTCAAAAAAGACGCGGGCCATTATCGAGACACCACATAAAGAGAGAGTACGAAAGCTTCTTGGCACTGTCCACCGACCCGCTTACGGGACCCATTTGCCAAGACGAAGATGAAGCAAAAAGATATTTTCAAAAGGGCAACCCCCCCTTTTCAGAAGCCGTCCTTTTCCGCTACTTTGAAGCAGTGGCCGTCAGCAGACAGGGATACCTCGACAAAGACAAACTGAGTGCCTGGACTCTCAAGTTGATTCTCATGCGCCTCGTCAACGCTGCCGCCGACGGTGGCAACCCAGTGCCACACACTACTATCAAGGCGGCAATGGAATACATTTACCGGTCCCTTTTAAGTCGAGGGTTGGCACACAACAACCAGAGAGTAAAGTGGACGCCGACGCCGGAGGACATCAATCGTTTGTTGCACTCTTTGTTCGACAAGAGATTCCTTTGTCAGTTGATGTCAACGCGAGACGCACTACTTATTGCGTTGTACATAAACTTGCATATTGATTGCGGCGCGCGTGCTGGTGAGCTCATCATCTCTTCAACCGGGAGAGTCAGGGACGAAACAATGAGCGAGGCACCAAACAAGGTCTTTACGTGGGGTAGTGTTGAATTCTTCGTCACTCGGCACGAGGGCGAACACTCCAACTCGATCATCGCTAGGCTTACATTCCACTCGACAAAAGGCACAACGCGAAATCAGGCCGGAATCAAGCGCCTGCCGCTACGACTTCTGCCCCCATGCAATGCTGCCTACGACTCCTTGTTTTGGATGGTCAACTTGGGTCTTATCGATCAAGTTTTCGTTGGGGTTACTACATGGGCAGATATCAATAGAATCCCTGCACACAAGGATGGGACGCCGCTGCACATCAAGGCGTCTATGAGAGACACACCAGTAAGTCCTTTATTTCTTCCTTTCTTCTGTCCCCTTTCTTTCCCCCCCCCCTTTCTCTTTTTTTCCCCTTCTTCTTTCTTTTCTTCTCTCTCACTCTATAGTACTCTTTTTGTTCTCCGACTTTGTCCAAACACTAATGTCCCTGGAAACAGATTTTCCGCACTGTCGCCATTGGGAACCAGTCCCGTGCCGTTTCTCCCAAACTGATGACCTACCCCAAAATGAGGGATATGCTCGAAAAACTGAGCAAGCATTGCGAATTGGGCCACTCCGTCCAATCATCCCTGCTTCGGCGGTTGGCGGCCTGCCAGCTCTCTAAGCTGGTGTCGGAGGAGGAGCGATGCTCCCGGCTTGGCCACAACGATGCGGACAATGTATATTGGGCACATTACCGGAACACCACATCTACCATTGACTTCCAAGGGATGCGACATAGCATGCCACTAAAGGACGTCAGCGTCATCAGCAGTGTCTTCTTTGGTAGGGGCGGTGCATCTCCGCCAACCTCTCTTTCGAAAGAGGGCATAGCACAGGTCTATACAAACGTCGATATCCGCGACATGCAGAATGCAATGGTCACGCTCAAAGATGATCTCGTGGGTTCATACGGCTCCTTGAAGCAGGCCTTTTTTGCCAATGACGATCTCAAGACGAAGTGGGAAAAGCACAGAATCGCATACAACTCGAAGGTCAACAACATGAAGGCGGCTGTTCTCCGCGCCGAGATAAGGAAATACTGGCTTGATTAGCATTCCGGCCAGCTGCATGAAGAGACGATGCCCGCGGCAGACGATGGCACAGATGCCCAGATTGAACAGCCTAAACAAGATGAACAGCATCAAGGTGACGGCCAACATGGAGAGGGCGTGGATAACGACAATAACGAATTCGCATTCCTAGACCCACAACTGTTCAAACTTCAAGCCAGTCAGGATAACGCAGAAGATACAAGCTACGAAACCGACTCGAGTGAAGCCGGCAGCCTGAGCGACGAGGGCGACGACGAGCAAGAAGATTTTCCAGGTATGAAAAAAAAGTCGACTTCCCAAGTTTTGGTACCGAGATGAAATAAACTGACACATATACTTGTTCTTTGTTTAGTCGAAGGAGCCTCGGGTTCTGGTGTAGTGCCGGCCAGAACTTCGAATCGCGAGATATTCAGAACCCCTGCTCCATACAGCCTCGTTGACGACACGAAGACTGTCATTATCGACCAGCCCGGCGAGACTCCCACGTGGGAGAGTTTGTCGAATTACTGCACGACTACATTCGGCCGTCTGCATCGTGCAGACATGTTTCTCCCTGGGCAAGAACCGTTACCTGGCACTTTCATCTGTCGCTTTTGCAACATTCACTTAGATGACAAGGAGACGCTCTCGAAAATTTCCAGCAGAATGCACGCAATGACCTGTTGCAGGGCCGCTCTATTCAAAAGCCAACTGGCAATACTGGAAGCTCAAGACGCCAACATCGCACACACATGTCTAGTGCCCAGCTTAGATTGGAGAAAATACAAGAAGCAGAGACCGCTCGCCAATGCCAACGGCGAGGCAAGAAGTCTACCAGTGCAGCCATGCACATGCGAGCTAGCAGGAAAAACATCGGCTTTCCTCAGTAAACACTATTACTCACACGGCCGCCAACTCTCGAATCAACTCTCGAAGAACAACGATAACGATGATTCACCACCGCAGTTCACTTGCTTGGCACACGAAAAGCCCGTTACACTTGCAGGCATATTTGACTATCGTATGCACCTGGTGATGAGCCATCGAGTATCGTCAACAATTCTTTCCGGTGCGGCGAACGAGATTAGCATGGATGCGTTGACGTATTTCTGCCTATTCTGTCAATCATGGGTCGCACGGGCCGAGACCCTCGAGAGCACACACATGGATGCACACATGGCAGCTGATGTTGCCACTTGGGTCGAACAACATGGAATCGCCGTGGTCCGTAACGAGCGCGCGGATCCATCGACTTGTGAATACGTGGGGTTCTGCCCATTCTGTCTCTTCGATAATAGGCTTGACAGTTCAGTACGGGTGTGCCAGTTACGTGGCAACGGGTCCCTCAAGAAGCACATTGCACGACATTTAATCAAGCTGCAAGGGCAGCAGGTGACGTGTCCCCTCTCAAGCCCATCTCTTTCCGGGTTCTCGCCTTGTCAAGAGACGAAGCCCATGAGTGCCAAGGACCTTCTTGGTCATCTTTCTGTCGACCACAAGATCAATGGGCCCATGGATTTTATCGAGTTGAAAGGCTCTGTCATACAGAAATCTGAGTCTTGGAACAAACACGACATGGATAAAACGAGGCGGAGGAATAAGGAAAGAAGCAGTGTTGATAACGACATAATTCAGCCGACCAAGAAAACGAAAGTGACGGATAAGACAGCGAAGAATACAGATAAGCGCCGTACCTCGAGTGGCAAGGCGCGCGCGCCGCTCACCACACTTAATGTAAACGCAATGCCAGGCCGAGTCGAATGAACGGAAGGGGGTGCACATCGCAGCTCGTGTGTATAGCATGGATTATGATAGAGATAGATTTCTGCAGTTCCGTAATTTTAACAAAAAAAAAAAATTATTTGCATTTTCGTTCATTCCCTCCCCCCGCAGTACTGTAGCTTTGATTCGAGTCACATTCAATTCTTACGTAGGAATGTAACAATTCTGATTTTTTACAATTCAACGACAACTTTTGAGCCACTAATCATAGTCATGTTTAAACATTTTTCAGGAATTCATTGCTACACAGAACATAAGAAAGAAATGTGCGTTGACCATTGTAGTCTATTTGTCTTGAGAGTTGCCGTCGTCGTGGTCGGCGTCGTCGTCGTCGTCGTCGTGGTCGACGACGCCGCCGACAAGCTCATCAAGCTCGTCGATTTCATCGGCATACTTGATGTTGGGACGCTTACGCAAGACCCGTTTGGAAGTCGCGGGTGCACCCTCATCCCCAGCATTAGACCCTGAGAAATTGTTAGTACTGTAAATCTCCTGCATTTGATTATAGATTGGATAACTCACGGTCCTCTGGAGCTTGGCCTCTCAGGATGGCGATCGCCCTCTGCACCTCCTCGGTAATCTCTTCCTTGCCTATGTCGCCCTCCTCGAACATCACAATGGCCCGCACAAGGCGGCGGAGTGCGAACGTGTGGTCTAGAGAAATGTCCACGCGTGTGGTGGTGGTCGTGAACAGGTGGTTTAAAACCGCTTCGAGGTCGATCTTTACATCGGCCTCAGCTTCTTGTCTGCTTATGGTGTTCTTTCTGCTTTTGTAGCCACGGTGTTTTGATTTTTTTTTGCGTTCTTCTGCGATTGTCTGCTGTAGCACCGAGATACTGTTGTCAAGGTTTTTGATCTCGATGTTTTGCCAATTCTTTGCTTGTTCCTCCATTATGAGAATATGTGTTTTGGAAATTAAGAAAGTGTGGAGTTGGGAGTGTGTTGGTAGCTCTAGAAAAGCTGAATGGTTGGTATTATGGGGTAGTTGGGCGGCTCTTGAAAATTATTAGTATGTGTGTTGGAGACGCCCGCGCTAATTTTACAGCAATTAGCCAGAAATTCCAAGTTTTGCACGACTGACAACACACTCACACACTTCTCACTTTCTTGTCACGCGTGAATACCGAGACAAAAAGTTACACACTTTTTTTCACGCTCGTTGTTTCAACGAAACGACTCAACCTCCACTCTCTCTTTATTTTCAAAGCGGCCCTGTCTTTATTCTTTCTCTTTTAATCATCGCAGTCTTCCTCTCACACACTTCTCATTTGAAAAGGCAAGCAGCGTTACGCTGTGAACAACGGGACAAAAAGTTACATACCTTCCTTCACGCTCGTTGCTTAGACAAAACGACCTGACCGACCTCCCCCCTCTCCTTATTTTCCAACCCTCCATTGTCTATCTTTTCGTTTTCATGGCCATCGTGCTTTCCTCCCTCGCTCTTGCCTTCCCTTCTCTCCCGTTCTTTTTACGGGTTTGAACTATGGCTGATTCCGACGGCTTGGGGGCCGTGGAGGACGGGTACAACGACGTGGCTCAGCGGAGCAATCAAGACAGTATGCGCATTGGTGAGGAGGGGCGAGTCCCGTTCCAGCGAGTTTACATGCTGGCGGTAGGCCCATCCGCAGCCGCGAATCCCCGCTACGATCCGAAGAAGGAGCTCCTCGTTAACGGGGCTAGACTCGCAAAAGGCAACGAGCTTTTGGAGGGCGAGCAAACCAAGATGTATCTAGAGGTCGGCATTATTGACGGCAAGGACCCCAACAAGTACCTCGGCACCGGAAAAGGCCGCGACAAATCGCGGGAAGCGGCCAGACGGCTGCGTGGAGTACAAGAGCGCGACGAAAACACAATGCGTGTTTTCATCCCTGTCACGGAACGCATTCAGACACAGACAAGATACTACGTCGGTTGCATGCCAGTCGACGGTCGCCTGACACCTCGACTAGTGTCAAGCAAACAGGTGTTCTTTTATCCAGAGTTTTGGCTGAACGTCGACACTCGCCTATCATCCAAGGACAAGCTCAAGGAACTCGGCATAGCATGCCGTACCCATGCTGCCAACATAAAGGAGGGACCGCCCCGTGTACAGACGCTCATTGTCCTGGATGATGACGAGAAAATCAAAAAAGCACATCCATCCATCACCACTGCGTCGGGGCATTTGGCCTCATACCTCGCTCTTCAGTTTTCGTTGTTCCAGGAGTCGAACAACGGCACCTACCTTACCAAAATGCGTGACACGATCGAGAAGACTGCCGGCATAAAGGAAGGATATGGGTGCGAGACAAGCTCAGAGGGCCTCTTCGCTTTCCTGGATTTTGAGGAGTCCCTCTCCGCAGAGTTCGCCACCCAAGCCGCTGCCGAACTCGAGGTAAGTTCAAATATGTAGTTTCAATACTATTTGTATCCATCTTCTAATGGTTATTCGTCGATTTTGCGACAAATAGGCTTCCGCTGGCATCTACATGACTAGCGACTTCCTTGCCGGTCTTCACTCCGTGCTTTCTGACATGGACGAAGACAAGCGATCCTTTCTAACGTCAAAAACCCTCCCGTTCTTCTTCGACTATTACAAAGAATTTGTTGGATCAGCAGTCACGAAAGCTGGAGTAGACCAGGCTGTCCGTGCTACGGCTATCCACGACAGAACAGGCACGCCCAGCATTTCCCTCCAACAGAGACGCAAGACCGACACGACGTCAGAGAAGCTTCAAGGGATACTGTCTATTCTCCATAAAAGCATCTCAACCCTCTGCCACTATTCAAGAGAGTCAAGCAACGCCACAACCAAAAAGTTTGGCGGTATTCTAGAGCGAAACACCACCGACGAGCTAATGGCGGACATCTCTGAGGCAATCGATAAGCCGCATCTTCAAGGCTTGATTTCCGAACTGTTTGCGTTTGAAGCTGAGGCTTCAGAAAAACCGATCAATAGAGCCGTTCAAACTATCGGGAAAGACATTTTGGAATACATCCAAGACCAACTGGCTCGAGAGAAGGACAGAAAAGGCACCGAGCGTCCTCGCGACGACGACAAAGAGGATGGCAAAAAAGATGGCGGGGCCCAGGCCAAGGCACAGAAAAAGAAGTAAACTCTTTTGCCCGTTTCGCTCTGGGCCCGCACCAGGACGGCGGCAGTGTCGAGCGGTGGGAGCCGCAGGGTTATGGATTGGGCAAAGTGTACGACGATGTGCTTAGCGGAGAATGGGAGAAACACGAGGCTCGGAATGCCGGCAAGCACGCCACCGCCGTTTACGACCTCCACTCAGGCCTCGGCGCCTGCAGCGTGTTCTGTGCGTTCCAGGGCTGGCTGAGCATTTGGGACGTCGGCCCGAGACAGGGCCGTAGCAGAGTGTAGACGGTGGCCAGCTTGGGAAGTTTTAACGTGGATGGCTTACTTTCGTTTGATAGAAAAGAAAATTGATATGTGAAATGCATTGCTTTTACTGAAACGTAAAAAAACACAATAAAAACCGATGGTCCATAGTAGAAACCCATTTGTTCAATGCAACGAGAATGAAAAACTACATCCAGCTTGAATGCTCTTTGAATATTCCACCCCTTTTAAAACACAGTTGACATCTCGATACTCCCGCCCTCGCCCTCTGTCTCGTTGGTAGGTACGTCGATGTTGCTAGCATTGCCCCTAGATATCGTAATGTCTTCTTGTTTGTGTTGGTTGGCTTGAGCAGGTTGGAGATTTGACCATCATAAGTGCTTGTAACGATCTTTGCTAATTTTAATCACTTAGAAATCACTGAGGCTTCACTTTCACTTGAGATCCAGCCAGTCCATTGCGCCGAGTCGAAGCATTTCTAAAAGCTGAAACTGTTAGCAGGCATCGCCTTCCTTCTCTTACGGAATTTCCATCACCTCGCCATTCCCCTCTTGCGTACTTGACCTCCTCCTCTACGTCTTTCATCATTTCTCTTCTTTGCGTTTCGTTTTCTTCTTCAAGGCATCGACGGTGTTTCGTGCGTTTACCTCTCCCTCTCTTCTTCTTTCATCTTTCATACTCACAGCACAGTCGCCAAACAGACCAAAATCCGCGGGACGCCGTCGACCTCGCGGGCAGCATGGCAGACACCAACGCCCGAAGCAGACCAGATGACGACTGGAGTGAAGCTGGAGAGAAACTGTTGTCGACAATCGAAGCTTTTGTTCGCGAGACACCCATGACAGCAAGCAATGATATCGCAGAACTTCTCGTCTCAAAGGTTACGAGCGGCACAGGCCTCCTCAAGTCGAAAGGACTCAAAGTCAAGACGATAAAGGCCAAGCGTAAACGGAGAGAAGGTGACGAAGACGACTATGACAATACCGACGACACGGACGGCTCATATTCGCCGGATACGGACAGCGAGGAGCCTGATACCGACGAAGAGGTCCAAAAAGACCACGTCTTTGGCGCCCAAGACAAGAGCAAGATCCTCGAGTTCCTAGGCAGCTTGACGCCCCTCATTGTGAGTTGAACAGCATCTGAATAAATGTTTTACTACATGCTTCCGTTTCTATCCCACCGTTGAACTAACACGGGCCCCTCTTCATCTTACAGGCCGCCAAATACGGAGACCCCGTTTCGATTGCCGCACTTTCCAAGGAGATAGAGACGTCAATTATCAGTCCCGGCTCACACCTCTTCAAACACCAGACAGTAGCTACTCATGCCATGTCGGAAGCTAGGAAAACGCTTTTCAAGGGCCTGATTCTCGCAGATCCGCCTGGTCTGGGAAAGACTCTGCCAACTTTAATGGCGATTGCAATGAGTGAGCGCGTTGGCCGTGGGCCGTGTGTTATCATAGCGCCAAACTCCTGCTGCCTGCAATGGATCAACGAAGCAAAGAAGTTCCTCGCCAAGGTAAGTAAAATGGAGGGGGCTGCCCGTTTAAGTTTGCTGGTCTTCTTCTTCTTCTTCTTCTTGTCAAGTTGTTACTAACCAATGATGTCTTACAGCCACTGAAAGTCCTTCTCCTCCTCGACGACGACGTCAACCCCGTCGAACTCTTCAAATACGACCTGGTTGTCACTTCATACAACAAAGTTTCTGCCGAATTCAGACGCCTAAACAACTACCGAAGCCGCCTAAAGACGTTTCGTGCCAAAGACAACCTCCCGCTCCCAAAGAGACCTGTTGTCACTCTTCTGTCTGGATTCTTCAATCCTCGTGACAAGCGGTTTGGAGAGTTTCTTGTCTTGGACGAGGCACACTACATCAAGAACCCGCGCACTTCGGTCCATCAGGCTGTCGCTGAGTTGAGAGAGTCGTTCGATACGTGTCTGTTGCTCTCCGGAACCCCTTTTGACAACACTTGGCGCGACGGATATGCCCTCCTACGTTTCCTCAAGGGCCACCCCTTTTCCACAAATGCCAAGTACATCAACACATTTTCCCAATACAAGAACAAGGCGAAGCAGCGCCAGCGCGCCCCCGATGGGGAGTTTATGCTCCGACTCATTCAGTTGTTTGGCGCCTGCATGCTGCGGCGGTCCAATGCCCTCTTGAAGAAGCTGTTGACAAGTGTCAAGTACGTGCCTGTCAAGTTTGAGCTCGACAAGGAAGAACTGAAGCAGTCAAACTCCTATTACGAGGACTTCCAGACGATCAACCGAATGCTGAAACGCAGCCGCAAGGCAGGTGGCCGGACGGTGGTGGCCCGCCCGGGGAAAAAAAGCAAAACTAAAAAAGAGCAAAGCCGGCTTGCGCTCTCGAAGTTAGTCAAGGCCCAGCAGGCTGCATGCCACAAAAGCCTTCCGAAGGTTTACCACATCGAGCACAAGATTTCTGAGCAGACATCTGGCGACGCGGCTGGACCCCAAGCCGTTGTTAAGCTCGACGAGGACGACCGCGCCAAATTGAAAGCATGGCTTTCCGAGATGCGAACCAATGACAACTGGCGGTCTCCCCGCGTCTCCGCCATCCTCAAGACGGTGGAGACTCACCAAGCGACAGACCCAACAGACGCTATCATCATTTTTGACGAGAGCGTCCTCTTCCTCTCGATTGTAGAGATTGCCCTAAAAGCTACGCAACCTGGAACCAACCTCTTCACCTATGATGGTCGTCTGGACGTAACCGAACGTGCCGCCGCTCTTCAGAGCTTCAAGGAAGCAACTGACCCAAAGATCTTGTTAATGAGCAGGTCTTCCGGTGGCGTTGGATTGAACGTCCAGTTTGCCAACGTCGTGGTTCAGTCGTGCCCATGGTGGAAAGCATCCTGGCTCGACCAAGCAGTCGGTCGCGTAAACCGCCCGGGACAAAAGAAGCCAGTTTTCGTTTACCAGGTCATTGCCGACAAATGTGACATCGAAAATCACAAGTTGGTGCAAAGCGAAAAGAAGTCGGCCATTAGCTCGGCAATCCTTGACGCCATCACAAAGGATGAGCCAGATCCAGATGCTGAAGACCAGGTGATCGTTTAAAGTAGACAAGACAGCAGCTACGGGCGTGGAGCGCTTTTCTGTTATACCATTTCTTTTTTCTCATCCTAAATTCTATTTGTTTTACGTTGTTTTTTGTTTTTTTAAGAGTCTTTTTCTAGTCCCTTTCGTGGCTGGTGGTGTGGCCACTGGGGGACAGCCCCTATTCTTTTGTCTTCGAAGATTTTTATTTTCTTTTCTTTTCTAATCATCATCATCATCGTTTTCTTTTACTTTTCAATAATACAAAACTTTATTTATCATACATTCATTCGTAACAAGAGAGAAGAGTGTAGTGTAATACTCGTAATCGCCCCCCTTTTATTCCTTTTCCCTATCTCGATGGACGAGCTTTGTCGACATCGTCGTGTCCGACCTGGTGCCCCTGCGCGAGCGCGGCAACTACATGTCCATGGTGCTGTCCGTGTACTTTGTCGGCCTGGCGCTCGGGCCCTATGTCGGCGGCGCGCTCGTCCAGCACGGGGCCTCGTGGCGCTGGGTCTTTTACATCAACCTGCCCGTCTGCGGCGCCGCCATGCTCATGATCCTGCTGTTTCTCAAAGTCAAGCCGGGGCGTGCCTCTGACGGTGCCGTCGATGCCGTCGGCGACACCCATGCCGACGACGCCGACCGCATGTGGCTGCTGCACAAGCTCGGCCGCATCGACTACCTTGGCAACCTGCTGCTCATCGCCTCGACCGTGGCCGTGCTGTACGCGCTGACCTACGGCGGCACGCGCCTGCCCTGGTCGTCCGCCCAGATCGTCGGCCCGCTCGTGGCCGGCCTCGTCGGCCTCGCCCTGTTTATGCTCTACGAGGCCTCGGCCACCCTCTGGCCCGCGTTCCCCCTGGCGCCGCGCGAGGCCGTCGTGCCCCCGCGCCTGTTTGCCAACCGCACCTCGGCCGCCATCTTTGCCGTCACTTTTATCAACGCCGCCCTCATGTACTGGCTCTTCTTCTTTTTGCCCGTCTACTTCCAGGCCGTCCTCGGCAGCTCGCCCACCCGCTCCGGCGTCCAGCTGCTGCCGGCCATTGTCATCGGCGTGCCCGCCGCCATTGCCGCCGTCCTGCTGCTGACCCGCTACGGCCGCTACAAGCCCCTGCACCTGTTTGGCTTCGGCGTCAACACCGTCGGCCTCGGCCTGCTGACGCTCCTTGACCAGGACTCGTCGACCGCCGCCTGGGTGCTGTTCCAGGTCGTCGTGGCCGCCGGCTCCGGGTTTGTGCTCAACACCCTGCTGCCCGGGTGCCAGGCGCCGCTGTCCGAGGCGGACCAGGCCGCCGCGACGGCCGCCTGGTCGTTTATGCGCTCGTTTGGCAGTGTCTGGGGCGTGGCCATCCCGGCCGCTGTCTTCAGCAACTACTTTGACCGCCTGGCAGCTCGGCCCGTGGCGCAGGGAGGCATCTCGGACCCGGCTGTGGCGGCGCAGTTCCGCAACGGTCGGTCGTACGAGGCTGCCACCGCTGCCACCATCCAGGCCATACCGGAGCCTGTGCGGTCCGAGGTGGTCGGCGTCTATGTGGCCGCACTCAAGTACGTGTGGCGGTACTCGATCATCCTGGGCGGCGTCTCGTTCTTTTTGGTCTTTTTCGAAAAGCAGGTCAAGATGCGGACAGAGCTGGAGACGGAGTATGGGTTGGACGACGGCAAGGACAAGAAGAACGAAAAGGCAAAGAAGGCAGACCTCGAGCTGATTGATGTAGCAAAGAACGGTGTGCTGGACGGTTAGTGAGGGATTCGTGGAAAGAACATCAATCATAGCCAAAATAATAGGCAGTCTCTGCACCCAAGTGCAATTCGAAAAATCATTGTAGATGCTTTTGTTAAATAGTCAAAAATGAATGCGCCTCTCTAGTGACATATTGAAAGAAAAATTAGAAAACGAAAAGACAACAAAGTGGTCGACAAATAATGAACGCAACGAAGAAATATGTACAAAAGAAACCGATCAAAGTAGGAATGGATATGCATAATGGTTGTCTTTGGGCACTGCCCGGAAGAGAGAAACATGACAGCGAAATCAACCAAATAAAATAAAACCAAACAAGTATGCGGCGCCTAGCACCCGAGATACCTCTCTAGTGGAGACCGCTCTCGCCTGTGGCGGCCATGTGCTTTTGGCACTGCACCATCATGTTGACCTGGTCGCTCATTTCCTGGAGACGGCCCAGCACTCTGCGATTGCCGTCGACAAAGTTCAGGATGGCATAGGGGATGCCCGTGTCGTCGCAGAACTCGCGCACGAGTGCCTGCACTTTGCGCAGGTTGTGCCGGGGCACGCGCGGGAACAGGTGGTGGACGGCCTGGAACTGCAGGCCGCCGTGAATAAAGTCCAGCCAGGCGGGGCAGTCGACGTCCATGGTGGTGCGCAGCTGGCGCTGCGGGAAGGACTCGGTCTCGCCCAGGTCGGAGGTGGACATGCCCCAGTGCGAGAGCGTGATTTGCACGTGCAGGGGCATGGTGATGATGTGCGAGACGAGCACAAAGACGACGCGGGTGGTCCAGTCCGGCAGGGTGCGCCACAGCAGACAGTATCCAAACAAGAACCAGTATGCGCTCATGGCGGCCATCTCCGCCGGGCGGATCCACCAGGCGGTGCTGCGGCCGAGGGCGGACGACTTGGCCGACAGGACGTGCAGCCACGACAGCAGGTACAAATTGAAGCGCGCGATGCCCATGATAGGGTAGTAGGTGTACTTCTGGAAGGGCACCATAACGTCGGCCACGGCGTCCCAGACAAACGTAAAGTCGTAGTAGGAGGAGCGCAGCGACTTGAAGAAGAGCGGACTTGTGGCGAACAGGGGCACGTTCTGGATGTCCGGGTCGTGCTCGGCCTGGTTGGTCACGAGATGGTGCACGTTGTGGCTGCTCTTCCACCAGCCGATGGACAGACCGCAGCAGAAATCGGCGATGAACAGCCCGATGAGCGTGTCAATGACAAAATTGTGCGTAATGGCGCGGTGGCCGGCATCGTGTGCGGTGAACATGATCTGGTGCCAAAACAGGCCCAGAAACACAGCTGACGTGACGTACCAGCCAAGGTGCAGCGTGGCCAAGAACAGCACAAACAGCGTCGTGTACCGGGCCATCTCCTTGGCGTAATCGCCGTAGGGGCAGTCGTACCAGCCCGCGTCGTGTATGCGCTGGTGCATAGCACGGTAGCGCTGGATGATGGCTTGTTGACGTGCAGGATCGACGGACGGGTAGGTCAGCGAGTCGCGCTCGACCTCGTGCTGGTTGCTGCGGTCGGCAAAGTCGTCAACAGTAGAGAAGGCAACGGCGTCCACTGTGTTGGTGTCGTTGATGGGATCAGCCTTGGCTTGGGCCTGTGCCTGCTTGCGCGTCTTGCGGGCAAACTGCGAGAGCTGGGCGCTTCCGAGACTGCGGCGGTTGACGCTATGCACGCCCGAGGCTGTCAGGAATGGCGGCAGCGCGATGGGCGTGGACCTACTCCCAGTGCCGACAAAGGTGTCGTCTGCAGTCTGGACACCCGACGACCATGCTGCCGAGGGAGGAGTCGGCAGCGCGCTGCACTCAGACAAGACATCACTGACACCAGTTGAGTCCTCTGTTAACGAGTCATCGGTATCACTGCTGCTGCTGCTACACGGCTCCTCGGCCGACGACTCTTCTGCCCGCAGCAGGGCCTCATCATCCTCACAGTCTTCGCCATCAACATCCGAGCAGTTACCGTCGAGCGGCGATGGTGGCGACACTGTCACCTCAGTGCGGCGGAAGACACCGCCGCGGATGGGCGGTTGGGCATGGGCCACCCAGGGCCCTGGGAGCTTGCGGCCGATGCGGTAGGCCTTGATGGTTTTGAGGGTAGAAGCGGAGTGGTACCTGCATGACGGGGAAATACGCCGATCGGCATCGAGTCAGCATTTTATTTATTTGATCCACCATGACCATCCAATGAACACCCTATTTGGTTATTCGATGGGATGGCACAAGAAAAGAAAAGAAAGAAAACCGGGAATGGATTTCGGTGTTAAGGGGAGGCTCCGGGAATTGTAATTTGCGAGGTGAGGCATGAATGGGTGAATTGACCCATCTTGGATCCTCTTGGTTCATTTTGGTTCATTTTGGTGTTTTTTTGGTGTGTTTTGGTGTGCGGGAGTGCCTGGACCAGGGGAGGGGAAATGGTGTGCTGAGAAATGCAAAGAAGGCTCGGATCGCTCGGATGCGCTGGAACGTGCTGCTGGGTGGCATAAAACGGCCTTAACCCCCCCACACAAGTAGAACCACAGCATCTGAGAACTGAACGTCCTTCAACCTCAAACCACAAACGATTTCGCCCAACTTGGACGATTCGAATGTTTATTTTCCCTGCGTTCTCTTCGGCTTTTTGGGAGTCTTGTCGCTCGATTCTAGTCTCGTCCTGGATTTTCTGGTCCGATTCCGCCCTTCACCAATACCACACGGACTCCAAATCCCGTCGCCCGCCTCCAGTTGTGTATGGATACGACGAACATTCAGGCCCGACAGCCAGAAAATCAGGACATGAGGAACCACGTATCGAAAGAAACGACGGACGTCCCAGACATGACGCACCAAGTCAAGTTTAGAAACCAAAGGAATCCTAGGAACCGACAACAAATCGACGCGACGACGACGGCGTACAACCAGAAGCGAAAGACGACAAAGCGAATGGAAGCGAATCAAAGCGAACGATAGAAAAGGAATCATGGGAGAAACATAAACATCACGGCATGAACGAGGTATGTGGGAGCCATATTTACACTTCAATCTCGTCGGTGGCATCCTTGCCAACCATGTGCAAGATGGCCAAGCGGCCACCGGGGTGGCGGTCGAGCCAGCTGTCGAGGCGCAGGACATAGTCCTGGTAGATGACAATGGTCTGGCCCTGGGCGATGCGGTCGGTGACCTCGTCGGGCTGGAGGATGCGATCACGGTCGACCACGACCGGTGTTGTTGCCGTCTGCATGGAGCTTGGGCTTGGGCTCGGGCTCGGGCTCGGTACTGTGGTCGAGGTGGCCATTGTGTTGATTGGGAGTTTGCGGTGAGCCGTACGTGACGGCTTGGGGAGAGAATGGGTTGGTTGTCGAGGAGGAGAGGAACCGCGGTCAGCTTCGGGGGCAAGTGCCTAGATGTCGAGAGAAGAGTCGAGTGACGTGCGTGTCCTCAGAGCAAGGCTCAGGGTCGAAGACGGGAAAGAAGACACGTCAAGTAAGTGGAGAGAAAAGAGCCGAGGACAAAGTTGTCTGGTCTGGGCTTGTCTTGTTAGAATCGAGGCCTGGCATGCGAAAAGGGGGAGGTGGTAAAGTAAAAGACGAGTGTCGGACAGACAGCCAGACAGCCAGACACTGAAAAGGGCCAAACGAGGACGGCGAAAAAATACACGTCGAGACCACACACCAGGCGAACCGGGCGAGGCAAAAAATATAAAAAATAAAAAATTGAGCAATTGAGCAATTAAGACAATCGCCAATTGTGAAACGACGTGGGTGGTTCTCGCCTGGGTATGTTCTGTTGGGGACGTTGGACGGCCTGGCTATTTGTGCTTTTTATTGTCGTGTTCTCTTTGGCTGTCTGTTTCTTGTTTTGCCTCTCCTTCTGTGTGCCTTATTTTGTTGTCTGTTGTTTTTGTTCTTCTTCTTCTTCTGCTCTCCTTTTTCGCCGCATGTGCATGTAGGAAGATACGTGACAAGGTGACCAGGGGAGTCACCAAAGAGAAACGTACCGAAAATGAAATTGGGGGCAGCCTGCAAGGCCAGACTGTTCACACTGCGATAGGCTGCAACCAAAGAACCAGCACTGCCAGGCAGAGAGGAGGCAAATGATCGTGAGAGAAATGGCGAGAGATGTGTCCCGTTTCTTGAGATTTGCCACAAACTTTGAAGAATAATGAGAACGAAAAAAGGGACGCAATGGACCTATTATGGACTTGGACTGGGGAATGCCTGCGATTGCGACTCTGGCGGGGAAATGGCTCGAATATGCGTGTGTGGGCAAGAGGAAAAAGAGATTGGGGAGGATGAGAGAAATAAACGGGGTCCAATCTCTGGATTGGGGGAAGAGGAAGAAGGTATTTGTCGAGGAAGAAGGGGGACAAACCGAGGATGGATTGGATGTTGTGGAAAAACGCTTTTGCATTTATTGCATTTATTTCGAGTTGATGCTGTTTGTGTTCTTTTTGCTTTGCCCTGAAGGTCTATTTTGGGCAAGAACGATGAGACGAGGTGGAAGGAGCGAAGGGGCAACATGGACAGCGACAAGAAAAGCGAGGCAGGCCGACAGACACGCATTGCACAAGACACATGAAAATACGGAGACGCCATGAGCTACGAAAGACGACAAGCGATAGACGAGATGAGGACGAACAGCCCACGTATTGCAGCCAATACGGTCTCACGGTATACGGAAGCGACGACTGCGAAAGCACGGTGGACAATACACTTTGGAAGGCGAACGGAGGGCTGGTCCGAAACGGCAAGAACCACAAAAATGGCACAAGGAAGGCGACCAAGGCAAGAACGTTCGAGCAAGTTACGGACAAAAGGTAGAAAGGGGAAAAGGTGGGAAGTGGATCGGGGCTACGTTGACGGGTGGGCATTGGGCTGTTTCGAAAAGGAAAGAGCGTTGGGAAAGGAGAAACCGAAAAAGGCATCTTACGAGGAGGCGAGCAGAGATGCGAGAGAGAGATGGCTCTTTCAGAAGGAAAGAGGCCAACGAGGGAAGGCGCGACGGAAAAGAGGCGCAGGGCAGCGCTAGAAAGGGAAAGTCCAGAAAAAGGGGCATCATTTACAAGAGACTCAAAACGGGCAGGAACGAGATACGACCAAAGAAATCGACCCTTTACAGAGTCTCTTTGAGCGGCTCCCAGCACTGCAGCCTTCCGCTTGGATTCTACCCGTGGGGGCATTCGTGTGAAGAGATGACTTGAACAGGTCCAAAGAGAAACGACGGTGTTATTTCTGTCGATGTTGTTGTCGATTGCTCGCCGACACCAGACGACACTGGCCAGATTAGGAAGGGACGAAAACGGTACGAAACGGTACGAAACGGTACGAAAACGGTACGTTACAACAAAGAAGACGCTCTACGTCGTACGTGTCGCAAAGCGCCGTTCTGCGCCCGGTGGATATCCACGGCCTTGTTTTTTGTGGAATTTCTGCTGCTATTTCTGTGGTCTTTGCCCGTGATTTTTGTCTTTTTGTGTCTCTTTTCTTGGTCGCTCTTCAGCTTGATTTTCGGTTCTTCGCTCGTATTGAGTCGTTATTGGCTGCCTGCTCCAGTTCCTGAAGACGAACACTGGGGGTTCCAGCGGGTTCCAGCGTTGTTCCTGGCGCGGGGCCCCTGTTGATTGGTCTCTTGGCTGCGCTAGTCTCCGTCTGGAGCGCGAAAGCAAGTGGCCATTCTCGAAAGTCGATAAGTCCATTTCATCGACGAAATACGACGAGCAACATGGCTCTTTGGCTCGTCGCGGTCGTGTCAGCCGGCGGGATAGGGGTCGGCGGAGTCGTTTGACGCGGCCTCCTCGACCTTTTTCCTCTTCCATTCTTTGTTCTCCAGTCTCCAGCATCTCGACTCCTCGACTCCTCGACTTCTCGACTCCTGACTGTGACGACTCTCCAGCTCTGGAGCGTTTGGGTCGTCTTGGAGCCGGCTCTTCTCTGTGCCTTGCTTTTACTTGGTTCGAGAGTGGCCAATTGAACTGCTGGTCGTCACTGGGGCCGTTCCGCCTCGCCCCTTGCAGAACCAGGCATCGTCGTCGACTGATGTACAAAGTACGGAGCAACTTTGTCGTACGCCTTTCTATTTTTAAGGGCTCGATCTCTCCGTCAGTGTACAGAATACGGAGTATGAAACACGCCTGCGAGAAAGCAAGTGAACACAGATAATGTCTCTTTCTGGCCCGGTCTTCTTTTGTCCTGCTGTGACGGCTCCACAAAGGCCTAGACGCGGTCCTGTTGCCCCAAACCACAGCCCAGGCGTACGTATGCGCGCTCGGCGCGGCACTCTTTGGCTCTGTTTAACCAGGCAGACGTGTAACAAAAACGGGCCATTGCTCTCCACGTTGGTGGCCATCTTCATTCTGCGGGCCAAGCCAGGCCCTGCATCCATTTGTGGATCATCGTAGCGTCGCAGTCGACTGTTCCGAGATCCAAACGCAGAGTTTTCGTTGGCCCCCTGGCCCTGGATCAGCGGTCCGGTTCAGCACTTACACAGTCTGAAAATGTATTGATGTGCGACGAACGGCGCTAGAACAGGCCCAGAAAACACCGAGACGCCAGCTAACAGGCAGACAGGGTCCGCTAGGGACAAGCCAATTTACTACTTCCCTTTTCAGTCAGTGGCTTCTCAATAATACAACTACAACTTGTGCTTGCGGCGTGCCACGTAATACTGGCGCATCATGCATTCTCTCGGGCGGCAACTCTTATGGCACAAGTGATGTCGGGGTCAGCGAGCGCCAGCCTCGACTGGCCCAAGCTCTAGCATGCAGAACGGGATGTACGTCGGTCATGCCTTTTGGATGGCAACTGAACTTGCCAGAGCGCGGCGACTGAAAAACGGTGCGATATCCAGGGGGTTTCTTTTCTTCGCCGCAGCATCTTGGCTGCGCAGTCTAGATTGGTCGCAGATTGGGAGGAGGCTGGCGAAGGCGAGACCAGAAATGGAGCGCATTGACCATTTTGGCTTCTCTCTTACGGAGGTACTTCGCTGGGACCCATGGCATGCGCTTGACAGAACAGGAGTTTCGATGAAGCTATCACGAACAAATTGCGTGGAAGTAAGAAACAAGCAAACCTTGCGAGTAGGAAGAGTATGACATAACGCGTAGAAGGAGGAGTAGACAAGAATACGCAACAACGACGAACCGAGCAGAACGAACCACTCCAGGGTCCATCGAGCGACAAGACGCGTTCGTATACGAGAAACGGCCAGTCAGGTCATTCGACATACGCAAATAGAAGTCCGATTCTCGATCTGGCCGGTCCAAGCCCACGGAACCGTCCGTTTGTTCCTGCAGCGGATGCAAGGTACAAAGTACGGACTACTGCAGGGCCCAAGTGAGTAAAGCATCGGGCGTAGTTGCAAGCTGCAGGCTTCCGTTTTCATGAAACACATTGTGTGCAAGGCGAGGACCAAAAGAAAGCACCACGGTCTTAACATAATACGCCTCGCCTGGGACGTCGATGTGCAAGCGGACCTGAATATTTCCCTTCCGGTCCCTGACAACGACAAAATGAAATGAGAGTCACCAAAATAGCAGCATCGGGCGCAGATGCAATGTTTCCAGTGGTCCTGTTTTGCCACGACTTGGAAAGCTCGGCCACCTTCCATGTCTCAGCGCAACGATGCTTGTCGTCGACCACATATCGTGCTTCATATGCCCGTAGAGACACGAGTTTGTGCAACGTCGCGTTTTCGTGTCTGCATATGTCTGACGACGTGTGTGCTGAGCGCGGTGTAAGACATTTCGTCTCTTTGTCCAATCTTCGCTTTTCGTTCTGGGGCGCGCACCGAGTTGCCGCCAACATTTTGGACTTGCACTTTATCAGTTATATTGAGTCTGTTGGCCGCTGGCTTCTCGCTCTTCGTATCGTGTCCGGTTGGCGAGGTCGACTCGTCCGTCTGCACAATATTACCCCGGATCGCTTGCTTTTATCCAAAATGGCCACCCTCGGCGTCGGTGAGAGTAGGCAAATTGCAGAGTATATGTAAAATGTGGCAGACGAGAAGAAACAGAAAGAAATGACGCTGCCTGGTTGCAATTGGAGTCGTTTCCTGCGCCTTACTGCAGCTGTGTCCTCTCATTGGACCTGCATGGCCGGAGCATCGTCACGTTTTGTTTCCCATCTGCATCTCGACGACGGCCCTCAGACGGCCCTCCGACAGTGTTGCTTGGACTCGTAAAGCTCGGTACGCTTTTCAACATGGTTCCGCCTGTGCTTGTCCTCTTCCTATCAGCTGCCGCCGGCGCCGTGGCCGTCCCAGCAGCCGTGGCACCTCCTCTCCCCACAACGACCTCCACACCCCACTGCTACCTCCATGTCACGGCCAACGCCGGCGACTCCTGTGCCAGCATCGCCGCCGTGTTCAACTTGGACGTGGCCGCATTCCGACGCATGAATCCCGGCATCGACTGTGCGCAACATCTCAAGGGCACCTTTTGCGTGGCAGACGGGTCGAGTGGGGGCGTCGAGACATCCGAGACATCCTTACCATCCCCACCATCCTCACCATCCTCGTCATCGCCACCGCCATCCTCGTCATCGCCATCCTCTTCAGCCGTGCCGCCCTCGCCTCGCCAGTCCTCCATCACGCCAAACTGCCGGGCGTGGCACAAAGTCGCCGCGGGCGACACTTGCAACGGCATCGAGTCGACGTTTCGTGTGTCGGACGCCAGCTTCAGAGCATGGAACGGTTTTTTGGATGCCGACTGCACGAATCTATGGAAGGACTACTACTGCTGTGTCGGTGTGCTGTAAACAAGTCGATGGATCTTCATGGTCATGAGAAAGTGGGAAAGAAGCGTAAGCGAATCGAGCAACTTGTGAATATAAGTTTGGAGTTTTTGACATTAAAAAAACGGTCCCTTACATTCATGATTTTATTTTCATGTTGTGACAGAAAACGAAGTCCAAAAGCAACCAGAAACATGCCATTCTTGGTGGAATTATTCAAAAAAATGTAAAACATCAATAAACAGAAACTTGAATACGGTCCAATCATGCCGTTTGACGTCCAGTGTTTGTCACTGCCACTGCCTTCTAGTAGTTGCCCGTCGCTACCGACAGCCGCCCGCCGTCAAACACCAGCGTCAGCCCGTTGCAGAACCCGCCGGCCGGACTGGCCAGGTACAAGATCGTCCCCGCCATGTCCGTGTCCGTGCCGAAGCGCCGCGCCGGGATGAACGCCGGGTGGTCGTAGCCCTCGGTCTCGGGCGTGCGGCCGCCCGTCAGCACCGCCGCCAGCTCGGTCGGGAACAGCCCCGGCGCCAGCGCGTTGGCCCGGATCCGGTACGGCGACAGCATCGCCGCCATCTGCTTGGTGAGCTGCAGGATGGCCGCCTTGCTGCCGAGGTACGACGGCGCCGACTGCGGGCCGCGCAAAAAGGCGCCGATGCTCGACGTCACGACGACCTGGCTCTGCGTGCGGCGCGCCCCGTCCGCCGCCTGCACGGAGCGGTTGCCCTGGTCGAGCAGCGCGAGGTACGCCATGGCCGTGAAGAAGGCGCCCGTCACGTTGACGTGGAACGTCTGCGTCATGGCGGCCATGTCGGCGTCGGCAAACATGCGCTGGCGGAGCTCCGCCGCCGTCGCCAGGCCGGCCGGGTCGTAGCGCTGCGTGGCGGGGCCGAGGATGCCGGCATTGGCGACGACGAGGTGGACGCCGACGTCCGCCAGCCCCAGCGAGGCGAGGTGGGCCGTGACGGCGTCGACCGAGGCCTGCAGGGACGCCTTGTCGCCGACGTCGCAGGCGACCGGCACCAGGACGTCGCGCTTCTCGTCGGCATTGGCAGCCGCCGCGGCGGCGTCCAGGACGTCCTTGCGGCGGCCGAGGATAAACACGAGGCGGGCGCCGTTGGCGGCGAGCGCGCGGGCCATTGTGAGCCCAATGCCGGTGCCGCCGCCGGTAATCACGGCTACCAGGCCATCGACGCGGAAGAGACTGGCGGCCTGGAGGGCCGCAGATTGCGGCGCGGACATGACTGAGGGACGGGCGGGGGTGGGAGAGAATGAACAATCAATGTCCAAGTGTAATTCTGCTATCAACTTAAACCCATATGTTTGATGCAACAGAATCGTCAGTGAGGTGTAATCGGTAGACGAAGGTTGGTTTGGAGACCAAGGAAGATTTCATTGTGGCTGGACGGGATGCGGCCTGTCTTTTAAACCACGATTCTGTTCCGCAGTGCACTCCGTTCCTCCACTGGGGAACTCCGGGACATGTTGAGAACGCAAGAAAGCGCGACGGTAAGCTCGTAACGCCGGCAACATACATGCTTAACCCTTCGAAACCGTCAAAGGCGGGGGACGATGCAGTGCAACCATGGTTTGGCGTGCTTAAACGGAGGGGCCGGGAAGAGCATCACAGAAACGAGCCATCATCGCTCCGTCAGTACAGAATGACAATGCCAATATTATCTATAAAGTGGAAGCTAGGAACAAAATAAAATATATGACAAAATGCAAATGAGGGCAAAACGACAAAACAAAGTAAACAAAAACAAGTACAAAGCAAAAACCAGACAAGAAACAAAACAAAAGACAAAAAAAAAAAAAAAAAAAAAAAAAAAAAAAACCTAAATACAACCTCCCAAAAATCCCGCCCGGAATAGTATCTCGTGTATTCATGATGGTCCCCTGGCTGGCCTCTACTCTGTCTCTCTGTCTGTGTATGTGTCTGTGTTTCTGTAGTTTTGCTGGTCGACGTCCATGCTGTCGCCGTCTCGTATCGTCGCGTGCCACCACCCAGAGCAGAGCAGCACTCGGACGCCTATTCCGGGATGCGGCCCTCGACGGCCGTAATCGCCGCCAGGTTCACCTCGCCAATCGTCGCCACAGGGCCGGCCGTGTCGGCCAGCAGCGCCACGCAGTCAATCACGTCCTCGGGCTCCAGCAGATGCCACTTGGCCAGCGTCACCTTGGTGCTCGCGCCGACCGTCACCGTGAAGACGTGCTCCGACGTGACAGCGGCCGGCGCGTCGTCGTCATGCGGCGTCGACAGGCCGTTGAGCGCACGGAACATGTCCTCGTCGGTCGCATCGTCGCCCATGCACAGCACAAACTCGAGCTCGTTGTCGTTTTGTTGCGCAGGCGCAGGCTGGGCGGTCTGCAATCCGCCCTCGGCGCTGAGCACGCCCGACGCCTCCATGGGCGTGCGCGAGCCAACGCTGGCCACGCTGCGAATGTCCGAGCCGTACGACGACACGAGGCGCTTGACAATCTCGCCCTTGTTGATAAACGTGGGGCGCACCTCCACATTCGCCTTGCCCGCCATGACGTCCACGTCCCACTTGCGCGTCACCGTCGCCTCCAGCTCCTTGTGGCACTCGCGTGCCATGTGCGGGCCCTGCTCGGGGTCGGCCAGTCGGTAGTGCCATGTCAGGGCGCAGCGCTTGCGCTCAATGAACGAGCCTGCATCGTGTTAGCACCCGTATTTCCAGCCTACGGGGTATGACGACAGTACTCACCAGGCACGCGGTCGGTGTATTTCTGGAAAATCTCCATCACCTCGGCTTGCCAGCCCATGTCCAGCTTCTCGGCCAAGTTCTCCCAGTCCTCCTGCCCTGGGTGGCGCATGAAACTGCCGTGCTCTGCACTAAAGCCCAGCTCTTTGATGTGGCCCAAGTGATGGCTGAGGAACTCCTGGTCGCGGCCACTGATGATCCACACAGCATTGCGGTGGTCGGACGCCAGTTTGGTCAGGGCCTTGATAATGGCCTCCGACGGCACAGCGGCGCTCGGCTCGCGCACAATAGGCGTCAACGTGCCGTCGTAGTCAAAGAGGAACAGTCGGCGGCGGGCGTCGCGGTACTGCGAGAGAAGCACAGAACGGTCGAGCAGCGGGGTCGCCGCGACGTTGCGCCGCGAGCTGAGCACGTTCACGAGGCGATCCATCAGGTTGTTGATCCAGTGCTGCACCGTGTTTGTCGTGACGTGCTCGTAGAGATGGTTGTGCATGCGCGCCAGGTCCTCGGGCGACTTGGTCAAGCCCTGCTCGATGGCGTCGGCGACGACAGTAAAGTCCCACGGGTTGATGTGGATGGCTTCGCGAAGGCTGCCGGCCGTGCCGCTGAACTCGGAGATGATGAGCGGGCCGTGGTTGTCGCGCTGGCAGATGACGTACTCGAGACTGGTCGTGTTCATGCCGTCGCGCACAGAGGTGATGAGGCCGATGTCGCCAGCGCGCAGCAGGGCGAAATATTCGTCTTGGCTCAGGTACTGTGGGTAGTGCTGCACGGGCGAAAACCCCAACGAGCCGTAGGTACCGTTGATGGCCATGACTAACTCGTTGACCCGACTCGCAATCTTCGCCTCTTCGTTGTCGCGGTCCTCCTCAATCGAAGTAGGACTAGTGACCTGGATCAGCACCACACGGTCGCGCCATTCGGGGTACTTGGCCAAGAAGGCCTCGAACGCCAGAAGCTTCTTGTCCACACCGCGAATGCTGTCCAGGCGGTCGCGGCCGACAATAATCTTCTTGCCGTCGTACATATTCCGCAGCGCCTCGTACTTTTGGTTGACCGCATCGCCCCATGCCAAGCGCTCAACCTTTGCCACGTCGATCCCAATCGGGAAAACGCCAAACTCGACGCGCGAGCCATACGTGTCGACGCCGTTGGCATCAGACGCGAAGCCCAGTAGCCGCGAGCAGCAGCTCGAAAAGTGTCGCGCATAGCCGAAACTCTGGAAGCCGATGAGATTGGCGCCAAGCACGCCCTCAAGAATCTCCTTGCGGCGTGGCAGACAGCGGAAGAACTCGCTGCTGGGGAAGGGCGAGTGCAGGTAGAACGAAATGTACATGTTTGGGGAGCGCTGGCGCAGCATGCTGGGCAGGAGCATGAGGTAGTAGTCATGGATAATGACAATGTCGCCCGGCTTGTACAGCTCCGAAATCTTGTTGGCGAACTTTTGGTTCATGCGGTAGAAGTCGGCCCACTGCAGACGCTCATTGCGGCCGTCGGTCGGGCCGTGCTGCTTGTAGTGGAAAAGGCCGTACAGCTCGTGCTCGGCGTACCGCCGCCACCGTGCCTGGTCCTTTAGCCGAATGCCCTCCTCCGAGTTCTCGGCAGCATCGTCGGCCAGCCACACCGGTGCCACCTTGATACGCGGGTCGTGCGCGAGTTGCTCGTCAAGCCGCTGCATATCCTCCCGGGGAATGTAGAGGCCGTCCGAATCATGCTGCACGGGCGCGGTCGGCTGGAAGCCATCGACAGGGATCGGTGCAGAGAGCGCGTTCAAGGGAGCGACGGCCGCCGACGTAGGTGGGGTGTCCGGCGGCGAGAGAATGTCAATCGGCTGGCTGATTTCGCCCGTCCAGGCGACCACCGTGTGGTTCCACGGCGACTTGTCGGAGGAGAGGTAGGAGAACGAGTCGAAGAGCGCAGACTGACCCCGGCGGGGTTTTAGGACCTGTACAAAAGCAAAAAAAAAAGAGATACGTTAGTTTGGCCCCCGTTGCTTCATACACTCCGATGCGAGGGACCGTTCCAGCTGACGTACCCAGTCGGCACCCTTGTGGTAATCGAGGCTGTGGGGGATGTTGAACGTGGCGGAGATGATGTTGCCGCTGAGGGCCAGGTCAGGATTGATGGCGCGGATGTCCGTCAAGGACTCTCGCCTGGCTGCCATGTCTGCGTTGGTGTCCGTGGCCTTTTTTCTTCAACAGCTCCGCGGAAGCTGCAGCGAAGGGGCCAAAGGCGAGGGGCCCGAGTTGCCGGCTAAGAGAGGGTTGGTTGTCTTGTCGTCACGGAGCGATTCGGGATATTGATCGTGGCCGTTGCCCAATGCGGGTGTCACAGGAGGAACTCGTCTGGTCGTATCACGAGGCGGAGAGTTGGAGGAATCGGTTTGTTCGTGGATGGCACCAGACGTCGGACAGAACCGTTCGAGGACTCCCTTGGAGAAGATGCGTGGGCGGAGGGAGCGTTGGCAGCGTCGCTGAGAGCGGTGGAGGCGACCGGTCGGTCTGGAGCTGGCTGTGTCTGGAAAATGGAGACGACTAGTTTAGAACAGAAATTGGACTGGGCAACGGGGAGCCACAAAGGGGCACACAATGAGCAAATAAGACACCCGTGGGGCGCGGCGCCAGCAAGACGTCACTGGAATTATGATACGATGGCTCAGAGAAAACAGCCAGCAAAGACGAGTCGGAAAGCCAAACAAAACATGTGGTTTTCTCCCCTCCCTTTGTACTTCTTTGTTTGCCCAAACGAACGATGCAAGTGGGGCGGAAAGACGACGTCAATAAGTAGAAAGGTTAAGGAGGGGGAGCAGGAGCGGTCGACAGGGGAGCTCAGGTACAGAGGTTTAAAAACCAGGTACGCTGGATGGTGGTTGAATGGGCTTTGGCGAGGAGGACCGGGAATAAATAGAAAAGGAGTTCAAAAAATGGCAAGACAAATTGCTAGGAAGTATATTGTGCCCGATGTCAACGTATATCGTGAATAGCAGATCCCAAGATGGCAGGAACCGCTACCGTCCTTACACAACAGGCAGTCGCTGCAATCAAGTCGTTTCGCTGCATCTGTCGCTCTTTCCCAGACGATGATGCAGTCGAGCACAGGACGCGCTGTGATTCGCTGGCTGGCAATATCGGAGGTGATTTTGTGGGGCTCCTGCCTTTTGTTGGACGCAAACTGGGACAGAGAGCTTTGGTGGGGTAGAAGAGTGGGTACTGTGTAAATAGAAACAGCGCTGTGCCTAGAACGTTCGTTCCTTCCAACAGCAGCTTGACCGTGAGGGGCAAAGCCGCTGACAGGAATTGAATGCGGGCGCGATTCAGTGACGGTGAGAGGAATACGTTGCGAGTAAATATAAAGGAACGACAAAATGAAACGAGAGTGCAATATGATGCAAAGCACAAGTTCTCGAAACGCAAAACATAAAACAGCAAGAGCGATCGATGGAGGCAGGCGCGAGTCAGATCGTAGCGCCAAACAGCTCACCAAAACTTGGTTGACGTAATTACGGGTAGCCAATGGCTCCTTCTGTTTCTGTGGCTTGTCTACCTAGACGATCAGTTGCAGGGAAGGAGGAATCGACCGAGTTAGGAAAGACCAACAGAGGAGCGAATTAGGAAACTCAGTTGGATGGAAGGTGCGAAGAAGCATCCCAAAGTCGAGGCAGAAGAGAAAGGATAAAGCCAGCAATGTAAAAGCTACATGCAAAAACCAAGATGTCCGCCAATATATTGAACACAGCATCACGTTGAAGGAGAGAAAAGCCAGAAAGAGGAGAAGCAAGAAGACAGCAACGACAGCGACAAGGAAAGAGACAATGTCTGAACGACAGACATCTCGGCAGCCGACTGCAACGAACGACGAAATGTGTCGATGGCCAGACCAGCCACCTGCAAGGCCTCCGCTAGCTTCGTCCCGACTCGAGAGGTGTATGATTTAGATGATGGCACAAAGCCAGGCGTTGCCAGTAAGCTCGCCAACAGGATGCTTGGCGAGGGAAGCTCAGCCGGCTGCATCTCCATGAGGAGCGAAAACGCAGCGTGTTTACCGCAGCGGCCACAGACGCCCGCGGGAGCGAGACCGCGGGACAAAGATGACCACGGGCCGAACGATGCGGGAATATGCAGTGCAAGGCTGCTCATCTACCAGCATGCCTGTGATCTCATTGGTAAACGCCATCTCCTGTGGTGGATTGCCAGCAACAATATCAGCACCAAAGAAAAAAGGCCGCAACGAGAAGTGAAAACGAGCCAACAAGACTCGCCCTTCCTGTGGGAGCTCTGCCTACCCAGCCGTATCCCGAAACGACCTGCAATTAGCCAAACTCGGTCCAGAGGACGGTCTTCCTACACGGGACCGGACGAGGCAACACTGGAAATGCGAGTGCAAAATGCGAGCAAGCATGCACCTTGCTTAGCCGTGTTTGCCCGACAAGAGGTTTCCGCTTTCACATGGGCCAAAAGACACGCTGCCACTGGCTGTGGTTGGCATCCTCAATGCCACCAAACGTCATCTTCCGTTCTGTCTTGCCGACAAAGTGAGAGAAAAGACGCAAAACGGGCCTTTTCTGCCAATGTGCAGCTATTTCATTTCCTTTTCTTTCCGCTTTTCCTTTTTTCGTCCTTTTTTTATTCACTTCTTCCCGCCTGCGTTTGAGACTCTTTCTACCGAGACAAGGCCGGTCTGAACAAATGCAACTGTGGAGGAAAGAGAAACAACATCCTCTCAGAGTGTACTTACGTGGATGTAGTAATGATGGCCTGGTCTTCACGTCTAGACTTGGCCCACCCCCGGCAAGATGGTCGGGTGGAGCCTTTGGGTTTCGGCCCGTTGGGCAAAAACGACCAGCCAGAGGAACATGACTGCAGGCATTTTCTGCGCGACAAATCCGATTGTCAAGGGCCTGGTCAGCGAGAACGAGCATATAGGCAGATAACTATCTGACAAGCTTGTCCCTCTCTCATTTTGCGGCTCTCGGGCACACCTATGACGGGCCTGGCCGTCTGTCGATCCAGGATTGGACGGCACACGTCGTACGGCAACGACAGTAGCACGCGGCTGCCTGGTGATCGTGTAAGTGGAAGCTATGTCGTTCCCTGTCGCTTGAGCTAACCTTATTGTCATAGACCTGGACCTGCCACTGCTTGGGCCACACAGATTTAGATCCTGGCAAATCCAAAATCTCGCTGTGTCATGTTTGCAGTGTCTGCTGCACAGCATCAACAAGTCCTTGAGAAAAATCCTCCCACATGACTTGCCAACACAGGAACATGTTTCTGCCAGTCACAATCTTCTATGCTTTGATGCGACGTACGCATAAGCGAACTACATTTCAGAGGCTCTGGGGTCTGACTTATGGCATCGAAAGCGAGCCTTTCTCAAACAAGAGCAGGAGTTCTGCTTTGCCCGAGGCACACCATGCAGCATATCTCTTACATCGCTTTCTATTTACCTACCACTTGACATATTCAGCTCGGATGGAATGGTGGCTTACGGACCAACAAAGACGTGATGATATGTGGAATATACGTGGGAAACATGATTCGGTTATCTTTTGCTTTTCGTGGGGGGCTGGTCTCTTGACGGCGAATGATAGCCGACTTTGTTGCCCGAGAGAACGCGTTTGCGTCGCCTTGTTTGTGTAACGCGACAGCATATTCACTCTATTTGGGTTTGTTGTCGCCCATATCCTCTTGTCAAACGACATACTTGAGGGCATCTCGTCTCTTGTCAGTTTTACCTCCTAAAAAGCCTCCCCTGTCATGCTTTTTTTCTTCCAACCAAAGGAAAGTGGACAACGGCTCACAATTCTCTCAAATACACGTTTTCTGACGAACACTGACGAACACTGACGAACACTGACGAACACTGACGAACACTGACGAACACTGACGAACACTGACAGATGTACTCTAGACGAGGGTGGGCACACAGCTTCCGAATATTTTGCTTTACAAAAACGTTTGAATCTAACATTTATTTTCTACAGGGGAAAACGGTCTTCGTGGGACCCCGTGCGGCCCAGAGAGGGTGTCTGTCGATTTTTTGCCCAGAACAAATCGTGCAAGTTCGGAAACACATGCAAATTTATGCACGGCGATGCCTCGACAGACAACAAAACTTCCAACCCACCTGCTCTCGATGACCGGGTATCCCAATTCAAGACTCTTGTGAATCAGCGCGGCAAAGGCGACCGATTTTATGAGCACTTCACAACACAAAGCGTCTTCGCTCTTGGTCTGGACGTGCTTGACACTGCGCAAGATGCTGGCCTTAGACAAGAAGTTATTACTACCCTCGCGTCGGAGGAAGGCCTCTCCTGCATCCGCCACGTCGCGTCCAACCGCATACCTTTAGCATTGGCAGCAGGCACCAATGAAAAAGTCAAGCTATGGGAGACGGAGGCGTGTCCTCTGCTGCGACTCGCGGTACACAACGCAGTTGTGAACTCTACGCTTCTCGAAGAGAAAGTGGCCGCGATTCACAGCTTCATCATTGGCGTCGGAGGTACTCGGTTGACCGCATGGTTCGACCTCGCAGTTGAGCTTGCTGAGTCTCCTCAGCTGCCCTCGGAAGTGTCCTGCATTGGCCTAGCAGAGCTGTCACTCCTTGTTTTGTCGACACTACTTGGTTCCGGCACATCTCAAATTGTCAACGACTCTTTCCGTCACTACTCCATGAGACTCAGCGCTGTTGCTACGAATGCCGAGCCTTCAAGACCGGAGGACACGTTTTGCAAGTTGCAAGCGTCCCAATACGCTGATTATATTGACAGACGTCTCAAAATTGGCGAAGACATTCCAGGGCTCAGACAAGCTACGCCTTCCGGGCCTGTTCAACTTTCGGCTTTCCAGCTCCAGAGAGACCTCCCCGGTCACCTGTCTGCTGACGGTCCGCGCCATGACAACGATCACGCCGACATTACCAAGATCTCAATTTTGCCTACTCCAGACGAAATTCGCAGCACTCGAAGTGAGTACTTGCCGATAGCCGACCCAACTTCATGGCACCATCACGGTATTCGTGGTCGTTTAGACCGTGAGTTTCGACTGCTCCGCGAGGACACGGTGGGACAACTTCGCGACGTCGTGCGCACCGTGTTGGACAACCTTCAACAGAACAAAGATGAAGGAACGGCCTTGGGTCCAGGTCCAAGAAGCGGACAAGACAGCATTCAGTACTGCGTATATGAAAATGTTGTGGTCATAGATGTGGGCTTTGAACAACGCTCTGGGGCCGAGTTCCTTGTCCGATTCCGCCAGCCGGCCAACCGAAACCGACAGAATCGCGTCAAGCCTGCAGAGGACAGCGATGCATCGAAGAAGCAGAGGCGCGATTGGTGGACATTTCAAGCCAAAAAGCGCCTTCAGCCAGGTGGCCTCGTCTGCGCTATTGATGCCCAAGGATCGGTCAACTTTTTCACCGTTTCTGACTCGACGATGCGCACAAGCAGCGATGTCAGACGGTGGGGACAAGACAAGAACACCTCGCAGGAGATGGATAGTAGCTCCGACCCCAACCAAGGAATCAAATACAACCTTGCAGACGACCCTCAACACGCGTTTGTTCGCCTGGGGTTCAACGGCATCGAAGGCCAGAGCCAGCTTGCATACGGGCTCTCTTGGTTTCTCAAGAGCCGAATTAACCGCGCATCGGCGGGACGCTTAAGAGACGGCCAGCAGCTACGCATCCTTGTCGAATTTCCGGGCATCCTGCTCGACTCGTTTTTGCACACGCTTCGCGCTTTGCAATCTGGAACGGAAAAGCTCAACATTCCCATGTGCGATCTCATCGCACCAGAGCAAATTGACGTTGAAGGGGCCAATCCTCAGCCGAAAGATGTTGCTCCTCCAAAATACGCTCAGAAGCCAGGATTTGTGTTCGACATGAGCAGCCTGACTGCTGCAAACGAGCCGCTTCAACACAGCATTCGCCGCCCCTTGACATCTGAAGAGGTTTGTGACAAAACGAAGCTCGACAGCACGCAATCCGTGGCTCTCTTGGAAGCTCTTTCTCGGTCCATGGCCCTTGTCCAAGGCCCACCGGGAACGGGAAAGACGTTTGCAGGTGTTGAAATTCTCAAAGTCCTGCTCCACAATCAAAAGAAGGCGGAGCTTGGGCCCATTGTTATTGTTTGCTACACCAACCATGCGCTGGATCAGATTCTCGAGCATATTCTTGACTCTGGCACGCCGGCCAATATTCTTCGCATGGGAGGACAGTCCAAGTCGGAGCGGCTCAAAAATCTCAATTTGCGCGACGCAGCTCATAAGGTTGAGCGAACAAAGGTCGAGAAGCGCATGTTGTGGTCATCCGGCGAGACATTGAAGATCATGGTCAATCAGCTAGAGCGGCTTTTCGGAAGTTTGATCGTGTCTACGCGTGAAGATGCGATCGTACGGTTCCTCTCGAGATACGACACCGAAGTCTACAGAGAACTGTTCGGACGTAGAGGAGCTGAAGATGACTCCGGAGACCAAGATGGATTCACAATTGTCAATCGACATAAGCCCAGCGCCATCATTCACCGATGGCGCAACGGTGGCGATGTGGAATTCGGCCCAGCGGCAACCGGTCGGAGGTTGTCCATGCTGACGCTCGATGAGCGGAACACACTTTACGAGAAGTGGCAGACCGAGTCTTTCACCCTCATTCAAGACGAGATTGAGCACGTGTACATTGACTATGTCGCGGCTAAACGATCCCTTGAAAAGGCAAGACAAGAAGCCGATTTGCGGTGTCTGGAGGCGGCCAACATTGTCGGCATGACCACGACGGGTCTTGCCAAGAGCCACGACTTGCTCAAGCACATCAAGTCCAAAGTGTTATTGTGTGAAGAGGCGGGTGAAGTGCTCGAAGCGCACATGCTCACGTCCTTTCTGCCGTCCATCGAACACGCCATCTTGATTGGCGATCACCAACAGCTCCGGCCACAAGTGCAAAACTACGACCTCAGCATAGAAAATCGCGGTGGCGCCCAGTTTGCATTTGATAAGTCCCTGTTTGAGCGCCTCGTCTCGCCTCGAGCCGGTGAAGCCAAGATCCCGTTCAGCACATTGTCTACCCAACGCCGGATGCACCCGTCGATCTCGGCGCTCATTCGAGCCCCATTGTATCCCTCCCTAGAAGACGGGCCAAACGTGCATCTGTATCCGGAAGTTACAGGCATGACACGGCGGTTGTTTTGGCTCGACCATCAAAATTGGGAAGACGGTGCCGTCGGAGGCTACAAAAGTACGGAAGCATCGGGCACGTCGCGCACCAACGAGTTTGAAGTCGAAATGACCGCCGCGCTGGTGTCGCACCTCTTCAAGCAGGGGGCGTACTCTGGTGGCGACATCGCCGTCCTCACACCGTATCTCGGGCAGATGATGCTCTTGAGGCGGCGTCTCTCCTCGATGCTTGAGCTGACGTTCAACGACCGAGACGCGGCTGATCTGGAGGCGGCCGACGGCGTCGGCTCCGAGGCCGAGCCGACCGACAGAGGCGACAGCGCACAGGCCGACCAGCTTTTTGTTCCCGCCAAGACGACCCTTCTGAATAGTGTGCGTGTTGCCACAGTTGACAATTTCCAGGGAGAGGAGGCCAAGGTGGTCGTCATCTCTTTGGTGCGGAGCAACAAGAATCGCCAGTGCGGATTCTTGCGCACGTCGAACCGGATTAACGTCTTGCTTTCGCGGGCTCGGCACGGCATGTACATTATTGGAAATGGCGACACCTGCACTGGGATTCCGATGTGGAGAGATGTGATGTCGGCCCTTCAATGCGACAACAACATGGGACCCGAACTCCCACTTCAATGCCCTCGCCACCCTGAGCGGACATTTCTGGCGTCGTTGCCGGACCACTTTGTTCAGTTTGCCCCCGACGGCGGTTGTCTGCAGCCGTGCGACAAGCGGCTGGCTTGCGGCCACTCCTGCATCGGCCGGTGCCACTCGGACGTGATCCACGCTGCCGTCAAGTGCCTCGAGCCATGTCCCCGCTCGTTGAATGGCTGCATCCACGCATGTCCCCGGCCCTGCGGTGAATCCTGTATTACGAGATGCCAGGTGGAACTCAAAGATACTGTGTTGGGTCTTCCGTGTGGTCATACACTGACCAACCCTTTCTGCTGGCAAGCGCAGCGGCCCAACCGGGTTGTTTGCCTGGAGAAAGTGAAGCGGAAAATCCCGGGCTGCGCACATGAGCTCACGCTTCCCTGCCACACGAAGGTCGCAGACGAAAAGTTTGTTTGCAAGGCGCCGTGTGGACGAGCGCTGCCGTGTGGTCACACTTGTGGCCGACCATGCAGCCTCTGCAACAAGCGGGCCGATGGCCGAATTGTCCGCACCGACCACGGCGTCTGCACCAAGGCATGCGGACGTCTCTACGGAACTTGCCAGCATGCTTGCAAGGAGACATGCCACAGCGACACGACATGCCCCCCTTGCACGGCGCCGTGTGATGTCCGATGCAGTCATTCGAGATGCTCGCGGCCTTGCAATGAACCATGTGTGCCCTGTGCCGAAGGCAAATGCGCCTCGTACTGCCCGCACTCGACTTGCACCATGCCGTAAGTCAAGCAGGGACTGCCTTTGCTTTGGTGTTTATTGTACTGACTGACATTCTGTTCTTCTAGATGCGCTGCACCGTGTAATTGGATACCTTGCTCGAAGCGCTGCGCAAATATTCTTCCTTGTGGCCATCAATGTAAGTCTAGCGTTGTGTCTGTTGAACACGATTTCGAAATGTCAAAGATATCCAGTTCTCCTGGTCTTGACTCGCCTTATCTGACTCTGAACCAGGCCCGTCTGTCTGCGGAGAAGCATGCCCCAGTGTGCGTTACTGCCAAGAATGTGGTGCCGATGACGCCCTGGACCAAGAAGTGGACTTTATTACCATGGCTACATACCGGAAGATCAACTTGGGCGAGGATCCGTGCATCTTTCCAGTTTGCGGTCACATCTTGACAATGTCGTCGATGGACGGCATCATGGATATGGCGAAACACTACACCATGACCCAAGACACGTCTGGTCTGCCACGTCCCGTGGCAATTGCTGCGTCGTCGTCGCCTTTTGACATGAAGGAGGTGAAAGTGTGTCCACACTGCCGCGGGTCGCTGCGCGATGTAGCGCGGTACGGTCGAATCGTACGACGCGCGGTGCTTGACGAGTCGACCAAGCGTTTCATCAACTGGGCGCGTCAGAAGCACAATGAGCTGGCCCTTCAGCTCACGGGGCCCAAAGGACAGCTCGAAGTCGACAAGGAAATGGAAGGGAAGAAGGCGAAGCGATCTGTCCATCAAAAAGCGGAGCAGGTTTACAAAAAGAAGTTCTTTGCCGGCAAAGGGCGCTCTGCCTTGATGGCAGAGTTGCTGCTGTCCACAGACTTGGCCCGCCATCACCACCAGCTGGCCCAGACGCGCAACGACATCTCGCAATTTGCCGCAAAGGTCGCCACCGATGAGCAGCCCTTCCAGCGCGTGGCTGAACTGGTGACGTTTGCACACAACAGACGCCGGGCCAGTGGATCCGAACCCGCCGCGCCCGATCCTGCGCCACGCCATTTCGAGTTTGACGAAAGCGTTCTTCAGACGGGCAGCAGCCTGCAAGCTGCTGTTCTGCTCATGCGCTGCGATATCCTTGCCCTCGAGTACGTTGTGTTTTCTCTCGAAAAGGCTACGTCGGTCGATAAGTTGCACGCCCGTATCCGAGGCGGGGACGGCGGCTGCGGCGGCAGCAGCAGCAGCAGCAGCAACAATCGAACAGACACGACATCCTACACGTTGGCCTTCCAGACCGTCTCCAAGGCGATCAAGACCAACCGATTTACAGTCCTGTTCAAGGAATTCGAGTCGACAACCGAGGCTGCCAAGTTGGCCAGATATACGAAGCAGGAAGTCGAGGGATACATATGCAGCACCCATCTCTGCATCGTTCTGTCGCGTCTCTTGGACTGTATCGAGGAAGGAGTTGATGCGGAGCATGGGGAGAAGGAGGATGAACCTTCCACTGCGAGATTGGTGGAGGCCGACGGCCCAAGCGCTGTTCTGTCGCGCACGAAACTCAAAGAGCGCGCCACGCAGCACCTCGCAGCCGCCCGCGCCGTTTTCCAGACCTCGCCATCGGCGCACGACCTCTTTGGCCCCGAAGTGGACCGCCTGGAACAGGCTCTCGAGAACCTCGCCGAGTACCGGCCCGTGACTGCCGCCGAGATGCAGGCCGTCTACAAGGCGATGGCAAGTGAGTTCAATGGCTCGGGCCACTGGTACACCTGTGTCAACGGCCACCCGTTTACGGTCGGCGAGTGCGGGATGCCCATGGAGCAGGCGCGGTGCAACGAATGCGGCGCGCCCGTGGGCGGCCGGGACCACACGAACGCCGAGGGCGTGGTGGTCGCCACAGAGATTGAAGAACTCGGTCGGGGTATGAACAGGATGGCAGTTGACTGAGGGAGTTGACTAAGGGAGTTGACTAGGGAAGGGGGTTGGTGCAGTATGATAACCCTTTGCGTGTGATTGGAGGTTGTTTTTCTGTGATGAAATAAAATGGCCTTGCCGTTTGTCGTGCTACAGGTCGTGTACGCAGCGTCAATGGTCGCAAATAAGAAAACACGAAATCCATGTCTCGAGATGACTAACATATGTGTTGATGTTTCTAGTGCCGCTTCACTTTCACTTATGTTTTGCAGTTCTTTGCTCTAATTGTCTACCTTATATCTGTTTTACATTTATGTTCCGACTCCTATAATATCCTTAATGCTCCTTACGTGATACAGGCGTACTCCGTAATGGTAATCAATATGTACAGTACGAGGCGATAACCGTGAAATTGCATGAATCTAACGAGGAAGATTCTTTGCAGACTTTGACGTGTGTTTCTTCTCGCAGAACGAGAAATAAATGCAAGCCATAACAAATGCAGGCCATAACAAATGCAGGCCATAACATCGCTCCAAATCAATCAAGTACGCGTATCTTATTGTCCGGACAAAGCACATATACAAAATAAAGTTCTTGAACCACTCTCAGTAACGAAGCGGCTTAGATCTGATAAGGGAAGCTGGGACTTGTACATTTAGCGCGCACGGAGAGTTTTAGCGGCACCTAGCGTGAGTGATGTGCTAATCAGACAGCATAAACAAAGCCCCTGTTTTTTCTTTTCTTTCCTGGGCATCAATTTGCAACAAAGTTCGCCCGCACCGTACGGCAAACACCGTTCGCAAAGATCAATCTACAGTGGAAAGAATATCGAATCCATAAAACCATTGTAGAAGTTGCCAGCGTAGACGTCAATAATGAGGTTATTTCCTCCCCCTCCCACCCGACTTTACTTTTGGCACCGCGTACTGACAGCATCTACGTTACCGAGACGTGTGTTTAAAGAGATACCACAAGTACCGCACATTGTCCGAAGCCGGCCAACAGACGATCATGGCCATTAGTACGACCGACGTGTCAGTTGTAGCCTTGTGAGCGTTAGCAAGCAGTGGCGAAAAGTCTGTTACAACTTCATAGTCGCGGCGTTTCCTACAGAACCTTATATCTACAGAACCTTATATTTCCATCCTCCTTTAAATTCCCCCCTCCTGGCTCACTTTCCTCCAATTTACTTTCTTCTCTCTTCTTCTTCCTCCCATCCTTCCTCTCTACTTTTTTACCAACTCTGGCCAATCTTCATCTTCAGTTCCCTTTCTTTCCACCAACGTTACTTTCTTTCACAACACCATCTGTCTCCTTCCATCTACACCTTTCAAAATGAAGCTCTCAAAGTCTCAGGCAGCTGCCATCCTCCTGTTCTTATCCAATGCGGGACGAGCCAGCCCTGTCCGTAGCAACGCAACGGACATGTTCACCGGAAATACAACCGCTGCCCCGATGGCCGCCACGACACAGCAACGGACGCTCGAGCCCCTGCACGGATACTCCCCTCGTTCAAGACGGGGCCGTGGAGTCCGGGGCCGCCCGGCCGTCGATGCCAACGCCAGTGGCGCGCACGTCAACTGGGAGGCGATGGCCGACCAGCATGCCGTTTCGTCCCGTGATGTCGACCCGGAGGCCGACGACATTGAAACGTACGACATGGTGGCCAGTGACGGCGCCGACATGGACGAGGCCACCGACGTCCTCAAAGGCTTTGAAGATTCTGAGCACACCGAAGCACCGGAAGCCCTCGAAGACACCGCAGTGACCAAGGCTACAGAGGACCACGAAGCGAGCGAGGTCACCAGCAACAACGACACCCCCACCCCCACCCCCACTGCTACCACCACCGCCACCACCACTACTGCTGACACCACCGCAACCACCACCACCGCCGCCGACTTGGCCACTGCGGCCGCTGCGGCCACGGCTGCCACCACCACCAATGCCGCCACCGCCACCAATGCGGCCACCACCGTGGACGGCGACGACGCGTACTACGACGGCTCTTTCTGGGACGAGATCGTGCACAAGTGGCGCGAGAGCCGCAAGTACCGCAAGCTGGCCAAGGCCAAGGCGGCCGCCGCCAAGGCGGAGGCCAAGGCGATGAAGGCCCAGGCCAAGGCCGAGCTGGCGGCGTCCAAGGCCAAGGCCAAGGCGGACATGGCCAAGGCCGAGGTGGAGATGCTGGCCAACGGCGGGCTGCCGTAGGCGCCCCCAATGGGCCAGGGAGGGCCATCCCCAGATGGCCTTCCGTGCACCTGGTGGCGGTGGTCACGGACAAACTCGAGTCTTCGGCTCTCCTTTCACCCTTTCCCTCGAGACCGCGTCTCGTTTCCCCCCCTGCTCTTCTAAAAGTTCTGGATACGTGTTTTTTTGTTATTGAATCGCCTTGTGTTCTTGATACCCGTCGTCCGATTGTAGGACGACAGCTCTTGTTTGTTCGTGTACTTGTTTTGTTCGTTGAGGTTAGTTTGGGCAGGCGTCTTTGGTCTTTGATCATTGTACGTACTGCCGTATAAAGTAAATAAAAAAATAAAAAAATAAAACCCATATCCAGTCCAAAGTGTTGTTGTCTCCAAAATATGCTCATGTTGTTCGTAGTCTCGTTGCGTACTGTTGCGTAATGTTGCGTATGGCTGCATACTGTTACATCCTGTTGTATACTGTATATCCTAATCCAAAAGAGAACTTGATCTGTTGCTGTCGTGCAGCCACTACTGTTCTTCAACAAACTGGGCGTCGTCTGTCCACACACCCGCAAACGACCCCTCGTCGGACGACGCGCTGCACCGTCTCTGCCCCCGGCGTCGGCTTCGACTGTGGTACCACCCGTCGAGGCGCAGACTCATCAGCACGCCGGCCATCGTCTCGCCGTCCACGGCCAAGTCCTCGCGTCGGGTGCCGTCCGCCAGCAGACGGTCCATGTACGGAATCGCTTCGGCCGTGTGCAGAACGTGCGCAATGCGGGCGTGCAGGCTGAGCAGCTCCCGTGCAAGCGGACCCGGACGGGTCGGCAGCCTCCATGGCTCTGGCAGGGGCTCGTCCGTGGGGTTAGACAGCGGATTGTGTAATGGACGGACAACCCACTCGCTGGTCGCCATGCCCTCTGTCGTGCCAGACAGTGCAAGACCACCAGACGGTTCAACGGCAGCCTCAAAACGGCGGAAGCGGTCGCTCCATGTGCGGGGGAGGTAAATGCTATTCGCGTCGGTGTCGCGGGCGGCGCGCTGCAGCAAAGCGACGGCATGTGGGTCGAGAAAGTGGGTGAGGTAGTGGGCCAGATGGCGGGCAGAGTCCGGGGGGTCGTCGTTGTCGTCATCCAAGTTGGTCAGGGGCGACGGCGGGAAGATGTAGGTCTGGACGGGAGCGTCGTCAGATGCCGGGGCGCGTTTCCGGGCGCCTCGCCTGGCATAACTGACGTCGACGTCGACGTCGCTATCGCTATCGCTATGCCAGTCACTGTCGGAATCTGGCATCACCGACGAACACTCGGCTATGGCCATCACTGTTGTTGCGGTGTTAGCAAAGGAAAGGGATGCCGCAAAGGGGTAAGGCGAGACATACGCGGCAGAAACATGTGCGTAACAATGTTCTCGGCGACGGCCTGCTGCACAGTCTCGGTCTGAAGACACGAGGCCACAACACGCTGGCCCATGCTTACGAGATCAAAGCTGCTGGTCGGGTCGGCATCGTCGACCACGGAGATGACAACGCCAGCGCCGCCTTGGTCGCAGCGGACCTTGATGGCCTTTGTCCCTGTGCCCAGCTTGCCGAGAGCCGGCAGCAACAGGTCGCACCGAAAAGGCGCGCTGGCATCGGCCGCAATGGTTGGCCGTACTTCTTTCGAGCCCCGATTTACCTCAATGCCGGTTTCCAAACCATCGTCTTGGCCGGTCTCCAGAATGAGGCCAAAGTCCGCGGGTGCCAGTTCCGGCATATTTTTCAGAGCCGAGCCACACGAGTCAAGGCTGCGCGTCGAAACGTCCCGCGTGGTACGCCATCGGCGGCCGGTTCATTCTCTTATGGCTGTTTGGGTTTGTCCGACCTGCGTAGAGATGACGTTACAGGCTAAGCTTGCATCCACACAGCCCCACAGTTAGCGATAAGAGATAAGTAGCACGTGGTATGTCACATGCAACTCCACTCAAAGGGCGCCTGGCTGGCGGCCCGGGTTACCGCTCCAGTTGTCGTCTTTGGCCCACGCCCGAAACTCCGCGGCCTGCCGCTTGCTGTTTTGGGACACGGGGTCCTGGCCGTGGTTTACCCGACGTTCTGCCGGCCGCCGTCTGGAGTCTGGGCACTTCGATCTCCATCGCCCTTCTCCAACGAGCAGCAGCGACGCCCTGCCAGCACTTACACCACTGGCGTGCAGCATCCCCAATTCGAAGATCAATTGACATGGTCCTCTGTGGAGGCGGAGGCTACGAGACCAGTATGGGGTAGCTTCTCGTGGGGGACGGGATGGAGGAATTTTTCTTCCTTCTCGACTTGCTTCTCCTCTTGTTTTTTGTTTCTTCTTCATTTTACTCCTTCACTCTTCTAGTTTTGCCGTCTCACCCCCGACTTTCTCCCGTCCCGTCGCTCACCGCGTCCTGCACCCTGCAATTTCCTCGAGTCACGCGCAGCCATGCCGGATGACGGGCTGCATGCCCCGGCCGCCCTCCAGAGCCCCCAGAGCCCCCAGAGCCCCCATCCCTCCAATGCCCTCAGCGCCAGTCGGGAGACAGCCACCACGCCATCGCGGAAGGGGCCCTACCGCCCTGCCGGTCCACGCCATCCCACAGACGCACGTGGCGCAGACACAGGGTCAGCCATGACAAACAACGCGGCTGGGCCGGATGCTGCACCGAACTGCCGGGGTATTGCGCTGGCGGATGCTAGGAAGAGCGCAAAGACCTCCAAGGGCACGAAGGGCACAGAGGATCCAGCGGGCACCGCGCAGAAGAGTCACGATGTCCTGCCACGCCACGGACGACCACAGCAAGCACGGGCACGGACAAAGCGTCTACCGTCCAACGAGGGCGTTCATGTTCCTCCCACGAACCACACCGACGATATAACCGCTCCTGCGTCACCGGCATCGCGTCGCCCTTCGTCCGCCTTTTCTCCTCCTTCACCGACTCCTTCTTCTTCCCCGTCGTCTGCCGACCGTCCCAACCGTCCCGACCGCCGACCCCCCAAGAAGCGCAAGGCTTCCTCGCCTGCCCCGGCCGACGACGCCGACCCTCTGATGGCCACACAACAACGCATGGGCAGCAGCAACACCGGCAGCAGCAGCAGCAATGGCCGACTGACGCGCATCCGCAAAGCCTGCGACATTTGCCGCATGCGCAAAGTGAAGGTGAGCCGACCGTCTTGCGACGACGTCCTCCATGTCCGCACGTGTAACGTGTACTGACAACGCATGCTGCCACCGCCAGTGCGACGGTGTCTCTCCGTGCAAGCCGTGCCAGAGCCTCGGCGCCGAGTGCACGTTCCAGTATGTGTCGCGTCACCGGGGGCCAACGAGTCGGTTTGCGGCCGGCAGTGCCTGGAGTGCAGGCGTGGCGGCGTCCACCAGCGGGGGAGCAGCAGCAGCAGGACGAGGTACTGCGACCGCGACTGCAGACACCACACAGGATGTGCACATCCACAACAGCCACGATGGCTTCACCGACACCAGCGACGTCTTTGCCGCCCTCTACATGATGCCCCAGCCCATGACTCTCCCGCAGGCGCCGCCACTCCCCGAAGCCATGGCCTCTCTGCCGCCACAGCTTTCCATGTTCCGCACCGACAGCAGCATGGCGCCGCCGCCAATGCATCCGCATTCGCCGTCCTCGGTCGCCTCCGGTGCGTCCATCCCGTCCGTCGGCTCGGCCGCCTCGCCGTCGATGCCGTCCGTGCCCTACTCCAACAGCTTCTTTGATGCGGTCGCGACCAACGCACGACACAGCCCGGCCGCTGCGTCTGTCCGCCTCGCCAACCCGCCGCACGTCAACATCTACCCGCGCATGCCACGGCCCCAGCTCAACCGCCAAGCCGTCCCGCCGCCGCCGCCGCCGCCGCCGCCGCAAAACCCGCAACATCAGTTCCCGCCGCTGCCCCCGCTGCCGCTGCAGTTCCACCACGCGCCGCAAGCCGCACAGGCCGCCGCCCAGCCGCCGTCCAAGAAGACGCCGCTCAACAGCGACGCCATCGCCCCGCTGCACGTCCTCGAGCTGCTCGTCGACGACTTTTTCACCTACATCCACCCGCTCATCCCCTTCCCCCACGAGCCCACCTTTCGCCGGCGCTTCTCGCACGCCGACACCCGCCAAGAGCCCGGCTTTCTGGCGCTGCTGGCCGGCATGATTGGCTGTCTCGCTGCGTCGTTCCCGCGCAGCGTGCGCGCCCACCTCAAAGCCCGGGCGGGCCTTGGCGGCGCCGGTGCCGGGGCCGGTGCAGGACCGGCGTCGTTTACACGCGCCGTCTACATGGTGGCCTGCTGTCGCGACGTGGCCCTGGCGGCGCGCGGTGCGGCGTTTTACACCAAGGCGGTGCTGAGCGTCGACGATGCCGCCACGAGTTACTTTCTGGGGCTGGCCGCTGGCTACACCTTTGACTGGCACCTGTGCAGGCGGTTCATGGCCGAGGCCATGTCGTTTGTGCAGGAGCTCGGGTTCCACCGCCGACGACCGACCGAGGCCGACACGGCGACGCACCACCAGCCCGCCGCCATGGCCGCCGCCCTGGCCGCCCTCGGCAGCCCCCACGGCGCCGCCGGCACGCAGCGGCGCTTCAGCCACGTCGAGGACCAGATCGGCAAGCGCATCTTCTGGATCCTGTACCTGGCCATGCGGTCGCTCATCCAGCTGGGCGCGACGCTCAGCGAGACCCCCCTGCCGCCCTTTAACAACGCCCGTCCGTTCCCCGACCTGCCCGCCGAGGTCGACGACGCCTACATTGAGCCGGACGTCATCCACCCGCAGCCCGCCGGCACCGTCTCGCTGATTACGGGCTTCAACAAGGTCATCCAAATCTACGCCACGATGGACCCCATTGCCACCATGGAGTACGCCTGCGGGCTGCACCAAGTGCCCGTCGCGGCGCAGCGGGCCATGTTTGTGGACGCGCTGCAGGCCGCCAAGGCCATCACGGCCACCCTGCCGGACGAGCTGTACCTGCCCCTGCCCGGAAGCGGCGGGCTGGCCATGGACGGCGGCGACCACTTTCACGGCGGAGCCGAGCTGTTTTACGACGACCTGCCGGGGTACCGGTACTACCCGCCGGAGTGTGATGTGGACGCGACGACGACGACGATGACGACGACGACGAGCTATGGAGCGACACGGCGGGACAGCAACCGCAGTACGCTGAGCAGTGGGAATGCGCACAGCTATGGTTATGATGGTGGTGGTGGTGGCGCCGCGACAACGCCCCGTCCCGACGACCTCCGGTCCCTGCTGACCAACCACCCGGCCCGTCGCCGCCAGGTCCAGTACGACATCCAAAAGACCAACATCTACGCCTCCCAGCTGGCCACCCGCTCGTACTATGTCGAAATGTACCTCCACCTCGAGGATGACGCCGCCGGCACCGACGACACCGACGTGACTGCAACCGTCGACAACCCCATGCGCGGCGAGCGCCAGCGCATCGTCCACTCGCTGCTCTTTGTCCTCGCCGCCATCCCCCAGTGCAACATGGAACCCAACGGCAGCGCCCTCATCAACAAGATCCGCCAAGTCGCGTCGACCCTGCTGTCGGTCAAGACCACAAAGCCGACCGTCGACCATGCGACGACACGCTCAAACAACGACAACAACAACAACGTCGTCGATGACGAAGCCGCCATGGAGGCGCAGCTTATGCGCTTTCTGGACATTCTGATGCGCCTCGAGCGCACTGGGGGCCCCGCCGGCGGGGTCATGGCCGCCATGGGCGTGACGAGCCTGGACAGTCTGGCGGGCATGAACATTCCGGGACTGAGTGGTCTGGGCGGCGGGGGAGGCGGTCTGGGGGGTATGGCCAGTATGGCCTCGAGCATGGCCTCGAGCATGGGCCTGTCTGGCATGTCTACACTGTCTGGACTGTCTGGACTGTCTGGACTGTCTGGTCTCTCCGGCCTCTCCGGTCTCTCCGGCCTGTCCAGTACTGCCGGCACGCAGGTCGACGACGAAGAAGAAGAGCTCCAAAGCTGGGCCAGTCTCCGCGAGGAGCAGATGCGCTTTGCCGCCAACGGCGGCTTCCTGGGCCACTACAGTGTGTAGTGCGGTGGGCAGTGAATGAAATAAAAGATATGACAGAAAATGGAGTTTAGGACTTTGGGTTCGCATATTGGAATTGCTTTTTGGGCATTGGTTACCTTGTCACGGATTGGACACATACGACTGGGTATTTACGATACAATGGATAGAATCATAATGAATAAAAGTGAATTTACATCAAACGAAGGGCTGCCTGAAGATGTGCATGAACAGACTGTGAAAACTGGCGTGAATGCTCTCGTACGCTAACCATTGCCTCACTGCTGTCCTAGCCGTCATTTTTCGTTGGTATCGTGAATTCTGACCTTTCTTTCACTTTCCTGACTACCAGCCTGGCTGCAAGTACTTATTTCGACAGTACTCTCCCGCACAGGGCTTCAGCAGCTCATCAAATCTGCCCGTCGTTACGACAACCTCACTAGCTATCCTAATCATACAAACAGGTCGACTGTGAGTGTTGTTTTCTATCCCGCATCTTCTCTAAGAAGAACACCTCCAGCATATTGACTGAATCGTTTGCTCGCAGTTCCACCAGACACTGACCACCCCATGCCGACGTCCAACCAAGCCCGGGAATTGCTTAGGTCGATCTACCCTAATGTCAATGCAGACGACCCGAGCGATCCTGGCGCGGAACATGTCAAAAAGATTGTCGCCCTCATTGACACATTCTTTCACTTGGAATTTGGTCGCTTCAGTACCGCCGAGTACGGAAATGAAAATACAGTGGACGTGTTGTATGACTTTCCAACTTTTGAGTATCTTCTCGCCGCAAAAATTTACCATTGGAAGCAGATGAGAAAAATAATACACGACATCCCCGACGAAGACAAGAAAGTCACCAAAGCTGACCTGGCTGCATTGCTCCCGACCCACGAAGAGATCCTTGCCTTTCGCGTCTTGACCGCCACCGGCGTGGACAATACGGACCTTGGAGCCGCCCTGCGCTCGGAGAAGGATGCGGCCTATCTTCTCGCTCCAAAAGTGTTTGCCAAGAAACAACCGGCCGTGAAGAAGGCGGGTCTCGTCGTGCAACGCGACAACATCGACAACAACACCATGGCCATCGTGTCGCAGGCGAAGAAGCTCTCCAAGATCATGACCACGGAGCTGCAGATCGTCCGGAAGCAAAATGCCGAGGCAGCAAAGAAGGTGGCTATTCTTCTGGAGGGACTCAAGAGCGTCAAGGACATCGTGGCCAGCATGACCCAGACCTGACTATGAGAGCTGAAGACGTCGAAACTGCCACCGTGCGTATTGGCGGAAAATCTGGTTCACAGAGAGTCTTTGTTGTGAGGGCTGCAAAAGGACAAGGACAGTTCTCCAACATAGGGAGCAGAGGCTGGACAAGTTTTACTTGAAAAGGATAAAAATACATTAAATAATGCAACTTGCGGTCCAGTGACATGGATTTTGATGGCCTTGAATTGATAAAAAATTGAGCTGAGCAAACGTTTAAGACCTTGGCGTTCACGTTGTGCCTGATGTTTGCAATGCATCTATATGCCATCATGTCACAGACCAAAGACATTGTTAAGAGGCAATGTGGACTGACGTTGTATCGTCGCAATCTTTTCATAGTTGGGTAAGCTGGACATTCGTTCTTTCCTCGAAATTCTGGAAGTGGTTTACACCTCGCTCCTTCCTCCTACGCTCTTTCCATACTTTCCATGAGGACATTCTACCCCTTTTCTAGAGCACATCCTTATTTGACTTCAAAAAATTCAATTTCTCCTCGTCGTCCTTTGCAAGCCACCACATCATTCACCAAGTAGCCTCGAATCGTTAACGAGCGTCAACCCAGTCAAGTCACACATGAACAGTGAGTCAGTTATCCATCTGTGCAGCCTTTCGTTCCGGAACTAACATGAAAGATGGAAATCATGCAGAAATCACACAGCGTCCTTTGCCTGATGAGCTCCTCACAGAATCCCAAAGATTGCCCTACGAATCCGTCCAAGACACCAAGAGAAAAGGAAGCGACTCTCCGAATTCAGGCCGGCAATGACGGCATTGTTGTCGCACACATCAGGACCACCTTGCAGATGGACAGCATCCTGAGAATCACCAACGAGACCCTCTCGGTGGAACAATAAAATGGCGACGAGAGACAAGGGCACAGGATGCACCATGGTATCACCAACATGCTTTCCACGGCCCCCACGCGTGCGTTGTCCTTCTGTCCACGTCGTTGCTCGCTCTATCCCTGGCCAGTGTCCCATCACATTTTGCGTGCTCACGTTTCACGTCACTTGCCAGCCACCCGTCGTTCCGTACTCTTCTTCCCTGCCTTCGCTGTCGTCACTGCCTTGACAGTGCCCGGTCTTTTATCGTTCAATACCTGCTCGACGATCATTGTCTACACGGAATATGGGCTCCCCCTTGTCCCTCGCACCATTGGCTCGATCGACTTGCACCAACAGACACGGGCTGCAGTAACACGGCCACGGTCTGCAGCCAAACCTGGACAGGGGATGGCAGCCATCACCAACAGACTTGGCACTAACCAGCCTCGCTGCAGCTACCCGCATACCATCACAAACCGAATGCAACGCTGTTGTGTGTATTTGATGATATGCGATGTAAGATGTCTGGGTGACTGCTTGAGACTGCTTGTGGCACCTGCCCAACGACGCAGCCGATGCAACCGATACAGCCAACACGGCCAGCCTTTTCCAGCCTTTTGTCTGCTCCCATTCGTCTTTGGTTGTACCTCCGCTCAAATAAAGTGTGCTTTCCGTTCGTTCAGAGGCACCGACTCCCGAAATATTGCCAACATTTTATTGTTCGTTTGCTGACCTGGTTTGTTTTAATCGTTTCCGGCTCAATTCTCGTCAGTTGAAACTGGCCATTCCCAGCGCTTGAATCCAAAGCCGATGACCGCTCCCTTCTCGCAGGATCAAGCTGATTCCCGAATTCACCCATCTTGCACAGAGTGTTGTTCATTATGGACCTCAATGACGTTCACGTTCTGCAGAGAAGGCCACTGATGGGCAGGGCCGGTGTTTTCGTCACGGGCATCGCCAACTCGGCCACAAACGCTGCTTCAGACGGAGACGGTCTGCCAAATCTCAACCTCAGTAATGGCACCTGCTATTCCACGCCCGGAAAACAAATGGACAGCCGCTTTATTCCCTGTGGCAACGCCGCCGCTGGGATCCAGACCTGCTGCTGGGAGGGCGACAACTGTCTGTCCGACAAAGCCTGCTTCGGCATCCACGACGGCGGCTACAGCACGTACTTGGCCGGCTGCACCGACGCCGAATGGGACATGAGCGATCCTGGTGTCAGCGCTGCCTGTCCAGTCAAACCAGAACCGTACGGCTCAGAGCCATGGGTTGGCCTGGCCTACTGTGGCAACAACGAAACCGGACACAACCAGTGGATCCCGTGCCCGCAAGCCGACTCGCCGACAACGATGCGCTCCCCGGGCCCCTGCGTATGCCCAACAATTACACAGCAGCGCATTGTGGCCTTTACAGACGGACCCACGCTGGGGTCCTATGCCAGCCTGCCGACGAGTCCCGGCGGGAGCATTATGTGGTTCCCGCCGTACTCGCCGACGTACGCAGTGACGGCGACCGATGCGTTGGGGGGAAAGGGAGGATCATCGTCATCAGGCGGGCCACCAAAATCAACATCCAGCACGCCTACGCACAAAACATCTTCTACACTGTCCACGTCACCATCCGCGTTACAATCCACGATACCATCCACATCTCCTTTAAAGTCAACATCGACATCACCTTTGAAAGCAACATCGGTATCACCATCCACATCATCATTACCATCACCACCCACGTCACCACCCACGCCATCATCCACATCATCACCCACGTCACCCTCCACATCTCCCTCCACATCAACCACCAAGAACACATCCCTTATTGTTGGCGTCAGTGTGGGCGTCGTTGCGTTTGTCGTTTTGGCTCTCTTGGGCGCATTTTACTTTCTCAAGAAGGCCAGGTGGTGGCGGCAACGTCAAGCAGCAGACCAGCTCGAAGGGGCGGTTGGCGGCAACGGGGCACCGGCCGGATTTGGTGGCGGCTATATGGATGGAAAGCCGACAACTGGCGCCGACTTCAAATCGAGGGGGGCATCGACTTTTCCCGATACGTATATGTCCATGGCGGTTCCGGAGCTGGAGAATCGGCCGGCAAGGCCCTGGTCTCTGCGGTCAGAGCTGGACGGTGCAACTGCTACCGCACCGATCACCAACAAGACATCTACCCGGTTCAGTATTGGCACATTGCTGTCTTCGCCGCCGGCCTCGCCTCCGCCGATGGGAGATTTGTACGAGAGTTCGACGGTAAGCAGCCTACACGGCCAACTGACGGGACAAACAACAGGGCAGACTGCAGCCAATGGTTGGAACAGAGGCAGCCAACATCGAGGAGCGCCGACTGTTGCGACACTTGTAGAGCTGGAAGGGTAATATGTTGTTTTTTGTTGTCGACTTTTCTGATTTTCGTTGGTAAATACCACTTTCCCAATGTTTATTCACATTTACTCTATGCTTTTGTGAGTGAAACTAATCATTACGATACTTTTGTAAGACAGGCACTATTAGCAAACAAATACACTTATTTACTTGAGTTGATTTCTTTATGAGTAGGAATTACCCCGAGAATAATTGTTATGCTTGGCACGTCGACGGATAAAGATTGCATATTGCTGTCGACCGTGGCCTTCCTACGACAGTGTATTATTACAGTCTGTGCTATGTCGTCCTCCGCCGCAGAGCACAAAAGCAGATCAAATACCAGGCTGACAGGCCTACACACCCAATCTACATCTGCGCCTCGGCCGTCTTGTCGAGCACGTCCATGTGGTGATGGTCGAGGAAGAGATCGAACGTGGTGGATGCATCTCACCTTGACCCTGTGGGGAAGTATGCTCGGCACAGACGGTGTAGACGGGGTACGAAAAGGAGTCATGGCGTACTCGTGGCTATAGTAGAAGAGACGAGATGCTGACGTGATGAAGGTAGGAGTTGGTGTTGTTCGTTTGGTCCGAGATGGTTTCACACCTTGCCTGGGCATCCTGTTACGTCTCCGATGACAACTGACAGTAGTGTCCGACACCCGGCTGTTTATTTTCGTTGGCCTCTGTTCACGGTAGCACGTCTAGTAAATAGTCCCATATTTCCGCGGGACGTGATCTCTAGGAGCTATGGGGTGTGCTACTTATTGTATCTTGGACGGCCCACCACGAATTCGTTTTAGAATACACATGGACGTCTTTGCAAGCCCATTTTCTCTGCCTGGTCTTGCATGCTGCCGCATACTCGAGCACCCCTACGCGCACCACGAATGTAGCGCGCCTGTTGTCGACAGTAGCGGATGAGCGCGCAAAGAGCCGACACAGTTGGGAGCCATCACAAGGTGCCATGTACGGCGCGTCTGGGTGTCCGGCTCGTGTGCCGCGCATCTCGGCATCTCGGCGTCTCTCTCAGCAAAGCGGCGCCACGATGTTCGACCACCGAAAGCGCGACGCCTTCTCAGGCATGCAAAGCTTGAAAACATGCCCAATACGCCGACGAGGACAAAGAAGCGCCTCGCGTTGTCCACATCATGTGCTGTGATCGACCGCCATCTTGAGGTGGGGCAGTTCGTAGTGCTTGGCGGCATGGAGGAACCACCACGCCGCCACGAGGGCGACGATGCCGACGATGATGACGCAATTGTAGTTCATGGTGGTGGCATCGAACGGGGTGGCGGGGGCTATCTTTTGTTAGAACAGACAGAAAGGAGGGTGTGAGTCATGAATCAGAAAGCGAACGGCGGACGTACGGAAGCAGAAAAAGACGGCAAAGAGCGCGATGAAGAGAACGGCGAGCAGGTTGACGGCGACGCCGAAGCGGCCGAGGTGGAAGGGCCCCGGGGTAAAGTAGCGGCGGCGCGCGAGCAGGTTGGTGGAAAAGGGCACGGCGTAGGAGATGGCATTCAAGATGATAAAGGAGCCGGTGAGATTGGTGAAGCCGACGGCGCTGCCGAGGGGGATGGCGCCGAGCGCGGAGACGACGAGGCTGACGAAGAGCGTCGCCTCGACGGGGCAGCTGAGGCGCGCGTGGACGCGGGCGAAGACGCCCGAAAAGGGCACGGCGTGGTCGCGGGCGAGGGCCCAGTAGGCGCGCGTGGCGGTCAGCACGGTGCCGGTGACGCCGCAGAGCAGCGACAAGAAGACGATGAGCAGCAGGCCAAACGTGGCGCCGGCGCTGTGGGTGGCCTGCGCGTAGATGGCGGCGAGCGGGAAGGCGTCGACGCCGCCGCCCTGGAGAACGGCGATGTCGCTGATGGCGTAGCCGAGCACAATGGCAAAGCAAAAGGCCGAGAGGAAGCCGAGGCCGATCTGCAGCAGGATGCCGCGCGGCACGTTGCGGCGCGGGTCGCGCACCTCCTCGGCCATGTGGCTGATGGAGTCGGGCGTGCCAATGGTGAAGGCGCCGTTGAGCACGCCCGTCAGAAAGGCCACGCCGCCCGGCCAGCCCGTCGCGTTATTCTCGGCAAACGAGCCCCAGACAAAGTAGTCAGACGCACGCTGCGTTGGCAGGGCGGCCAGCGTGACGATGGTGGCCAGACCGCCGGCGAGCACGAGCACCATGCCGGCGCTCTGGGTGTGCGGCACGAGGCCGTTGGCGAGCACGACGCAGGCGGTGCTGAGCCATAATACGCCGAGGTAGGCGACGTAGACGTGCCACGCCTGCGCGGCGACGGCCGGGTGGTAGCCCGGGTGGTAGGTGGCGTACAGCTGCACGACCGTGTTGGCGGCGACCTGCACGAGCGAGGCGAGGCCAAACAGCCAGGCGGCAAAGTTGAGCCAGCCGGTGAAGAAGCCGACCGGGCGGCCGAGGCGCGGGCCGGCGACCATGGTGGCCCAGTGGTAGACGCCGCCGGACGAGGGCATGGCGGACGCGAGCTCGGCCAGGCTGAGGCCGATGAAGGCGTAGTAGAAGGCGGCCACCATGAGGCCGTACAAGATGCCGGGGATGCCACCGTTTGCTGTCGGGTGAGAAGGGGAAGGCAACAGACGAGGACAATGAGAATTGGGAGAAAAGGAAGGCGACCTACCGATGGACACGGAAATGGACGACCCCAGGACGACCCACGCGTTGTCGATGGTGATGGCCGCGCCGGCCACCCGCCACAGGCCGTACTGCCGTGTCAGCTGGTCCGGGTGGCCCGACGCATTCACCTCGCCGTCAACGTCGGCCGGGTCCAGCACCGTGCCGACAGCCTCGTCCGCCTCGTCCGGCCCGCGCGCCACGTGGCTGCTTTTGGGTTTGTCGGTGAAACTCATGGTGGGAGCATATAAGGTGCGGCCCGATATAGGATCGTCCGTCGAGATATAGACTGTGGGGAGGGTGCGAGGGAAAGGGGTAGGAATGAAAATGGGAATGAAAGCAATGAACTCAGCGATGAAAATAACAACGAAAACTAAAAAATAAAAATAAAAATAAAATAAACGACGACTATGGGCCGTTGTATTTGTATACGTCGTACCACGGTCCTGTCGTACCACGAGTCCGACGATGCCCTCCAGAGCCTTGGGACTGTGCAGATTGATAGCACGATGGTGCGTGCTATAACAGAAGAACCTGGACATAGGATAGGAGACCGGATGATGTGACACCCCGGCATTCTCTGAAATCGCAGCTGATGAAAAGAGTCTTCTTTGTCAATTTGTTGCTCATGCATGTTCTGGATAAGGGGATAAGTTTCCTGGAAGGGTTCTCGTGTCGTGGCTTATCATTATGGAGGGTACATCGACGAGCAGACATCCCGCGCAAATACACCAGAGCTGACTGTGACAGGTGAACCAAGCAAAACACCGCCATGAAAACACCCTGATAAGGATTCCCAAACGGGGAGGTTTGGCGCCGCACGCTGATTGGTCCTGTGTAAGTGCGATTGCAGGGATGTCGCAGCCGACGGATACGTGTCTCCGCCGTCGTATTGGACGGTGTTATGGGTGTTGGTTCTTTGTTTCTTTGGTTCTACCGTTTTGTTTTCTTTCAGATACTGTCCTACTTGGTTGCGACGTTGCACGAGGGCGTGATTGTTCATTTTGGTCAATCGTATGGATTTTTCTTTTATATTTCTCGCCGGTGTACATCAACGTAAATAAGCTCAACAAACAAAAACCCACACAGACTCCCTGCTCACAACACATCAGACACATGGCGCACGGTCACGATCCCACCGGCCTCGAGCCGATCAAAGGCGCGGCGCACCTCGGCGGGCCAGTTGGTCCACGCGACGAGCGCCCACTCGAGCAGGCCGACGAGGAACAGGGCCACGCACTGGCCGAGCCAGAGGCCGGCGAGGCCCCAGCCGTGGAAGGCCAGAAAGACGCCGGCGGGCAGGGCGGCGCCGTAGTAGCTGACGAGGTTCACGAGGGCGCCGACCCACTGGCGGCCCATGCCGCGCAGGGCGCCGCCGCAGCTGCCGTTGAGCCCGTCGGCGACCTGGAAGAGCGCGACGTAGGGCATGACGGCGGCGACGAGCGCGGCCACGTCGGCGTCGTCGCTGAAGAGGCGGCCGATGACGCGGCGGGTGGCGAGCAGGGCGGCGAGGAGCAGGATGCCGAGCAGGATGGAGAGGAGGGCGGCGGCGTGGGCGGCGCGGGCGGCGCCTTTGGGGTCCTGGGCGCCCAGCTGGTGGGCGACGCGGGCGGAGGCGGCGACGCCGAGGCCAAAGGGGACGGTGTTGATGACCTGGTCGAGGGTCATGATGACGGACTGGGCGGCGAGCGGGCGCGTGCCGAGGCGGCCGGCGGCGAGGGCGACAATCTCAAAGGCCCACCACTCGGAGCCGACGTGCACGACGCCGAGCAGGGCGAGGCGCGCAAAGGCGGCCAGGCCGGTGCGCCCGGCCGCCCGCGACAGCGCCCGGCCGGGCCAGCACGCGCGGCCGCGGTGGTCGGCGCTGGCGGCGTAGGCGGCGAGCAGCGCAAAGGAGAGCCAGTAGGCGGCGCCCGTGGCGAGCGGCGCGCCGTCGAGGCCGAGGCCCGCGCGGTGCACCAGCGCGTGCTGCAGCAGCGCGTTGAGCGGCGCCGTGACGAGCAGCACGCCGGTCCCCGCGTGGTAGCGGCCCTGCGCCTGCACATACTTCTTGAGGCACTCGAACCACACGTAGCCCAGGCCGCCCGGCGCCAGCAGCCGCAGGAAGCGCGCGCTCTGGTCGGCAACCACGGGGTCCTGGCCCAGCGCCACAAACAGCGGCCGCGCGCCCACGCACCACAGCAGCGCCACCGCGCCGTAGAAGCCCGTCAGCACCAGCAGCCCGCGCTGCAGCAGCACGCCCAGGCTGCCCTTGTCGGCCGTGCCCGTGAAGCTGCTGGCCGCCAGCGTGTCCAGGGCCGTCGTGCCGCCGAGGGCCACGAGCCAGCCCGTCGCCATGGCAAACATGTACGAGAAGGCGGCCGTGGCCAGGGCCTCGGGCGACAGCCGGCTGACGACGAGCACGGACACGGTCTGCAGGCTGTTTTGCAGCATGTAGGCGAGCATGACGGGCAGCGAGGACGTCGTCAGCAGCGCCATCTCGGCGACCCAGGCGGCGGCGCCGGCTGCAGCAGAGGCCCGCCGTGGTGCAGCCCCAAGCAAGGCAGCTCGCTCGTCGGGCATTGTGGGAGCTGTGGGCGCTGTGGGCGCTGTGGACGTTGTGGGCGTTGTGGGCATTGTCAAAGGTCAAGGGTGAACGGCAGGTGATGATGTTGGTCAAAGTGGCATGTGCCAGACATGGTTTACTTCAACGCCTGCCGGAGCGAGGCGCCAGTCTTTATGGCATCACATGTGTCGAGGACGTGGTCGAGGATGGAAGGCAGACATACGCAAACGAAACGTCCATGAAGATTTGACGTAAAAAAGCAACAAAATAAATGACGATACTAGGCAGATAATGATTCGATGGCATTACAAAGTCCAACGCACAACCACACGCTGCTATCTCTGCTCTCTGCCGCACGACAACGCATCCCGATGCAGCATCTGCATACATGCACCTGCAGTCGTCGTCTCCGACCAGGTCCAATGTGGACAAATAGGCGCCTGAAGCACACTGATAAGCGTTGTCGAGCGTCCAGTGAGATGTGAGATGCATTCTCACCAGATGCGACCCACTTACCCTATTAGGCAACTTACGCTGCGTTCCACCTCCTTCAGGACTCATGATGGCACCCAACATACGACTCGACTGTCGACGCAAGCGGCCTGCCGCGTCGGTCTTTTTGACCAGTTTGGGCAACTTAGGCGCCGCTGCCAGACGATACGGCATGATATAAACTGTCCTGGGTTCTCCAGAGTCCGCGTTGACGCCCTCTCGCATGGCAAGTTGCTCTTCTGTTTCGAACCGTTACCGTTTTTACCGTTTTCTTTTTTCTTTTTCAACACATCTCATTCCCATCATGCACACGCCTACACTTCTCGCCGCCGCGCTCGCCGTGGCTGCGGCCGCGCACGGCGACGACGACAGCCACCAGACGCCCATCGAGCCCATCGAGGGCCCGCTGCAGTCGCTGTGGTACAACCGGCTGCCGGGCGACGGCGGCACGCAGGCCGACTCGGTGTTCTCGGGCATCACGACGTTTGGCCGCCTGCCGTACCAGCCGTGCCTGGCCGACCGCAGCGTCCAGTACGACATTGCGTTTCTGGGCGCGCCGTTCGACACGGGCACGTCGTACCGGCCGGGGGCGCGCTTCGGCCCGTCGGGCATCCGCCAGGGCTCGCGCCGCCTCAACCTGTACGGCGGCTACAACGTGCCGCTGGCGACGAACCCCTTCAACAGCTGGGCAACGGTGCTGGACTGCGGCGACATCCCCGTGACGTCGTACGACAACACGTACGCGCTGCAGCAGATCGAGGCGGGCCACCACGCGCTGCTGAGCCGCCCGCCGGCGACGGCCGGCGACGACGCCGGGCCCGCGCGCGGCGGCCGCACGCTGCCGCGCGTCATCACGCTGGGCGGCGACCACACCATCACGCTGCCGCTGCTGCGGTCGGTGCACCGCGCGTACGGCCCCGTCAGCGTGGTGCACTTTGACAGCCACCTGGACACGTGGCGGCCCAAGGTGTTTGGCGGCGCGCCGTCCGAGGCGGCGGCCGTCAACCACGGCACGTACTTTTGGCACGCCGCGCAGGAGGGCCTGCTGCGCAACGACAGCAGCATCCACGCCGGCATCCGCACGACGCTCAGCGGGCCCAGCGACTACGACAACGACGGCTACTGCGGCTTCGAGATTGTCGAGGCGCGCGCCGTCGACACCATCGGCACCGGCGGCATCGTCCAGCGCATCCTCGACCGCGTCGGCACCCGCGACCCCGTCTACCTGTCCATCGACATCGACACGCTCGACCCGGCCTTTGCGCCCGCCACCGGCACGCCCGAGACCGGCGGCTGGTCCACGCGCGAGCTGCGCACGATCCTGCGCGGCCTCGCGGCCCTCAACCTCATTGCGGCCGACATTGTCGAAGTGGCGGTAGGTACTCTGGAGACCCTGCACACCCTGCAGCGCGACCTCGCGACGGCGTTGCGCGTGGCTAACATACTTGGCGCCGCCGCCGGCCTCCTCCTTCTAGCCCGCCTACGACACCAACGCCGAGCACACGACCATGGCCGCGGCCGACGTGCTGTACGAGGTCATGAGCATCATGGTCAAGAAGGGGCCCCTGAGCAAGTCTGTTGCGGGCGAGCCTGCGGGCGAGCTGTAGTGAAGGAGGTATCAAAGTCAAAGGACGGGGGGGACGAAAAGGCGTACAAGCATGAGACAAAGGTACGAATACAAGAGGTAGATTGGTGAACCAGAGGAGGCACGACGGTTGCATTGGCTAGAGACGATGTGAGTGACGAGAGTTGTTGAGTACAAGAAGAAAGCGTAAACATGAAGCAGTCCCATCATCTTGGCATTTCATCCGCGATCAAAACAAAATAATGTTGTAGTTGAGTTCCTCTGTATTGTCAGCAACACACACACACACACACACACACACACACACACACAAAAAGGACATCCACCGCATACGTACCCAAGAGAGGCCCGGCACACAGCCGCCCGTCCGTGTCGCCCCGCCGCGCCCGCAGCCGCCCCAGGTCCTCGAGCGCCCGCCGCAGCAGCTGCACGTGCCGCGACCCGATGCTCGCCGCAAACGCCGCCAGCGCCGCGTGCGCCCACGCCTGCGCCGCCGGCGTGTACGCCTCGCAGCCCGCCGTAAACAGCGGCAGCGCCATGGCCACCCACGCGCTGCACGGCGCCCCCTGCCGCATCTGCCCGGCCATGCGCCGGATCTGCGCCGCCGCCTGCTGGATGCGCGGCGCACGCGACGGCAGGCGGAACAGCCGGCGGTAGATGTGGATCAGGGTGGCCTGCTGGAAGCAGCCGTGGCAGAGGGCCAGCTCGCGGGCGGCGGCGGCGGTGAGTGCGGGCGCAGGGATGTGGGCGACGCGCGGTGGTGCTGGTGGTACTTCGTCTGGTGGTGCTGTGCACGGTGGTCCTTCTGGCTCGGTCGACCTGGTACCGTCATCCAGCACAAGCGCCTGTGCATGCGCCCGGGCGAGCAGGTCCGCGGCGGCGGCACGCGTCGCGTCTGTGAGATGCGGCGCGGCCAGCAGGTCGTCGGTGGCGTAGTCATTGGTGTAGCCGTCGGTGTTGTCATCCCAGTCATCCATAGCCGGCAGCGTAGACGCAATCCCCTCGAGCTGTTGCAGAATGTCCAGCAGCTCCTCGCTGTAGCCGAGGAAGCCGTCGATGCGCGGCCAGCCGGGGGCTTTGGGTAGTGCTGTGTCCAGCTCAACCACAATGGACGCGCCCACACCTGGTTTGCTCATCTCGGCCGTCCCGCCGCCGCCCTGCCGTCGTGTGATGTGCGGCAGCGTCTGCAGTGACCGGTACAGCTGATGCAGGTGGCCCATGGCGGAGCGCGAGGATGACGACGGCGCCGACGTGTCGTCGGCGCCGCGCTGGCCTCGCGTCACAAACGCATCCAGAGCCCGCGCGCCGCCCAGCAGCGCCTCGATGCCGTGGAGGTGGATGCGCCAAGAGGAGGAGGACGACGACGACGACGGCAAGGAAACATCGGCGGCAAAGACGTCCGCGAGGCACCACAGCAGACACGTCGCCACGAGGTCCAGGCCGCCGTCGCCCCGGCCACCATCACCATCACCATCCGTCGCCCGATCGCCACGGCCGCCTGCATTCCGCTCCAGGGCCTGCCGCAGCAGCGCCAGGCCCGCCGTCTGCAGGTGCTGCATGACGCGCGGCAGGCCGACCCCGCCCACGTCCGCGCGCCCCCGCGACGCCAGCCCCGTGGCCGCCAGCGCCAGGCCCGCCGACAGCAGGTGGGGCGCGCGCAGCATGGCCGGCACGAGGCCCTGGGCCAGGTCGCGGTGGATGGCCGGGTGCACGGACAGCGAGGCGAGCACGTCGCGCGCAAAGTAGTCGAGCAGGCGCTGGTACGGCGGCGCGAGGGGGACGCCGTTGGGCAGGCGGACGAGCACCAGCGGGCCGACGGGGGGAGGCACAGTGTCGGTGTCGTGGCGGTCGAGTCTGTCGTGGCTGTCGTGGCTGTCACTCCTGTCGTTTCTGTCGTGGCGTGTCCATCCCCGCGGCGCAGACGGCCGGCGTGCAGCAAATGTCGACGCGCCCCGGACAATCTTGAGCGTGTACCGGCAGCTTCGGCGAGCGCCCGTGCACGGCCCGCAGGCCGGCTTGGCCTCGTCGCACTTGCGGCGCCGTCGCCGGCACTCGTCACATCCCAGCCGAGAGCGCACGGCGGGCATGGAGTACAATCCGAGGCAGGACAGTGTACAGTGATTAGAGGTCGCGTGTTCTCGGCCACAGAGACGTGCAGAGCGCGAGACGCAAAAGACGATCCATGGTGCATGGGCGTTGTGTGTTGTCTGTTGCACGAGGTGAATGATTGTCGTGAATCTTACGTTGTGCCGTTGTGATGCCACCATGGATCCGTTATCTTGTCAGACGAGGGTCGAGATAAGCGTGTTGATGTCAATTGGCTCGGGTGAGGTGAGAACAAGATAAGGCGGAGGACTGCGTCGCATTGCTGCCAGTAGTCATACGCGTCAGCAACGAGGCGCCGAGCCCATGGACCAAGAACCCCAGAGAATATGACGCGCTATTTCCAAAAGTCCGGGGTGCCTGGGAGTTGTAGATAAATCCCGTTGGTAAAGCGGAGATGAAGATGTGAATAATGACCATTGCGTGACAACAGGGTAGTATGGAACTGGGCCAGCCGAATGAGAAATCATACAGACGCAAGTATGATCGCAGAAAACAAACAGCCAAACCAAAGTATGAACTCCGGCTACTGATGAGGGGAAGGCTGTTAAAAACATTGCTGAGGCGGAGTCCCGATTCAGTTATCACGCACGACATGCAATGATGATAGATGCTGAATGTTGAATGCAAAACAACGGCTATGAAATGCTCTCGCAACACCACAACGATACCAATCGCTCCCCACACCCAACACCCAACTCTACACGTCAAATGGCACCGCCCGCTTCGCCGAGCACGTCTTGCTGCAGCCGTCGCAGCCCGAGCCCGCCGTCTTGGTCGTCCCGCCCGCCACCACCGCCGGCCCGGGCACCGTGTACTTGGACACCGCCGCGTGGATGTTGATCAGGATGCCCGGGTCCCGCGCCGTGTAGGCGCCCGGGAACTTGACCAGCGGCAGACCCGCCGGCAGCGCCGTCGCCTTGCCGCCCGCCAGCGTCAGCTGGTAGCAGCTCATGTACAGCTGCGCGCCGCCCGACTGGCCCGCCGTGTGCAGCGCAATCACCTCGGCCCGCAGCAGGTAGTCGCCGTCCGGCAGGCTGTCGGGGATCTTGATGTCCATGCGGCCGCAGCACGCGTTGAGGTCCTTGGTGCCCCAGTTGTCGTTGTCGCCCGAGCCCGCGCCCGCCTTGGCCGACCAGCCGTCCTCAAAGACCTTGAACCACTGCGTCGACCCGTCGGCCGTGGCCGCGTCCGAGACCTTGGTCATGTACGCCAGCACCGGCCCGTAGTGCGCGCCGCCAATGGCCTCGCTCTTGCAGTTGCGGTCGCCCGGCTGCTGGTGCATCTCCACCGTCACCGTGCCGCCCGCCTTGGCGGTGCACTTGCCCGCGACGCCCGTGCGGCCGCCCGCGTTGCAGACGACGTCGGCGCTGCTGACGGACGTGACGGGGGAGTTGGACTTGGGCACGCGGGCACACGAGGTGCTGTGCAAGACTGTTAGTGGACATTCCATGTTCGACATCTTCCCTGCTGGCAGGCACTTGGGCACTTATCATATCCTTGCCGTCGACCCAGAGCTGCTGGAAGATGGCATGGCCGGCGGCCTGTTGTGCGGCCAACGCCACGGCGGCGAGGATGGCAGACTTCATGATGGTGTGTGCGTGTGTGTTGAGAAGAAGGGTTGGGTGAAAAAGAAGAACCGCAGAGAAGGCGAGCGAGTCAAAACTGCGGGCGTCAAGTTATATGGCTACTGACTGTGCCGGAGGATGCGCGCATTATTTGGTTCGTGCCATCTCTTCTCTGCAGAATGCCGTGACCTGGAAAGACACACGGAAGCGAATGAAGTCACAAACGACGTATAAATGAGTATCCACATGCCGACGTGAAAACAGTGCCGTCGTGGGTGCCTTTGCACGGTACATGGCGGAGAGGAAGGAATAAGAGACTGCACGCTCCCCCAGACAGAACCGCCCACTCATATTCGCTGATATTGGCCCTCGGCCGTCGGCATGTCTTTCGGTGCTATCCATGGCTTCTTCGGAAACGAAAAAAACAAGCAAAACAAGCAAAACAAGCAAAACAAGCTTGAACTATACAAGAGAACTCTAAAGGTACTCCCTGCCCAATGTCGTGTGGCAATATTCGATTCTAGAACGGGGCTGTCGACCCTTTCGGTCCGGGGTCCCCAGATTGTGTTGGAAAGCCAGCCACGAGACCTCAGCTTCGCCTCACCCGTGCATTCTCGTCGGTGCACAGGCGTCGCCAACATGTCCAAGGGGTCACCGGTTTGTAGGTCCTATTGTTCCTTTTCTTTCCTGTTATGTTTGGTTTTGTATTGTTTGGCAACGTTTGTCGCCTTTGAAGAGACACATCGTCCTCCAGATTTATTTGGCTTTCGTAACCAGGCGCCTTTCAGCTTGTTTACTCTATCCTCTACTCTGCAGCTAAATTCATCGTGCTCAGAGAACGGCGTGTCCCCTCTTGGTGCGGTATTTGCACTCTGTCTCGATTCTTCCATTTCTGCCGGCTCATCCTCCGCATATTCTCTGCCCGCTGTCATAGATTGCCCTCTATTTATTTGCGGCATCTGCTCCGCAATGTATTTTGAGCATTTGCAATGTGTGGGGAACACGATGGAACGCCAAACAGACCTCTCGGCAGTGCGGGCGATACTCGGAGACTCATCATGACTCTGTCGATTGTATCTTTCCACGGTCGATGCACTGTGAATGAGACGCTGAAGCTGCAATAAGTATGAGCACTTAGCAGGTTTGAATAATCAAATAAATAATATGACAAGAATAACTCTATAACTCACAAATAACATGAATCCTTTTTATGAAATTATATGGTAGAGTTTCACATTCAAGTTCACCGATCTAGCTTTGTTGTTCGTATATTTAATTGATATTTAGAAAGAGTTGTTGAATAAAGTATAATTGAAGAAAAAAGAAAATAGCAGAAAATAAAGAACAAACTTAAAGACGCTACCACAAAGATGCTTCAATCTGTATTGTATCACGCATAAACTTACTGGATGCGATACGCAATGACCTCATAGGGCAGACCGGTCATGGCTCCATGCCGCGTTCCTACCGATTCCTCGACTTTCAGATGTTGAAGTCGTCCATATACGCTCGCAATTGCAGATTCACAGTAGTGGCATGGAAGGCATACAATGAATGGTAAATAAATAGATCAATAAATACAAAACTCGACTCCATGTAAATGGTAGCTGGCGATCGGAGCGCAACATGGCGCCTTATCGTGGCCAAAAGCAAGAGAAGAAAATCAAAATTCAAACGCAAAGACGTCTCTATCCAGACCGAAACAGGGGGTCCGTCCCAATTCAAAAACGCCAATAACACACCAACCAGAGGAAAAAAAAACACAAAAAAAACAAAAACAAATGTAAACACCACCAATGATAGATACCCTCTGTCCAAACAAAACACAAAGCAATTATCCAAAGGGCAACGCCAAAAAGAGTAGTACAGGAACCGGCTCTATGGCCCCCGGTCCCTTTTGTACGTCGTGATACTGTCCACCGCCCACAAGCTTCAGCTTGATCCCGTGGTCGTGCGTTGTCTTGTCGAAGAGGGAAAGGAGAGCCGAAAACGATGCGCTCGATGGTCTTGCCTTGACGTTGATTTTGTCGCTTTTGTAGGGGGTCCAGAAACGTCCGTCCGTGCGCATTCCCTGTCTGATTGGGGCGTTGGGGCTTTTGATTGCGCCGCGCACAGCCGTAAGCCGCAATCGTCCATGGCGGCAAGTCGCCAATCGCAAACCGCCAAGTCCACGTCGGCCACCCAAAATCGTCATCGATCTGAGTCTGTGTCCCAAACCGGCAATTCGTCGAATCGATTTGCGTCTTCTCCGTATCGTATCGTTTTCCTCGTGTCGCCCATCTGCCGACCACCAGGCCTCGCGCCCCCAACACACCAAGCTTGCTTCGCATTGGAACCGAACTCGTCATGGACACATGGCAAAAGAGACGGGAAGGGAAATAAGGCCTCAGAAGATGATGCCGTAGCGGTTCAGCTTGTTACGCATGACCTGGGAGTAGATGTCGGGGTTCTGGTCGCCGGCGACGGCGGTTTCGTTGTTCCGGAAGATGAACAAAAAGATGATGTTGAGCTGCGGCTCTGTTAGTGGCTGCAAAGGAGCGACACGACATGACGGCAGGGCAGCCTTTTGGGACGCAGACTCACCATGGACGAGACGATGAAGATTTCACAAAACGTCCGCAGCACCTGTCGCCAGTACCGCTGGAGGAAGAAATTGCCGCCGGGGCCGCTGAGCTTGGCGTTGAAGGCACTGCGGCGGCGCAGGACGCTGAGGCAGTTGAGCTCCTGCAGCGGGTCCAGGACAATCGCCTTGAAGAGCAGGATGGAGACGAGCGCCGTGATGCCGACGTGCAGGATGGGGAAGTAGGGTGGCGGGACGATGCCGAGGGCGTCGGGCAAGAAAAAGCCCTTTTGGATCCAGTAGATGCGGTCACCAATGTGGCCGAGCGCGCAGGCGACCTGCGAGCCCGACGTGACGGGGCGGTGGAGTTGGCAGTACATTTTCGGGAGACGACGATGTGACGATGCTTGCAACAAGTCGGACGAACGTTGGAGACCCGGGAAGCGCAGTTGTCGCGGAGGAGGGAGGTGACGCGCGCCAGCTAAAGGCGAGAGGGAGGACAACAAGGTAGCCGGAGAGGACGAAAAAGAAAGCGAAAAAAGAAACGTCGTGCGACCAAACAATGCACTGGGTTCTCGGATCGGAAGCGCGACGAAGTGCTGAAGAATTGGCCAAGGAAGAAACGCAAGAAGCACGTATTCGAGGTGGGGGCGCTGCAAGTAGACGAACACTGCGAGGTAGAAGGAAAAAGAAAAAAAAACGAATGTCGTGTCGAGTCCGTGACAATGTGGCGCTTTTTGGCAGCGACAACGGGGGATGCGCGATTCAAGATTAAGGTTGTCGAGAGAAACCAAGGAACAAATGCTAGGAAAAGGGATGCTGGGGGTAGTCGAGACAGTGTAGAATAAAAAGGAGGACGAGTAATTCAAGTTGAAAAAAAAAAAAAAAAGTCGAGGCCTAGTATTTCGTACAAAGTACAGGATACAAAGGAAAACCGGGCGTGGGCGACGCACGATGGCGAATTACCAAGTATGGCATACACGAACCCGGCAATGGAACAATGTGAACGAAAGTGAACAATGTGAAACGGACTTGACCGTGGCCAAGGCAGAGCGCTGACAGCAACGCTCGGAGATCCAGCGAGCAATGGCCAGCGAGGCGGCAAAACACCCTGAAAAAGGGGCGATGGGGTAGGGATCGGCAGAGTCTGAGTGGAGGCGTGGAGGAGTGGAGGATGTGGATGTTGGCCGTCTTGGGATTTGGCTTCGCGAGTTGGAGAATGATGAAACGGGATGGAGGGCGTACGCAAAGACGCAGAGTACGGACAAGGAGAAAGAAAGGGAAAAGAGAAGAGGATGGTTTCAAGAAACAACGTCGAGTAAGGGCGTCGCGATGGACTATGGACTCGTACGTCTTGCGGCGTTCCTTCCTTCCACGCAATGCAACCACCTCGACATCCGGTGCGACTTCCTGTTTTGTGCGCCAAGCTGGACACTTTTTGGCTGCTGACAATGCTCAGGCTGTTGTGGGAAGGCGCCGCGGACAACAGGGTAGTCATATGCGGGCAGGAGCGACGGAGCAGGGCAAAACAAAAGGCCAAATGCGTACAAAGTACGGAGGCATACGAATTACGAATTACACTGTACTACGATGTAGAGTTTGCCACTAATGATGCACACGGAGAACGGAAACGGAGCACGTCGCGAAATTAGAATCAGAAGCAAGAGCAGGGGCGTAATTACCAGGCGACGTTGAGGCTCCAAGTGCCCTACCCCCCTTGTATTGCTGCTGACAGGGTGCCTCGACAAAGTCTGTCAGCGCGCTTCTGGCTGGTTTGCTAACGTGTGCGCTAATCTCAGCGACAGAGAGCAAAGTCGATAAACGCGACGCCTCTGCATGGGACGGAGTGCCATTCGTCTGCCTCCATGCGATGTGCGTACACCTGCTCTGCATTCTTGAGACGCGTTCAGTGCGGGGATGAGTAATGCTATTGCAGTGCTCATAATGCGCTACGTCAGGCACAACACAGGACGATCGCGCTCCAAAATAAAGGGTTTCACTTTTCTGAATGCCAATCCGCCGCACACAGCCACGCCACACCCATGTTTGCGTATCCTCCTGTTCCTGGTACATGTAATGTACTGTCTCCGCTGCCCGCTCGTTTTGCATCTCCACCGTCCTCGAACGTTGTGGGGTGGCCGAATCCGGTAACCCTCACTGGACGACTGGAGCCTCAGTGTAAAATCTCCATGCGAAGCGGTGTCAATACGAAATGCGCCTGCGCCGAGAACAAGCCAAAATCGCACGATGAATACGAGAGAGAGAGGACGGTGCCACGGTGCCCCGGCGAGGAAAAGCGTGCGGAGGCGCGAGTGCCTTAACCTGCAAACAGACATGCTGAGAGGAATGCAGGAAATGTCGCCCGTTTGCAGCGTTCGCGTTTACACGTGATTCTGCCATCGCCGAGGGACAAGAAGTGAGGAGAAAGACGGTGAGCCAAAGCGGAAGTGACATAGTCACGTGAACACAAGGCAGACGCGGTGCGCACAGGAGGTAACAAGATGAAGATGTGTGCATGCCACAGAATGTACAAAGTGAAGCTACGGAATCCCGGAAAATACGACGACGCACGACGGCGTCGTACTCCGAGCAGTTTCTGATATTGCCATTGCCGATCCAAGAACGGAGTGCTCCGTGGAAGACCCGCAAGATGCTCCTTTTTGCGGTTGCGGTTGCATTGGCCCCATTCACCAACATTTCACAGGAACTATTCTGTAGACCGTAGCAGCGTAGCTAGCAAAAAGAGCCCTCTAACACCAAGGCTGGATAACAGGTCTAAGTACGAATGTACCGTCGTCCATCAATTCACCAGTAAAGCTCGTCACCTGGACCGTCACGTGACAAGCAAACCACAAGCCAAAGCAAACGGGCGTTGCGCATCGCTCCTTCCTCAACATCGCTCCTTCCCAAAGTAAACAAATACAACGTGCTGTGCAAACGGAACAGGCAGCCACCAGCAGCTCTCGGGGCGTATGTGAACATGACTGTACAAAGTAAAAAAATTTCCCGAATCCAAAGATTTTTCTGACTCTTCCCTCTTTTCTTTCTTTTCTTCCTTTTCCCCGAAACACAAGCAAACCATATCCCCTTCCCATCCCAAACAATATTGCTTCTTTTGCTGCCACACAAGCATCTTTCACTTCAATCAACCTCTGCCCATGGCCTACAACGTCGACATCCATTGACGGCTGGACTTCTCTTTACAACTCCTTTCTCTCCAGGTTGTGGCAGATCGACCCACGATCTGACTGCAACCTGAGCGACAGGTAAGATATGTCTCGCAATCGACGACCGCCCTGATGCTTTGGCGGACACTCTCGGCCCTCGTATCATGTCTTTCGGAGACGGACTATTAACTTTCTCTCCCAGGTCCTCCATCAACCACAGTTCCCAGCAAGCTTCACTCCCTCAGTACTACACAGAATTCCCCCCTCTTGTTTCTCCCTTTTTGTTGACGCCCTCGAGTGCGCTCTGCCCAAGCTGGATCCTGGACACCATGCTGAAGTCTCGGACCCCAGTCGCCCAGATGGATTCGTGGCAGTTCGAGTACAGTTCGGCAGATATCCAGGATACGTCGGACTGGACAGTGAGCCAGTTTCCCGGCGATGATTCTTGGTCCTCCTTTTATGCACACGAACCTGCGAGCGCAGACAAGAGCAACGGACACACCGCTTTCCCGCTCATGCCGGACGTGCCCAAGACCAACTTGGCTACCACTGCTACCACTGCTACCACTGCTACCAGTCTTCAGAGTTCCTGCAACGTTGCTCAGTACATCAATAGCCTCCCGCCGCACAAGCGCGCCAAGGCAAAAGCCATGCAGGAGACGACCGACTCCTTCAAGGCCGACTCGCACGAGATGCTCTCCCAAGACAGCGAGAAGCTTGCCTCAGACAATTTGCCCGAGGATATTCAGGAGGAGCCAGAGACCGCCATGATGAAGACCCCCGACCTCGCCGCCCCTGCCTCAGAAGCCCCCAAGCCCACCTTTGTGAGCCCCAAGCGGTGGATCATCACGAACGAGGAAACCATCCGTCTCAGCAACGGCAAGACCATTTCCAGCACGCATCTTAGTCTTGTTGACTACGACGACCCTCGCGTGGAACTGTGCCGTCCGGACGAGAGCAAAGTCGTGTACGTCTCAAGCCCGTTCGACAATGCCTCTCTGCCCCCTGCGCGCAAGGATTGGTTTGTGCCGTCGCCTGCCCTAATCGCCGATGCCAGCCCCCAGGTTATGGACCTTGCCCTTCCCGAGGCGGACAATCCAGGCGCGACAGCCCCCATGGACATGAACGGCAGCGCCAACTCAAGTGGTAGCGGCGATGCTGCGGCGCCTGCCTCTGGTGGCAGCCCTGACGATACCAACGTGCCCCAAACCCCGGAGCAGGGAGGGCTCTCCTCGCCCACATTTGACAAGAATGAACCCGGCATCTCATCGCCCAAGTGGGACAATCAGGGCTCCTGGACCGGACAGCCCGAAAAGTCCTGGGAATGGAACGACAGTGTTACCGCCATGCCCGAAAAGGCTGACTTGGAGCAGCCCGAGCACCGTATCGTTGCCTCGGACGAGGCCTAGTACGCCTCAGCCGTTGACAGCAGCAACGACAAAGCGAAGGTCGACGATTCGGCCCAGAACGAATTTGCCTCTGTTGACACGTCACCCGCAACAGTTGCCCCGACGCCTCTTTCTCCGACACCTGACGTGACAGCGGCCGCCGGCAAGACATCGACCCCTGCGCCTACCGACGACGCCGCGCAGAAGCACGCTCAGGAGGACACTCAAAATGCTGCGCAGCACACCGGCACTTCCACAAACGACACTGGACTCGTGACGAAGTCGAATACGATGACTCACCAATCCCTGGCCGCCATCGAGGTTGACAACCCGACCCTCATGGACACTCCCATCATTGATACTGGTGGTCCTGGCACACCACTGATGCCAGCAATGATCCCAGAGTTGGTCAAAGTCCTGCCGACACCGGCACCTGCAAAGTCGGCGAGTAGCTCGTCGTCTGTGGAGACGGCCGTCGAGAGCCTGCATACCTCTGTGGGCAGTGGCGAGTCGGCTCTGGCTCCGCCCGAGGAAGCCCAGGCGTCCAATGCCTACTTCGTCAGTCGCTGGGCCGAATCTCTGGCCAGGTATGGGCCGACCGACTGGCATGGGTACTATTTTACCGTCGAAGACCCCGCTGCTGTCACCACACCCCGGGCCATTACGGCAATGAAACGCGGAAGCGCAAAGAAGGACGGCGCCAACCACTTCGCGCCCAGCTTGCTCGAAGAGCGCGCCCACTCCCATGTTCCCGCCGGCGACGACCACACCGAGCTGAGTGCCGACCGCTACCGCCTTCCGACCCTTCGCGCCTTTGGCAAGCGT